AACAATTACGAGAGTGTTACAATAAAATGGAGGTCAAGTACATTAGAAAAGCACAATTGAAATTGAGTTGAGAGAGGCTGTTTGAATAAAAATGTATTTCTCCTTTTTTTTGTTTATCGATATAAATATTGAACCTCCATTTTTCCAATCATTTATATTTATTCCAGAATCATTTTTGATTTCACGAAAATAAACTGCGTAATCCAATAGTGACTTGCGAATTTTCATCTTTCAGAACCTTCATAACATCCAGTAAAATGCACAACGATAAATATCATAACAGGGCTACAATATTTCAAATTCTCTTACACATAATCTATTCAATCTGATATCCAAAAAATTATTATCTGACCACAGTGTATCAATTCATTTTCAGTACATCATATGATTCATATATATCTATATTGTAAATATTAGATATTCAAATTTTTGACACGTTGGAAAAAATTACTTTGATTTCCTCCTCACTTTTATTGGATATGTAGCGTGTGCTTAAACAATAACAATTTGGACTTAAAGAAAAGTATGAATAATGATAAAGACATAATGATAAAGCCGTATAGAAAAATTGGGTTTTATGGTGAAGTTTTAAATATTCGTCAAATCCGTAAAATGAGAATGGCAAACGCCATACATAATAAAGCAGAGTGTGCAACCTTTTTTACAGGCGGGCCAAATACAAGTAACTCGTTTAAAATCTTTAACCAACATTTACGATTTCTATGATTTACCTCAACTTTAAATAACACGCCTGCTTTCAGCTTACCTACAACTCTTCCTGTTTTTAGATTTGGTTTGATTTTCGAAATCCCACATTTGAAATCTGTTTTGTCGAATCTATCTTCTGGGATGAGATCAACAAGATCTTCGTCTGTCAATTTTTTTTTCACATTACACAACATTTTATTTTTTAAAATGGAACAAAACTGCAACGTTTAAGTTTGTCCATTTTCTCACAATCAGCGCTTTCAGATACGCTTTTTGTTAGAGGCTTAAAATTCTTCACAGCATAATCTAAGGAATAAACTTACTTTGTCTTTACGAACACCAATGGCAAAAAAAATGCGTATTATGTTTCGTCAATTTTCATAACGTTATTGTTTCTCCAAAGTTATTCTGTTATGCGGATACTTTGTTGAGAATTTCAACCAATATTAGTCGATACCAAATTAAAATTGAATAATATAATAAACGGTGCTTACACGGATATTTTTCGTCCGCTTCTACACTGGTTGCAGGGTATCCTGATCCGCCCGTATTGCTGCCGTATCCGCCTGAAATAAATAATGTATTTGTTCATATACACGACAAATACAAAGTAACAGTTATTATTATTTAGTTAAGACTAAGTTAATAAATGATACCCTACTTTTGGCCTATCTCGTATATTAATTATTTTCACACCAATTAGATGCTACACAGTAACAGCTCCCATTTCTGCCATCTTGAATAGTTTGAGTAATTTGAAACATGGAAAACAAGATCATTGATACAGATTCTCTTTTTGATTTACTTGCTATTATAAAATGCTATCGCTTTCATTTGCGATGCAAGTACACAGTAAAGTTGGTTTGAATCGGAAAAGTCAATAATTTGTGTTCAGTAATTTGCAAATTTTTCTGATAATCAGCACCAGATTATCGTGCATTATCCACACAAAAATCAACTTCAATGGCATTTGCCCCCCCCCCCCCCCCCCAACGCCCCCCACCTCATTGTTTTCTGAAATAACATTGCCTGAGGCAGATGCCAGCCAAATGCCATTGAAGTTATTTTTTTGTGTTGTGTTAATATTGCATTATAAACTGGTGCTGATTACCAGAAAAAACATAGATTACTAAAGACAAGTTTATCCTGTCGTTTGTTCAGAAATTGGAATATGTATATTTATTTGTCAAACTTCCAGTATTTTACTGAGGGGCTGGGATGTAGTGCAGTATTCGTATCGCTAATTCATACGAATCAAGAATAAATATGGATGTTAAATACTCGTACCGAACCCTTACATGATTTATCAGCATAAATTTTTGCAAACAGTCAGGGTGATAAGAGAAAATTTCCCAACGCACAAGTGTTTTAGAACAGACTGGGCATACATACTTAGTTTACTGCGCGTAATCGTGAAGGTAATTCATTGATATATATATATAGCTCATTGAACGCCAGTGATTGCTCGTAGATTTTATGAAAGTTCTTGTTGCATATTAAAATCATATATTTGATTGATTAAATTCAAATCATTGCTATGAGTAAACACGAATAAATCTAAATTAATGAAATAGTGTAGCCTATATTACTGAATGTTATATTATTTCTTACCAGAACCAACATTTATTCCGTTAATTTGATTTGTTGTTTCTTTATCGTCGGAAGTTGTTGCCACCCCAAAGCTTGAACTAATTCCAGTTGACGAAGTACCTGAATTGCTACTGTACCCATTAGACGATGAACTTGTAGAAGATCCGGAACTGGATCCCACGCCAAAGCCATAGGTCGAACTCGTCCCATAAGTAGACCCAGTACCGTAGATAGAACTCGATCCAGAAGTCGAACTTGTTCCATAGCTTGAACCAGAAGCCGATATTAGCGAAGAAATGCTGGTGTATGGGGACGAAGATCCATAGGTTGAAGAAGAAGATCCATAGGTTGTAGACGGTGACAATGAACCTACGGAGGGCTTTGTAAATCCGGACCAGTCGATACCGGAATAAGATCCAGACAAACTGGGGGTACTTGATGGAGACCCTGGACTTGAACCTGGCGTTTCAGTACCAAGATAAGATGCAGAAGATCCGTAGCTAACAGATGGTGAAACCGGACTTGGACTGGGTTTTGTCCCTCCGGCCAAGCCAATACCGGAATAGGATCCAGAAGACCCAGAGCTCGAAGTAGACGAAACTGGACTTAAGCCTGGTCGTGTCCATCCAGACCAGTCAATACCAGAATAAGAACTGGAGCTAGTAGACGGTGAAGTTGGACTTAGTCCCGGTCTTGTCCATCCAGACCAGTCAATACCAGAATAAGAACTGGAGCTAGTAGACGGTGAAGTTGGACTTAGTCCCGGTCTTGTCCATCCAGACCAGTCAATACCAGAATAAGAACTGGAGCTAGTAGACGGTGAGCTTGGACTTAGTCCTGGTCTGGTCCACCCAGTCCAATTATTGCCTGACGAGGAACCTGGATAACTGTACGATGATGTGCCGTAAGATGAGCTATAGCCATAACCGGAATAAGACGATCCTTGACCGTAAGGAGAGGTAGAATAGCTTGATGCGTAAGGTGAGGATCCATGGCTGGAAGTATACGAAGAGCTGTAGCTTGAACTTCCATAATAAGATGGTTTGAATCGATTGAGAGTCGGCGTCTGATGGCCATGGAATTGAACTTCAACTTTGGATTAAGATTAAAAATTAATAATCACATACGACATTGGCTAACTGCTAAATCCACTCTTATAAATTAGGTTATGTTGTGGTAAAGAGAAAAATTCGATAAGATAAATATTCAATAATACTTTTACCAAAAAGGTCGCAAGTATTCTATCCAAAAGAATACTGAAATATTCGGGTGCAAACAATGGGCACTTCTTGGAAGTTATTGCAGGCGGTAAAATATTATTCCAATAGTCAAAAAGGTGGTTGAAATTTGGTCAAAAACGATCAAATCGTCTACAAATTATGAATTTATAAAGATTAACATGTCAGAAATTTACAATAAATAATCATATATACAAATTCACAACTAAATTTAATATATTTGAAGTTTTCAGATAGCATGGTAGAGTTAGAAAGAACTTACAGTTTTCGTCGCTTGGAACATTATAGTCTGCTGAGCTTCTGCTGTCCACTAAAAAGAATGTTACTTTTTGTCAATATAAAAAGGTGTTTAGGGCAGTATTATTGAATTACAATTGATAAAGTGGGTATATTTATAGCTTTATGTCAAAACAATTATAAAAAGTAATCGTATTCAATTGGCTTGATTACATAGCGACCAAAACCAGGAGCAGAACAAACACTTTCACATCGAATCGCTTGTGACATGCAATTAGACCAAATAACCACATACCCACTTCTGAACAAGATGGTGTTCCCACAAACAGTATAACAGCACTGACCAAAAGTATTGAACTCAAGCCAAAGAGAAGAATACCGATTTGTTTATCTCGAGCAAAAGTCACACCTGAAAAATATAAAGCATTATTCAGGCGAAAAAAGTGCAAGGGTATATGTAAACATGTGCAAGTGATCTCACCACTGCGCCATACAATTTTTGCCTAATTGAAACAAAATGGTTTTCCTGGCAGCGCTGAATTGAATTTTTTTTTGTTAGCATCCAATTACGGACGTTTGTGGCACAATGATAAACTTATAAATGATCCTTCTGACTTTCAGTCGGTAGTTTAAATTTTAGTCCGAACGTTCTGACTTTGGGCAACAACAAGCTAAGGTATATTGTCAGGGTCAATAACTATTGGGGGCATCAACTATTGGGGGGACTATGCGCGGCGACCAGGTAACAATAAGAATTATATCATGTAGATTTGGTAATAAATAATGAATTCGTCTTCACATTTTCTTCTAGGTTAATACACAACCACAATTAAAGTTACATTACGGGCCTTGCCTGCAGCGAAGTCATGCAGTCGATGCAGTATATCATTAAAGATGCTGACTTCATCTAGCCGGTACGATCACGTCCTATCTATCAGCCCTGTTTCACACTAAGACCTATTTTCCAGAAATCTCTCTTGTCCACAAAGGTTTCCTAATAGCGGTAACTTATTAGAGTCTCGCGTAAGGCAATATCAATTATCGGCGACATTCCAGTCTACATATATATATATATATATATAGTCCGGCGATTCCTCTGTGCCTCGGATTTTGCCAAGAGCAAACTTCATAGAAATAAGGTTCACCTTATTGGCTTTTACTCCGTATATTTATCTAACCTTTTTTGGTTTCCTGTTTTAAACCAGTCTTTCTTGAACTCATGGTGTTTATTGCAAAGGCGGCAAGAAGCTTTCAATCTCTGGATGAGCAAATAAGCAATCTTGCAATTTGCCAAGCAAAATTTTGATTTATGACGTAACAATGGTACAATTACTGTTTGTTGAATATCACATAGAAAACCGAATGTGTAGAAACGCCCTGCTCATACTTTTATATGATTGTACATAACATGGTAAAAACCACAGCCGACTTTATTTTTGCATCGCCAAACATCATTTCAAGGAAATATTGTGAAGGCAAATTTAACTGAGGAGATAAGAAACACATGATGAGGCAAAATAATGATGAATTGTTTAATTCTATTCATTCCAAACACGACATACGCGCAACACCATTTTTTGAGCAATACTGCGCGTTACAGCGCAGCAGTTATTTGTGACCGTGAATTATGTATTCAGTAAAGGAATTTCCACAGACCTCATGAAGCTACCTGACCACAGACTGCTCATTTTCCAAGTATATCATATGTTGTTTATGACCAACCTAACGAGATTTTGCTATAATATATGAGACTGCCCAAAGTGTTTCAACCCAAGACGTCTCGGTTTCCATTTTTTTTCCTAATGCTAGGCAAATTATTCATCAGATAATTTCGAGTGATATATTTAACAAAAAATTAATAAAGTGAACGTATACTTATAAACAATATTATATATATAATGTGGAGAAATTGGTAGTGGCACAAAGAATCACCTCAGCTGGGATATAGATAAATATGTAACTTATCAGTGGCTTAGGATGCCTTCATGGCTCCACAGCGCGGCAAATAATCATGGCTTGTAAAAACACTCATGAGCCCAAATAAAATCGTGATAATGTAACGGATTAATTAGGAATATACGGAAATGTGAACTGATTCCAATATGAAGTACGATATTGATGTCTCTTTCCAAAAAAAAATCATTCCGAATAATTTACGTATTTTAACTTCGTGTCTCTGCTTTACTTAAACTGAGATTTCTTTCAAATTGACGAGGTGAAAGAAACAAGACTATACATCATGTTATTTTTAAATAGTAGTTTTTTTGGCGTAACTGGTGGTCAGAACAATATCGATGTATTCGTCTACTGTTGTCATGAATATTGTGCTGTCATTCGACTGCATGAAAGTCGTATTTATTGTGTGTACAAAAACAGAGATTATTTTTGGCATTGTCTTAGACTTAGAAGAAACATTTTCACGGATATTCAGACACTGCCAAGGGGACAAACGGAAGGAGTTGGTGCAATGAGTCGCAATTGGATTCGATTTCAAATAGTGTTTGCTTAATCATATCGTCAGATTGGCAATAAAAAGTTTCTAACAAAACACGATTCGCTTAGATATGCTCTGCAGTGTCTGTTGATATTGGTAAAATTATTCCCAAATGGTCTCAGTTAGTCGTGGTAACAACGTATAGAGGCGCCCGCCATGATTGAAAAAGATTCAAGCTTTTTACTCTTCTGATACAAAACAGTTCAAAATCACTTGCTGTCACCCCGTTTGAGTAACGGTGAAAACTTGCCCTCGAATAGCGGATTCAATCCGGCAAAGTTGACACCTTAGTTGCATAAAACTCTCTCATGCTGCTTTTATAAAACTAAAACTATAAAGAAAATATTACGATGTCAGTAAGTTAAATTAGAGAAAGTTTAATTATCAATAAATGATTCCAACAGATGAAAGGTTACCACTGTGGACCAAGTGTGGGGGCATAGGGACAGCCGCTTCGGGCAGCGCGTTATAGGAATGAGCAGATCCAAGCTGCAGGGTTCGCGTTATTACACTTGTTTTCCCGATGTGCTTTTATTGGAGTAAAAGCTGTTTTTTATTTATTCTCATGTATAACAACATACCTGGCATAAGATACTTTATGATTTAAGTTGAAGTTTAATCCTTAGCGTGACTTGCCATAGTTTATTTAATGTTATTTGAGAATAGCATATGGACTTTTAACCGACGACTATATATATATATAATATTCCCTAGTCGTTGAATACACTTTTCATATATTAGCACACCTTCGTTGTTTGAAAATGAGTTGGCGAACTAATTGTATTATCAATACTGATGCAGATGCCGTAATGTGGAATGCCTGATTATCCACTGATAACACCTAAAAAAAACACTCGAACATACTGGTAACGATTGGGACCAATGGTTCACTCTAAACTAGCCCGCTTTACTAATACGGCCTAAGTCAGTATGGAGCGTGGATGTAATTATATCATTAAATACCATAAATGAAAATTCAATAAGATTAGCAGTTTATCGTGAGTATCTGTTTCACGCAAAACAAAGCGAAAGACGTGACGAACCTACGTCAATGACCACCACATTGGAACAAATGCGTTCGCATCTTACAGTGATTAAGCGATGAAAATTCGAAATCAATTGGTTCATACTCTTGATCGCGAAAATATTCTCTTTATATCTTAATGCTTATTTTGAGTCTTTTCGCGAGTTACAACGTAGTTGGCAATTTCAATAACCATCATTATAACATATAACATTCAACCATCCATTTAAAAGTACTGAGTGTCAGCAGAAATACGCATTTGCCTTTCCTAGCCCATATGTATATATATCATATTGAAATGAGTATTTGTAGATACGAGCAGCCTGTCTTATTAGATAATTCTTATTGGTATTTTAGCGTTTTGTGGCCAGAGCATGAAATCTTTCATTTGTCCATGTGTCATTTATGGCCTTGAATTTTAGAATTTGATTCGTGTTTTTTTTAACTCGACTCGATAAGGTACTCGCTATCCCTAAACTTTACTTCTTTTACTTGTCAAGACTGACCGATATAAATATTAGTTAATTGAATTGTCTACGAAAAATCGGATATTTTCCTTTGGTGTTGGCAAACAATTTATGATGTAAAAGTGCCTTGCGGTTCAGAAAATTTTGAAAGTCACTGAACTCTTTCCTCGCTACCTGCCAAATAGTTTATTACGTCAGAAACTACTGCATTGGTGACATCACAGTCCAATTTCTGTTCTCGAATGGTAGGTACCGGTATTGGCCTACCTAAAAAATATATCCTATGCTCTTCTCCTTTATTACATTAGTTAATGGAGTTCTCATCAAGATTGAAATATGAGTTTGAAACCTTCTGGCAAAGTAGAAGCGCCCAAGGGTAAAGGAAGTGAGTAAAATTTGTTTAACTCAAAATTTAAATATCTTCCGCTCTAATCAGCTTTCCTAACGTTACGTTTCGGTCTCGACTCAACCCGAAACATGGAAGCACTTATCTTTTGCATTACGATAACGCTACACAAACTCTTTTTTTTGTAATTCTAAGTCAAAATTTATATATATCTCACAATCCAAAACAATTTCACTGAAACGAACTTTAAGTGATAGCATTAATTGCAGATTTCGTCATAACTTCTTTTATGGGAAACCTTATATTTGTCCTGCGATAATTCTTGTCTCCTATTCAGGGGATTTGATTTATTTACTGGGGCACACCCAGTAATGCTCAGCTATTAATATTTCAAATTATTGTTGCGGGCGCAATGACCCGGAGCTGTGGCACTCAACCTATTCCAGTCATGGACCTCTTCGGAAAATTGTTGGGTTAACAGACATCAAATTTTTTAAGATCTTCACAGTTACTTTTGCAATAAAGAACAATTGCATTAGTATCTTAAATAGCTTTGTTTTTGAAAAGTGTAGCAAACCCGAGTTTGTTTCATATAGTGTAACCAAATCTCCATTTCTGCAGATTGAAGTAATACCATTCTGAACTCAACGCTGTCTTTGTAGTTTTAATGTAGGATCAGTGTTCCCTCTAGTCTAAGGTCACAGCTTTCAGAGGCTGCTTTTGCCATTAACGAAAGGTTCCAAACATAATACCTGATTGCCCTGGTAAATATTGGTGCTTTCACCAAGTTTAATGCTCAATTCAAAAAGCACGCGAATTTTCCAATTTGTTTGAAAATATTTTTTAAAATCTCATCCATCGTGATTTAATCGTGTTATTTGACAAACTTGAATACCTTCAAGTTTTTCTGTTCTTGGCCGCCGAGTTGTTCAATAAGTTCTAAAGCACAGTGTTGTATCCGTTTTCTATTGATACTACGTGAATTGACCTTGGCATTTTTATAGGCGACTGTAAATTTGATTCTTATTTTAAGATTGTTTCAGAAAAAAGTACGGGCATTATTTTATATCAGCTTTTCTGTGACATTCATTGGTTACTTGCGAACGGCAGCAAAAAAAACACAACAAAGCTGGAAAATCTGTCAAGTCGATGAAGTGTCCTATAGCGACTGCCAGAATCCACGCGAACCCAATTTACTTATGCATTTTATTGAACATATATATCACAGAATTTCTTATTGTTTCTCTCAAACAGAACCAGGTCAAGCACAAGATAAGAGTATCGGAATTCTTCTTTTCGTGTTAGATGGAATAATCATAGTTGCTGCTATTTTCCTTGTAATGGGAAGAAAAACATGCCCGGACCAAAGTGAGTTTCATATATTGACAAAATAGCATGTTTTTGATTGCAAAAAATTCTTTTGTGGAGGCCAATCGCTATAGAGACTTATCATAATAGTTGTCCGACATGTGGTCCGTACAGTTTTAGGATTGAGGATCAAATTTGTCGGCGTTTCGTTTATCAAGGTATAAGAAAATAAAACCATCAATGCCATTAGAAAGGATATTTACACAGGAAGCATCAGTCATTTCTTTATGTTGCTTAGTAGGCGGTATAACAATTATATTGCCGGAACCTTGAATACGCCATGCACAAAAACATAACTTTATAAATAATCACATAAATACCAAAATTCTTGCGACCGATTCAGTACAGATAAGTATAGCATTATCTTTACTTCTTTCGCAAATCAATTATCCATAACTCTGTGTTACCGAATTCTAATGCAGGTTGTCATTAGACTTTTACTACTATATATTTATGTGGGTATATACACATTTTTTGGCAGTTGAAAGAAGCAACAGTCAACAATCAGCAGATTACGATTACTCCAGCGTTGGAAACGGTAAACTATATTACCTTAGATCCATAGGAGATTTGAAAGAAAAAATAGATATGATAATATGCTATCGGATTCAACCTTCTTTAGTTAACCAAAATTTGAAATCAATCGGCGTTTAATCTGCATGGACAAACAAGAGCAAGAACAACCACATGAAATATGAATTTCTGTAAAATATCTTCGACAATTTTGATTTGCCCCGCGTTTTTTTTACTTGTATTTCCACTCTTTTTCTAGAGTTCCTACGCATTTCGTTTTTTCAATAGACAGCCGTTCGCTGTTTCCGCAATGAGAAACAAATGCATCCTGGGTCTAGGTCTAAAAACAGAATTAGAATACAAATGATTATAAATTTGAATTAATCAAACTACAGAATTGATTTAAAATGTTCATTTTTAGTTGACCTTCAGAATTATGGACACGAAAGTCCGACATTCAACCGATTTAAGCCTTCGACTTACGGCAGTTCGAGCTACGGATCAAGTGGATCAAGTTATAGTTCTGGATGGGGTTTTATTTCTTCATTAATCGGTGGCAGTCCATGGCCCGGAGATTTTGGGTCATCGTCAGGATCAAGTTATGGATCTCCAACGACCAGTTATGAATCAACATATGGTTCAGCTTACAGTCCTGGTTCGTCTATATCTAGTTCAGGATCAGCATATGCATCCAGTCATACACCAGGATCATCATACTATTCGTCTGGATCGCCATACGAATCGAGTTTTGGATACGGTTCGTCAAGTTCCGGTTCTGGGTCGTATTATGAATCAAGTTCAGGATATGGTTCGACTACCAGTTACGGGTCGTCATATGGATCAAATTATGGTTCAGGGTCGTCATCTTCTAGTTCTGGATCACCGTATGGGTCAAGTTATGGTTCGGGGTCCTCATCTTCCGGTTCTGCGTCACCTTATGAATCAAGTTATGGTTCGGGGTCAACATATTCCGGTTCTGAGTCACTTTATGGATCAAGTTATGGTTCGGGGTCATCATCTTCCGGTTCTGGATCATCTTATGGGTCAAGTTATGGTCCGAGTTCATCAACTTCCGGTTCTGGGTCACCTTATGGATCAAATTATGGTTCAGGGTCATCGTCTTCCAGTTCTGGATCATCTTATGGGGCAAATTATGGTCCTGGTTCATCAACTTCCGGTTCTGGGCCACCTTATGGTTCTGGGTCATCGTCTTCCAGTTCTGGAACATCTTATGGATCCAGTTATGTTTCAGGGTCATCATCATCAGGATCTGGGTCAAATTATGTTTCAGGGTCATCATCATCATCAGGATCTGGGTCAACTTATGTTTCGGGGTCATCATCTCCAGGATCTGGGTCGAATTATGGGTCAACTTATGTTTCAGGGTCATCATCTTCAGGATCTGGGTCGTATTATGGATCCAGTTATGGTTCAGGATCATCAACTTCTGGTTCAGGGTCGTATTATGGATCCAGTTATGGTCCAGGGTCATCTTATGGATCGAGTTATGGTTCGGGGTCATCGACAAACAAGCCATCTGTTTATGGCTCGGGATCTACAACAGGCGCGTCACTATCTGGTTCTGGGTCGTCGCTTGAATCAATTTCTGTAAACAAGCCTTCTGGTTCCGGATCTCCCAGTATCAGTTCATCATGGAACAATATACCAGCATCGCCAGACGAGGAAGTGGCACCAAGTCCAATCGCGGCGATAAACGCAGGTATATATATTTCACATATGTCATGTTGTATCTTACAAAAACCTTGATGAGAACATTTTAATAAATCTTGCAAAAAATGATGCTCATGTTTTGAAAAACTATTTTTACTCTAAAGTTTATACAATATATCGGCAATATCCTACCTATATCGGTTAGAAACAACTTTCTCTGGGAGTTGATGAACCGAGCATACCGCAGCAAAAAGTGATGCATTTCTAAAGTAGAAATCACCGCTGAATTATAAATAATCATAATCGTCATTCCTGTAACAACAACAAGAATTAAAGATATGAGCAATAACTTTATGACTACAGAACAATTATTTATTTGGAGGAGGCGACGTTAATATAAGAATTAGAGTTCCTCCTCAAGATTGTATGGTAATTTTCTCCAAAAATTTGGCAATGTCTCTTTAACAAGTTGCTGTGTCCCGCCTTATTGAAATCGACCATTGTGTGTGGATTAACGAAGTCGTCCATTTGTGTTGGATGTTATTTTACGCCAAATTGTCATCCTACTCTCTCTGATCTGACAATAGGTCTGTGATCGAACTTTCAGATTTGGTCCGATTGTGCAAATTACTAAGCAGAAACTTTTAGGTTTGCTGCATGCAAAAATAACCTCGCACTATGTTGTAACATCAGGTAAAAAAAAACTTTTGATCAGTGCCGGTTGAATCCACCCAATATTTTGGCGTAAATCGTTGCCTTTGTGTAAATAAGAAGTAATGTGTTTTGATGTTGACAGTTTTATATTTTTTTGTTAAAGGCAATGCTATCACAACGGAAGAACAGGGAACTCCGATTTCCGATGCAAATTATCCATGTAAGTTTGAGAAAACGATAGGCCTATCATTCTGATTTTAATGACAACCTCCTTTATCACTCCCAATAAACTCTGGGTTATTCTCCCAAATCGATGTACATAAGTAAGTTTGCAGATATGTTGGTTTACAATCATATGTAATAGCATCCAACTCTCAGGATTGTAATTAAGCCAAATATTTTCGGTAAAATCCGGCACAAATCAGTCTGAGGCTTAATTGCAAAATGAAGACGGATTTCAATATAATAAAATCATCCAGGGCAAGCAACACGATCTTTTCATCGTAACCTTCGAAAATAAAAATCTGATTTTTCACTACCATGAATTCATAATTTTTGAAACGATATTATATTTGTACGACTGAACAATTTAATTTAAATCAGACTACAACGATTGTGCAAACAAATATGAATATTTAATTACTTGCTTCTATATGAAAACCCCCAATAAAACGTGATGATGAAATATTTTGCTAAAATGAGTATTTGTGCCTCTTGGTATATTGATAGTAGTATGGTAATAACGACTCCGTAACTAATATTTTCAAGCTAACCATTGTTATTATACCAGTAAAATTCTTTTAATCTAACCTTTAGGATTAGAAGTCGTTGCTCATTTCATGACTGGTCTTGTTCCCTTGTCGAATGTATTCGAACAACAACTCATTATTAACTGCACAAAAACGAATTTTAACCGGTCACGAGTTATTTCACGGTCCATCCGTAGCGTCACAATATGGCGTTTAACATGATTTATTCAAGATGAACATATGAGAAGAAACCCCCTTTTACGGTTTTTATTTATTCGGGTCGTATATTGATGAATATGGTGTACAGTGAATATAATACTACAGTATATATTCCTTGTCAACCACTTGCTAGGGAGAAGCAGTAAACAATGCGATTCTCTATCAGATTGTTAGGAATCTTGTCACGGCATACACGGAACTCACTTTTACAAATTATAATACCGTCCTCGTGGGATATTAGTGTCATCTCCAAATTGGAATTGCCAGTTTGCCACTACTACTCGTGTCGGCGGAATTCTTTTCGTTGGTTAATTTCCAAATATATTCGGATATAATATATCCAATATATGTTTGAGTAACCCTTTCTCATTCATCTTTTCTGTGTATCTTCCAGTAAAGTGTCGTAACCCTATATGTATATGGAGCATTTTAAAGCAATACATCCTTACTTGCTATAGTAATTGCTGCCGACTTGAAATTTGAAGTGCCTCCAATTCCAATTGAATATTTCTTATATAGAGCACAATATTTTATCGGATATAAATATCGGGTTGGCGAGTCAAGTACAATCAAAGCTTCTTTGAGTCAGACATAATCAGTGTCCCGAACATTATATAGTTTGATAAGGTACATAAATAGAGCTCATATTCACTCAAAACTAAAATCTTTTAAATGAAATCGATATTTAAGGAAATATTGTCAACATTTTCATTCTCTGTGGTAAATTTTACTGGGGTGCATATGATATTGTGCGTTTGTTGTAAAATTTATCAAATTTCTTAGCATTTCTTGGAATGTTTTTGGAGACAAATAATATGCGCTTCATGATGAGATACTATGAGCCACAATCAGCAACTATTTCATTTTGCCCATTTTCATTGTCGAATGAGGGATCTCACAGTTAGTGAATTAATTGGAATTTTAGTAATGTTTTCAAGCTATATTAATTACATATTTGCAGTTAAAGATCTCGTCGACATGATACCTGAGGATACAATTGTCAACACCAACTTTAAATGCGGGGTTCCAAAATTCAAACCAAATTTAAAAGTCGGACGAATCGTGGGTGAGTTGTGAGCAGTTTAATTTTTGTTACTACTTTTTCATTCGCTTCTGGGCGCTGTAGACTTACGTTTGGAAACAGCACTACTAAAAACTGAGTAATTACTAAACGAATGTAAGATATTTATATATCCATTATTAATATAAATCTAATCCGGTGTTTTATAGGTGGAGGAGAAGCAGTGAAACATAGTTGGCCATGGGTAGTAGCTCTAATGACGTATCGTATATATGCTGGTAAAGAAATCTACTCAAGCGTGAGATATTTATTAATTAATAAAAATTTATGCTGATCATATTTAGTTGTGTGGCGGGTGTGAATAGCAGGCGAATACCTACACTCATATTCATGCAAACTGTGCATTTAAAAAAAAGATAACGCTAAGTCATACTAGTTAGCGGTCTCGCATTTTAAGATAAAACCAGAACTATTCCTGCAAATTTTATGGGTATAATCTTTGAAGTTCAATGTTATCCGTAAAATATGCTCGTAAGTTGAAAGTTGAATATATTTCTGCTTTCATTTTCGATGGGTGATGAACTGTTGTCAAAAGGATGATAGTCTCATTTCATTATCAAGCATAAACCTAATGCCCGGGCCTGCTTAGTATACACAGGTATACCTGAATTTAAAGTTAAAATATTTCATTTATCACGGATGCTCCTGATAGATATTTTTTGTAAACAAGACGAGTGAGTTGTTTATTTTTTGCTTTCTCAGTCATGTGGAGCAACAATTGTTTCACCAAAACATATCATATCAGCATTACATTGCTTCAACGACAAGTTACGTGAAGATGATGAGGAAAAAATCAAGGGTGACCCCGATAAATATATTAGATTGTTTATTGGAAAACACGATCAAAATCATATCCTAGGAGAAAAATATGAGGTTTGTACATAAAAATCAGTATTTCCCCACATTTGATGACTCTGCGAGTTCAAACCATTTGTACTTCGAATAATGACTTTCTCTCTGTGAACATCTCACTGCTAAATCACTGTCATATCAATGAATTTCAAGTTCCTTGTCTATTTTTTGATATTCAGCATTTTCTATTTTTGATAACGATATTTCCTAATTACGTAACATCTGGCTTTCTAATTTGTTTACTCTCAAACATAAAAAAGCAAAGACATGATTGGTCTGCCAATATTCCTGCTGCTATTTAAATAATTCGACTGATACGCGATACGTGTTTGCAGATTGCAAAAGTACGTTGGCATCCAAAAGGAGTTACAGAACCATACATCATTTACGATCTAGTGATAATAACAACAAAGACAGAAATCAAGTTTTCTGATAAAGTACAACCAGCATGCCTTCCGAAATACCAAGCGGAAAGAGAGCACGGTAGGCAAAAGTATGTGCCACCCGGGGGGTAACCCGTTTGAAAAAGTTTTTTATAAGAGTGTTCTATCTTCTGCCTAAAACAAACTACTAATTTGCGTTTTATCACCTTAAAGCAAGGCAACAAGGCGAAAAAAAATGGTAATCGTGTTGGGAAACGGTCATCTCTTTTAGTTGGCTCTGAAAGTGACGCTTACCTCCGTACTATTTGAGATATGTACCTCACGCATGGCGAGTCGTTAAAACAATCGCTTGAATTCGCGATAATCTTCCTACGGCTTACGCTAACAGACAGAAAGAATTTGATTTTGATTTCTTTCCGGGCCTATCATATCTTTTCAATTCCTAGTTTCGCATAAAACGCGTCAACATCATTTGGTAAATACAGAAACGTCAAACCAGATAAAGATAATAATGTATTCTATGAAAATTTCCCGAGATATTTTGGGAACTTATTATTTTGACCACATTGAAATGCCTTTATTGCCGATTTATTTATTCAATATTTTAACTCAAAGCACGACTTGGTTATCCGGCAATAACAAAGTTTTCATATATTATTCAATACGAAAATAACACGTAGATAGGATTCAAACGACGAAATCATAAAATGTTAACTATCAGCTTCATAAAAACCCGCATCCCGGGTCAGGTAATGATAATATTGTTCGCTTAAAATCGGAACCTAATTTACAAACCGTGATATGAAAGATCAAATATTACGCGAAATATAAAAGTAAGACAAAATTAATCCCGAAATATTGATCTATTTCCTAAGAAGATGTTTCTTAATAAAATGCCGTATTTAGAAACAAAACGGTGAAAAGCGTAAACATTAATTTTAAGAGAGAAGTACAACTCGCGGATGTCCGTGACGTTTTAATTGTTTATATGCACGAAAACAAGCTCACATGTAGCATCGATTACAGCGTACATGAAATAAAAAAATTATTACTTGTCGGGATATATTGTTAATGAAGTCAATTTTTATTGTCATTTAATGAGATATTTATATGCGCTGTGATAAGTAGTGGGCAAAATTACTTTATTTAATTTTATAATTTGATATTTTTACGCGAATAACGAGTATTATCGATACTCCCTTACTAAATGACTGAAGATTCGATAGCAGTGAGCCATTTTTTCAAAATCAATCATATTAAAACGCCTTACGGCGTCGTGAATTACACTTATTTGTGACTGTTATAACTTCTAGTGCCCCCTCCTATTAAAAATACCCTGGCTGCGCCCCTGACCGTCTGTATATTTCATGTTTATACAGAGTCGTGGTGTTGGGCTGTCGGATGGGGAAGCACTAAGGGCACAGGTTCAAAAGATGAACTGAAACAAGTTAGACTTCAAATAGGAAATGCGGAAGCGTGCTCGCATATTTTGAACTATGAAGAGTCCTTTTTAAAAAAGGAAATAGCTGTTTGTGCTGGAAAAATCAAAGGACGTGATACTTGTCAAGGCGACAGGTAAGACTATATTTTGGGTATTTCAAATTTATTATTAAAAGTTATATAGTCCGAGTTTGCACATCAAGACAGAGGTACTATATGTGTTTACGATGTTGTCCATCGTTATAAATTGAATGAAGCTTGGCAAAAAATATCATACTTGTGGAATATGATATATATATCCAGTGATGGGATTCAATATTTTGTCAGCCGGTTCCATCACACAAATGTCATTTTTTCAGCCGGTTCTGTTACAAAAAGTCTTTTTTGTACAAAAACTGTTTTTTTCAGTAATGCCAACCGGTTAGCTGATCTCATAAAATTCCGTGAGACGGTTCTATAGAACCGGTGCGAACCGGCTAAATCACACTACTGTATATATCCATTCCCGAGGAGATACTTATAAATTTTCTTTTTAGTGGAGGACCTCTCACATGCGACGATAACGGCAAGGCAACTTTGTACGGAGCTACAAGTTGGGGTTTCGGTTGCGCAAAAGGCATATACGGAGTTTATGCGTCAGTCTCTTTTGCACTTGAGTGGATTTGTTGCTTCATGGCGAATATTCCGGGTTGCCGAGGTGTCAGCTGTAATCCCAACCCAGAATAACTCACGTATATATATATATATATATAGATTTCAGTAACAAATCTGGTGAAATAAAATTATATTTACTGACTGGTAAATTAGTTTCTATATTACTGGACTATATTATGAAAAGTTAAAGAAAGAAGTAATCGCATCCAGAGTAGTTCTTGACAATATTTCCTAAAATAGCGATTCGATTTTCAACATATCGTTAGTTTCTGAAGTTGAATATGAACTCTATTCATGTGCTTCGTCGTTGCTCGCAAACTCGACAATGGTCCGGACTCTAATTGCGTTTTACTCAACGACGCAGTGGCTGTATTTGTATTATACACTTTCGAGCAGGATTAGAACAATCTAAGCGCACCATTGGAGGTTTTATTAATATGTATAGGTGCAATGCATTCATTCGTGCGAGCTAAAACTTCCGAACAGTGATACATTTAATTTCAATATTTTAATATGGCGAGATCCAACGAACAAAAAATTGTCAAATGAAATGGGATTCGAAATTATTTATGACGTATAAAAATCTATTATTGCATTCTAGTGGAAAAAATTGTATATATTTTGTTTTCGGAGCAAACATTACGGCACATCGACGCTTTTCATTATTTGGATTTGTTTTGCATTGTGCATTATGTTAGAAGATTTTATGCGCTTCCATCATGAAATGGTAATGTGATTGTCTTTTGGATAGAATAATCTAGGTAGGGCACTTAAAACAAACGAAGCATTATGAGCCAGAATCAATGAAACCAATCCCACTCTTCTTGCTTTAAACAACTCTTAATCCTCTGCGTAGATCTTTTTCGCGTAGACCCATCATTTGTCTACATCAGTACAAACACGTTGAACCCCTGTGCAAAGGTTTAATTTTCTTATGCGAAAAATCATCAGTTAATTATTAAAATAAAATTCTATTGGCAAAACAAATAATCTTTAAAGTATAGAAAGTTTAATAATAGTGGCATGTATTTGAATATATTTAAACAAAATACATGCAGACCCTCAGAAATAAATTTGTTAATATGTGAAGTAAGCTCTTGTGATAATATAGGTTCTAAAAATCGTGTCTGAAACTATTTGAGACGAAAGTATTGAGTTGCATCTTGGGCGTTAATAACTAAATCTCACAAAAAAACAATTGGATAATTATTAACGAGGATCAGAGATATATGAGTAATCAGATTATGCTCCGAACAACGTCAAATAAAATTGCCACAGAATACTGACTTAACTTACTTGAAAATGTTGAAGAGGGAACGATAGGTCTGGTGAGTAACGGCTATCACCATTGCACAGCGGTACGCAGCAAGGCAATTTGGAACCACCAGACGCCCTAGCCGCCATTACCATCGAAAAGCCCAAAGTAGTCCACACGTCGCAGGGAAGCAGAAGACAGTACTTTCCCGCGCATGCCCACATAAAAACAAAATGGCGACGCTCAGCGGCGATAATGAATACCCTCCATATTGATGATTGGATGTATTGGCATCATGACAAGCAGCCGGAAACAGGTAACAAAAACTTGGGGAAAGCTAAACATATGTTGAGCATAAGATTTCCCTTTTTTTTAAACAAACTGCTAATTTCTCTGAATACATTAATACATTAATTAAAAACTAATGTATAGGGTATACCCTGCCATATTCGGTGATAAAAAATATGATATCAAGGTGCCTCGATACCACAAAATGTTGAAATGTTACCAACGACTAACATACCAAATGTCACTGAACAATATCATCGCTCATATTTTATTACATCAGAAACGACTGCATTTGTGACATCACAGTCCTAACTCAATTTTCAAAGGGTAGGTAGGTACCACCGGTATTATTAGCCTATGAAAAATACCCCATTCTCCTTTCGTTCGTTACATCGGTTAATGGGATTCTTATCATAGAAAATATGATTTTAAAGCCATCTGGCAAGGTAGAAGGGCCCAAGGCTAAAGGGGGTGAGTAATAAAACTTGTTTTACTAGAAATTGAAATACTTTTTGCGTCTAGCCAATTTATTTTCCCATAAGCACTGGATGAATTTTTATCAAAATCTGAAGTAGGTTACTGGTAATTCCGTTACATCACTTATCTCAACATAACGTAGCACAATGAGTAATTTAACTTACATCGCGATAAGTAGCAATTTGGTTACTTGGGAAGGAAAGCATAACGCGGTTAGCAATTTTCCTCAGAGGGTGTTTTAATTTTACCAGAAAATTGGCGCTGTTTTCGCCATAACTTCTCTTAACTGAAACCTTACTTTTGTTCTTGTCCAATCTCAAACAAAAAGAGTTTATTTAGTTTGTTTCCAGAAAACGCATTCACAAATACTATGTTACTCAGTTATTTATATCTGTTACTGTGTCTTACAAACAGGGCCAAGTCCAGCACAAGATAAGAATATTGGAATTCTGCTTTTCGTGTTAGATGGAATAATCATAGTTGCTGCTATTTTCCTGTTGATGGGAAAACCAACTTGCCCTGATCAAAGTGAGTTTTCTATATTAATAAAAAATCGTATTATTGGAAGCATAAACTAAAAACTGAACTTCGCGCAGGCCAACCAGAGATCAGGGTTTCATCATAATAATCTTCCAACATGTTCGTGTATGCTTAAGTTTTACTTCAGTAGAGGAGTTAGGATATGAAAAAAATTGAATATTATCTGTAAGGCATATCATTATGATATTTTAGTATTTTTGTTCAAGTAGAGTACTCCCAGGTACTTTGCCCCACTTACTTCAAATACTGGTGATCATTAGATGACAATGCAGTATATTTATGTATATTTTGGCAGTGGAAGGCAGCAGAGATCAACTCGCAGCAGATTACAATTTCGCCGGTGTTGGAAACGGTAAGCTATATTATCTGCAATGAATTTATGTTATAATATAGATTATAGAACTTGAAACGTTTTACTATATAGGAGTATGTGTGATCCCGGAACCTGAATGTTCTAATTGACTTTCTGGTAAAATTAGCCCAGCAGCCGAAAGGATTGTTAGTCGGATTGTATCTATTTTCCTGCATGAAAATCGGGATCTTTTGTACACAGCCCCCGCCGTTATAATGCAAAAGTGTGAGATATGAGGAAAACACAATCCCGCCAAGTTTTTAAATAACAAATTAGTAATTATCCACTTGGGGTTAGGAATTATTTAGAAATTTGAATTCCCAGCGAAATAAACATTCCTAACTATAACTGGATAATTACTAATTCTTCTTATTTTGGGCGTTGGCGGGTCTCTGTACAGAAGATCCGATTATCACAGCTTAGTTTCTTATTTTCATAGTTCATTTTCACAAACACGCGAGAGCAAAATTCTCGGGTATTAAAGTAATAAAATAAGACGCATTTTCTGATTTAAGTTCCATATAGTCTTGTGCAGAGGATGATGCGTTGCTTACTCGTTAAAAATTTTCCACTATTGCTCATAATCTAAGATATAACGACAAATTAATTAATGACTCAAAAGGTGAACGAGAAAATTTTAGTCAGATCGTTTTGATGAGCAGTTCTACGTTGCAAAGTACTGGTATAGCACCAACCCCCATGGGTTTACCCCCTATTTCAGTTAAAATCATAAAAACAAAGTTAATTTTTTCCAAAATTCAATCAAATTACAGAACTTTAGCTTTTAGGAACATGTTTCGTCCGGTCATTATCAAATTAAAATTTATTTTCTCAGAATATTTGAGCACTAATTGAAATAATTATACGTAAGTTCTCATCCGTACGATGTACATAATTACCCGTATTAATATCATAAGAGTTTCTGTTTATAACGTGAATCACAAGCTCATGTTTTCAGTATATGGTCAACGTATAAATACGACTCGATATCTTTCAATGTTAAGTTAAAAAACTGATTCTAAAATTATCATTGTCAATTTTTTATAATCATCAATCTTGATACTTATTTATTTCTCACAATTATTGGGCCCTTATCGGTACTCTTAGTGATATACTTTTGAATTAAATGCCACATGAGATAAATTTTGGATGACGTAATCATTTTTGAAGGAGTTGTACATTATAAAGACGATTTGTACCTGAGATGTCAGTTAACGGAAAAAAAATCGTAACCGTTAACTATCTAAAATCGGTTAACCGATTAACCGGTTAACCATTCCCAGCCCTAGATAACTTGGTATTTACGTAATTTTCATATTATTCGCAACATAACCTCTGCGTATCCTTGATTTTAACAGCTAGTTGAAAAATTGGTGTTCGAATAAATTATTGTTACTAATCACAGACATCCTTTTCCTTCTTATAATTGAAATAATACGATAACACTACAATTTGGATTGATGTTTTTCCAAAAATCTTACTCTAAAGGCAGACTTATAGATGTTCGTCGGGAACGCACATACTGTAACTGTTTTTTTTAAAACGATATGATTGTAAGTAGCAGTTTTCCTAATTGTCTTACAATCTTTCTACTTTTTGATTCACTTCCTCCAAGAACGAAGTGACGACGGAGACGTCTGATTTATATTCACATTTTGTAAACGTAATGAAAATAACAAATGACAGTGAGAAAACTACGAAACGGCAACCAACGATCACAATCATACTCAAAAATATGTCCGAGTAAAAAATGTGTCTGAACGGCTGTCGAAGTCGAAGCTCGGGGAAGGAGATATCCGCTATCGGAAAAAGGTTAACGACTATAAACCCAGTAAATACGATTAATATTGATTGATAATGTAATTATTGATGCATCTGGTGCTTACTAAAACAAGACAGCAAAGCTTACATTATACGCACACAAAAGCCGTCACAACACAAAGAGAAATTTCTGTGACATATTTTCGACAATTTTGGCTTACCCTCAATGAAAAAAATGTTGTTTCAAATTTTACGATTGTTGACTTCTAGACTCTAGAGCAGTGGTTCTTAACCTTTTTTGCATATTTTACCCCGTTATCAAACAAGATTACAAGATTTACCTTCAATACAGCCATTAATGATCATTTATTAAAAATTCGTCAAGAAAAGTATAAAGAGCTCTAACTTTAGAGGCGAAGGCTCTCTCCTTCTACCCTTCCTCCCACCCCATGTTCACTCCTGCATTGAGTTTCAGTTCGGCGACAAAAGAAATGAGGAAACAGTGGGAAAGTTGTGAGAGGTTGGGGGTGAAAAAGAGTGGAGGAGCAAAATGTTTATGGGCGGAATAAGTGCGGGCGATTTCAGACATTTCGATGTTATAAGCTAGAATTTTTTAAAAGTTCGAGCTAGAACCAATATTAACAAAATCTAAATAACGTTTCTAATACTTTTTGTTTTTTCCTGACATTCTGTTTCAACAAATTCCAGTATGCAATTTTTTGTGAGTAAATTTAATGTAATGGTTAAAATATTAACAAAGGACTCGACTTATTTAAAGGTGTTGGTTTTCAATTCCGGCTGAAATATCAATCTACTGATAATAGTAGGCTAATACTGATTTCTCACGTTTTCGCAACAAAACAAACAAATAAATGTGGTTTTTGTTTACCATTTTATCTCCTTTTTTTTACAATACCGGAATTTACTCCTAAGAATGAAGAAATTTACCCCCATGGCCCCATCCGGCATACTTGTGCCTGCTGAAGTCACGACTCCTGATTTTATGAATATAAAGTTCTGTTAAAAATATCAATGAAAAAAAAACGAATCTTCGACTAAAATAAATACCTTTATTCATCGGTTCGCAAAGAGTGCGTCGCGAAAGACAGGAGAGTTGCTAAGTGCGCCGCGAAAATTAACAGAATTGTGTTAAATAAACATAACTAAAATATAATTGAAAACTCTACATATTGTATGTATTATAAAAGTTTTATTGTTCTTATTTCAAATGCTGTGTATATGAATCGAAATATCATTTTACTTTCTATGTCGTTTTATTAGGACTTTAGGTTATGTAGTGTTTGCCTTTATTGTTACGTAACAATAGAGATAGACACCCCTTGCTGCAATATCGCAAGCAGTAGTTTATTATCTGCGGAACCGAGTTTAGTGAACATGAGTGATTTTTTTAGCATTTTAAAGGAAAATCAGGCAGAGATGAGATGAAAAATTTGATCTTTTATTTTTATTATTTAGACCTACATGTTTACAAACAAAGGCATAAAATACACATCATTAACGATCACAAAATTGAGTTTTATTTGAAAGCAGCTTTTTTTGTGTAAGTGCGTAGTTACGGTCTCTAAGAAATCAGCACAATCAGCTTCGGGCCTGAACTGATTTCAAAAAGCTATTGGACGCGTTCATTAGGCTACATTAGTCCCATTTATCATTGTGCCACTTGGTACATTAGCTGTTTGTTGCGCATTAACTCTTACGCCGATTGTTTTTGAATAAACTGTATTTATTCATAGTTTCATATTGAGCCTCCGGCCCAGCAAGCAAGTCTATTATCTGGAGCCGGCCCCTCGTAGAAGTGATTGCCCACCCCTGCTCTAGAGGGTACCATTTTATTGTAGCTCCGCGTTTCTAACATTCTTCTACACGTCCTGGCGCTAATGCTCGATAGACAGTAGTTTGCTATTTCGGTAATGCGGAACAAAGTCCATCTTAGGGTCTAAGTGAAATGACATCATTACTAGGCGTGAGTATAACATATGATGTAGTCGATTGCAAAGTGACTGATAAATTTGATTTACATAAGTAATTAATAATATTTGTTTTAAGTTGACCTCCAGCGATATGGACACGAGAGCCCCACATATAACCAATTTAAGCCATCGTCTTATGGCAGTTCGAGCTACGGATCAAGTGGATCAAGCTATAGTTCTGGATGGGGTTTCATTTCTTCATTAATTGGTGGCAGTCCAGTGTCGGAAATTCATGGGCCCTCATCGGGATCAAGTTATCAAACACCAACAACTAGTTATGGATCAACATATAGTTCAGTTTACAATCCTGGGTCATCTACATCGGGTTCCGGGTCAACATATGCATCCAGTTATAGCTCAGGTTCATCATACTATTCGTCTGGATCGCCGTATGGATCAAGTTCGGGATACGGTTCATCGGGTTCCACTTCGACATACGGTTCGAATTATGCTTCAGGATCATCATCCTCCGGTTCTGGATCAAGTTCGGGATATAGTTCAAGTAGCAGTTACGGGTCGACATACGGATCGAATTATGGTTCAGGATCATCATCTTCCAGTTCTGGATCATCATCTCCCAGTTCTGGCTCAACATATGGATCGAACTATGGTTCAGGATCATCATCTTCCAGTTCTGGATCATCATTTCCCAGTTCTGGCTCGACATATGGATCGAACTATGGTTCAGGATCATCATCTTCCAGTTCTGGATCAGCATCTCCCAGTTCTGGCTCGACATATGGATCGAACTATGGTTCAGGATCATCATCCTCCGGCTCGGGATCATATTATGGATCAAGTTCGGGATATGGTTCAACTACAAGTTACGGATCAAATTATGGTTCAGGATCGTCATCTTCCGGTTCTGGGTCTTATTCCGGATCCAATTATGCTTCAGGGTCATCGCCTTCCGGTTCGGGGTCGTATTATGGATCAAGTTCGGGATCTAGTTCACCTACCACTTACGGATCGACATACGGATCAAATTATGGTTCAGGATCATCAACTTCTGGTTCTGGGTCACCTTATGGATCAAATTATGGTTCAGGGCCATCAACTTACGGTTCTGGGTCACCTTACGGATCAAGTTATGGTTCAGGGTCATCGACTTCCGGTTCTGGGTCGTCTTATGGATCAAGTTATAGTTCGGGATCGCTTTACGGATCAGGTTCGGGATACAAGCCATCTGGTCCCGGTTCTGGATCAACATTTGGATCTACGACAAGCACGCCACCCTCTGGTTTTGGGTCATCGTCCGGATCAAGTTCGGATAGCAAGCCATCTGGTTCCGCCTCGGGATCATCCTCATTTCTCTCTGTCAGCTCATTATGGGACAGTGTACCGATAGAAGAAGAGGAGGAGGCACCAAATCCTATCACGGCGTTAAATACAGGTACACAGCTTCATTTATATATATAATTTAAACACGAATGTTATATCTTCCAAAAATCTTGATGAGGAGAGTGATTTCAAAAAGTTTTAGCGAATTTTGCCAAACTGATGATCTTGGTTATATGCAGATTCGAAAATTCATCCAAATAAATAAAAATTGTCTTCAATTTCCAGTGTGTATAAAATATCAATCCCACCATATTCATATTGATCAAAAGAAATGGATTCTCTGTAGTATAGGATAGGGGAAAGCTTTGTATCAGTGACATCTGACCTCATGTAATATTTATGGGTAACAATCATTGCCTGTGTAAAAGCAATTAATATTGTAATTTGGTGTTGACAGTTTTATATTTTATTTTGAAGCCGCAGCTATCACACCAGAGAACAAAGGAACTACAATATCCGATGCTAGCTATCCATGTGAGTTCAGGAATAATATAGGATTAAAATATGTTGAATTGATGAGATATACTTTATCAAGCGCAAGATCTTCCACCGTCTGGATATTTTACATTGACATTTACACTAGTATTTAGCTTACAAAATTCAAAGAACTTGATATCATTGGTGAATACAACGTTTGATGAATTGAAGATATTTTTTGATTACGTGTTGATGCATCTGAGAATTCTGTCGTTGGTCAAAAGTATAACTGGCTTTTTTCAGCGGTGAAAAACTCACTGCTTAAGCCCTCTTACACGTTTGGTTTCAGTTCTTTGAAACAAATAAATTTTCGTTATAGGTAATTGATTAAATAAATTGAATATTTAGTGAAATCAGATCGCAAAAATCCAACATAAATATTTGTGTAATTCAGATAGTGATCTTGTCGATATCTACAAAGAAGATATCATCACCAACACCAATTTTAAGTGCGGCTCTACAGAAGCAAAACCCAATTTACAAACAGGAAGAATTGTAGGTATGGTTTTCACCAATGAGATTTTTGTACACTCTTCATACTGTATTAGATCGTCACTATCAAGCACACTATTCTCACACATTCATTCACATTACATACATTGAATGCATTATATTGATCTTTGTCAAAAATAATAAAATAAACATAGGGGAAAGTGGGAAGGTCGGGACATTTCCCTTGTGCATCTATTGGTCCTTATAATCTGCACATTCATTTGACATTACAGGGCAAATGCAGAGAAAGGTGAATGTAGTTCCCAAGCGACATACATTTTGCCACCAAAATGCTTTGAAAAACGTCCGTCTAGTGTCCCACTGCACCACACTGGTGGGGTTTATTCGGACACACACTGTTGCACAATTAAGCAGTACATTATGTTTGACAAAATATGCCGTTAAAATTAGCAACGAATCAGCATGATCATCTAACTAAAAAAATGTGAGACTTCAAATTTGGAGATTTAATATTTTTCAAATCAATACTCAACCAACCAATTAATTTTATTTCGGTCACTCTGAAAGGAGCAAAACAACAACAAACGAACAAACAAAATGCATAGGACCTGGAGGACGGGCATAACTTAATAAAAGAGTTGAAAACGTACAAATACGTGCCCGTCCACCAAAAACAGTCAAAATACACAATTAAACAAAAACACGATGAAAAATCGGTCAATGCATTTTAAATCAATTTTAAAATGTGAGACGTGTATGTGTATAACAACAGTGCTTTTCCCACAAAAATCTGGAATAAAAACCCTCGCTGACGTAAAATGGTGATGCTGTAGGCGTAGTTCATTGCAAAAACAATACAGTGACAAAAAATTGTTACTAAAAAACAAGCTCGTTAAATAGATTGAATGTTCCATAACAACCTATGCACAAATCATGGATTGGGTTATCTAGTTCTTTTGTCGTTTTCGATTAGTTCAATTTAAAATTATTGTATCTGTTCCAATGTTTCCAACATTAATATCGAATTTCCACGAACGACCATCATTCCAACAGGTGCAGTGGTCCCGTCTTTTTGCGCTCTGTTCCATCATCCACAACTAGATTCATAAAAGGATCGAAACCTCGCAATATATCCGTAACAGATCGTCCACCATTTAGCTTTAAGTCCATAAACTTCCTCAATTTCGGTGTATGGGCTTTCGACTCAACCAAAATATTTCATATTTTTTTCCAAAAAATTCCTAAAACAAGTTTTCCGCACATCCAGTCTCCTTTTTGTTAATTATATCTCGGAATTAATTGTTGTTTTATGTATTTGTCGTTTAACGGTGTGCCAAACGTGAAGTGATGTTATTTGACATTAAAATGTATCATGCTGTTATTTGTCTCCAGCCTTCTAAAAGCTAATAAGGCCCGACATTAAAGCGGATTTTCAGACGCCGTCCTTCAAAGAAACCGCCGGTCACTAATTTGAGTGGCGATTTATGAACCGTAAAGTTTTGCGATTCGGCTGGCAATGACGGCAGGTGGCGGATGTACAGCGTGTTCTTATCAATTTCAATTCACCTGGGTATTGTCACACTGGGTATTCTTCTACCGAAACAAGCATGGTCTGATTATAACAGACTTCGCTAAATAAAATTTAAGACACTTAAGATTAATATATGCGAGAATTATTAGCCAGTTAAGCATAAAATATGTATTAATATTTTTTCGAAATTTTCTATGTCAATGCATATTACGCACTTCTTTATTCTTATGACAATTTTTGACCTCGGAGGTGCGTGGTATAAATGAAGAAATGTGGTGATTGAAGGAAAAGTTCCGAAACTTTCGTTCTCGACAGTGACAGTTGTTCGGCCATAAACATCAAATACGGGATTTGAGCGCTCAAAAAGAACAAAAAAACGAAGATGAATGTTTTTTTAATCAGCAAGCTGTTTGTTGTGTTCAATAAAACAACAAAAAAAACATTCATATAGTAACAAGTAAAAGGTCTAATTCCAGTCCAAACCAAATAATTTACTCCTTCGAATACACTCTGGAAAATATTTTAAATATCTATGGAATGTATTCCAAATTGGGCCATTGACAAAAAGATAATCTAATATTACACGAAATATAACAGACAGTGGTTTGTCCAGTCGGAAAGACTGAAGTAAGAGAAACAAAAACGGCCGCTGTCCGTTCGAGGGGACGTCGTAGCTTACCGGAAGGCGGAGTTAAACATCAAAGCGCATGACCCATGCAGGATAGGCCTATAGTATGAGTGTGAGAGCTGACTGACCCACTGTCTCCTACATATTGAGCCGGACTTCGATATTTCTCAACTTCAGAATTTTGGGTTCATTTCCAAAAGTTTACCCTTTCACCTCCATAGCGACAAAAATTTGTACACTTTAAAATGTTTAAATGCTATTAGGGCTCGACCGATATATCGACCGGCCTTGTTTTTCGCAAACTTTGAACTATCGGTATCGACTAATTTTACCGATAGTTATCGGCAAATCACGTGACTGCCAAAGTGTTAAAATTGCAGTTTTATCGCTTGTTCATCGATAGCGGTTCTGCCTAATGCTCTTTTTCTTCGCTATTTCTATTTCTCTCTTATCCAAAACGGACGATTGTGGCACGGGAATCTCACGCATTGAAGCGAGAAACACCTGAACAACTTATTTGTGCCAAATAATATACTTTAGATTTTAGAATATTACTACGGAATTCTCGCGGTGGTTTCCACTTTCCACCGCGCTTTAGTCGTCGAAGGTGCGTGTGATATAACTTCTTGTATTGGTATGTTATAGAATATGGCTGGTTCTAGCGGTAGAAGCAAAGTAGGCACATTTCCATGGGAAAACTTCGCGTGCCACAATGATGGCGTAATTTGCAAAATATGCTCATCATTGTTAAGTCAAAGTTCCGCCGATTTAAAAAAGAAAAACACCAGTCATTTGTGGAGCCTTCTCAAAGCAAACACAAGAGCAAGTATGATTGAAGCCAATGTAGAAAAGCATTGGAGCCAATGCAGAAAAACTCTGCTTCTCAACTACAACTTGAGACTGTTGAACTGGAGCTATTGAGATTCATATGCTTCTTGCCCTTACATAAGTGTTCTTTCTTACCATGTACACAATTTTCAATTATTCTTTTCTGCTAGGCTACTACTTTAAAATCCTTTTCCAACATTTTAGGAGGCGGCGAAGCAGTTAAACACAGCTGGCCATGGACAGTTGCTCTTATGATGCGTACTGGAATGTGGAACGGTCACATATCCTTCATGGCGGTAAGAGAATGCATATTGTTTAATTAAAAATGCATCGAAGTAACTCGAATGTAAGTCATTGAATTTTGTGATGATGATCTATGCTTTCAGTTTAAACGTGAGTTGAAATACCAAATGATTCTTGTCACAACTGTGTTATCAAATCTTTATAGTACCGGTACCGTCGTTTATAGTCGATCGTATCCCATAAAAAACTTACCACTTTCGCTAAGCTCGAGATACGCTCACATGCGGTTACCGAACTGCAACAATTTATTTTTAATTTTGTTGACGTCACCACAAAAAACGTCTGAATGAAAAACGAATCCCATAGAGCCCACAAAATTTGAAATAAACAAAAGTATTAGATTTCTAGCGACAACAACAATCTTTACAACCACTGAAAATGCCAAATCAATTGTTCCAGTATTTAAAAAGAAAAGCGATTTTTTCACAACAAAAACAACTACACGAAGAAGAATTCAGAGAATACCAAAACCACAGATTAACAAAACGATCCATAGGTCCATTTCGTGTCCAATTAAAACAAGAGAGCTACGCCCAAATATATGGACACGTCTGTTCGCAGTACAGTACGGTTTATCGTACCGTCAGATCAGATCAAAAATCCCAGTCTACAAATATATTCACACCAAGCGAAGCAGTACAGTAGGAGTTCCAACTTTCGCTAAGGCGGTACGGTAACGTCCCCGCAGAAAAGAAAACCAACATTATTGCAATACTGTACGGTACAGTACCGGTACCGTAGTAAGACAGCGTAAGGAAAAAATCGTAGCAAAGTACCGTAAGGACCTCGTCACGAACCATCGACGTTAGCACGTGATCAAAAAGAAGAGGAGTGTCGGCTATGCGTCCGCACAACGTTCGGTGACGTCATAGCAAACAAAAACAAATCTCACTGAGCTAAAAGAAATATTTGAAATAAATAAAAGTAATAGCCTTCTGAAGAAAAATTTCATTTTTAACCAGTAAAAATTTCGAAGCAATCGGTCCAGTAATGAAAGAGAAAAGCGGTTTTTTAGATTTTCCACTAGATGTCCAAAAAGTGTCAAAGAACAACAACAACAACAACAAGACCAACACAATATTGAAACGATCGTTATGTCCACTACGTGTCCAATAATTGCGTTGTCTATATTCTCAGTTGATGCGTGTCGTGGTATACTGAACACACTTTATGCGAGTGCAGCAAAACTTTCTGCCCCACTTAACACATTGATGCACATAATTTTAAACGATCGTAAGTCGTAACGCGATGATATCGCTAAACTTCAGAGCACAATGCGTTAAACTTTTAGGTGTCTCACAAGTGCGCACTTCTGTTTTTCTGCTAAGCCGTAATTCCAGAATTGGATAAAATGTCGACGCTACATCTAACATACGGTTTTGTAAGTGTACGTGTTGGCGATCGGTTGAGATTTGTGATAAGATATATTGAAATATATCAGGCTAAAAGTATGTTCAAAAATTCAATTCCATCTTGGGATATTAGAAAACCTGCTACCACTCCACGTAGCGTAAAGCCATTCCGTTTTGTTGATTCGAATGTCTGTACACCCATGTCTGTTCTGTACTTACAGTGCTTCCCATCTCAGTTGTACAGTTTTAAGTGCGTGTATATGCTTTCCGTTATGGTCACACGCGAGTTTTGTTGCGCACTAAGTTCCGTTACTATATTCGATATACAGCACCAGATGTATCACATTTGATTCAGAATTGTTTGGACAAGTAGCTGAAAATATGCAAACAAAAATTGCGAGTTCAAAGCTGCGACAGTTGCTTTTTTATGTTCAAGATACTTACAAAAACATAGCATAGACATATAGTATCACAAATATGCTTATTGTTTAAGATTGGGACCAGAATTTGCAATTATATAGTCATTTTAAAGAGTTTATACTATGCTATTTGTGAACTATATATTAATTATATACCCGATAGTTCCAACTCATTACATACATGAAGATGGGAGTCCCATCAAATTCGCTGGAAGCGACCACTAAATTACCATCATTTGCATTTACCAGTCATGTGGAGGTACAATCGTTTCTCCCAGGCATGTCATTACAGCGTTTCACTGTTTCAAAAATAAAGCAAAAAGTGATGACGTTAGCTTATCAATACTCGATGGAGATCCCAATTACAATAGAAGAGTGTTCATCGGAAAACATGATGTCACAAAAATAATAGGAGAGGAGTATGAGGTCAGTGAATATAATTTATTATGTTGAAGAAGTTTCAACCAAAATAAAACATTTTCAATATGTAAAATCATATTCCTTTCGATTGCATAAGTCTCTCAATTTTTATTCTAAACAAATATTTTGTCGCCGAAGACGCATATCAATGCCAATACTTAACTGCTGCGGTTGGTCGTTTTTATCGGAACCCTGGTGTCAGACTGTAACCATCTGTAAAGTAACAACTGCAGCTTACGCCTGTGCGTTATGACACCAAAAAAACCGACGTCATAATACCCGTTTCTACTCGCAGTTTGGGACGTGGCACAATTTACTGAAGAATAAAATTATTTTTCCATTTTTATAATAAACGGGTGTCCGATAAAAAGATTCGAAATAGTGAAAAACAGGGTGTCCCAAAATAAATGAATCCCACAAAATTGGTAATCGAATTGTTGGGTTTCATTTATTTTGGGACACCATACACATTGCTAACAAAACAATACTCCCGAGTTATGTGAACCAAGATGGCGGACACTGGAACGTATTGTGTCTACCAGGTTAGAGTTGGGCCATAATTTGAGATACACGGGAGTCACTTGGCTAGTACCCGAACTCGTAATAGAACTAAAATAAGGATATTGGAATAAAATTATGGCAGAAAATATGGCTCTACAAGATGGTGGTCTTGAAATTTTGAATTTCACAATAATAAAAATTTTGGCTGGACTTAGGACTATAATATTTTGTAGAAGTTAGGAACAAAATAGGCCTAAGTTCCAATATGATGGACATCAGAAATAAAATGTCGAAAACTTACATCCCTAAGAATTTGTTCAGTGCAACTTAGGCCTAAGTCACCTTGTTTTACCTTGCATTCCATACAAAAGTTTCAGAAGTTGTTGAGAACTGAATGGGCCAAAGTCCTTTACTGGGGTAAAAAAAACAGAAAGGAAGTGCCAAATATTATTGATTACAAAGGTATTCTCATCCGCATTAAAATAACAGAAGCTCAGGTCTCTACTAAGTGTGAATATCCATCCATCTCATCCGGCGATATTGACCTTCATGCACATAGTCAGACATGTAGGCCTACTGATTTTTGAGTAAGTCATTCTCTGGCACTCGACGTTATGAAATTTATGTGATGAAACACGGATTCGCATGTATACGTTTTAATCGAAAAACTTTTACAACGTAACCCAAGCAAACGGAACCTATACTTTCCTAATTACTTCAAGGAAAATAGAAAAAAAGTATTAACTTATGTTTACGCTTGAACTTCTGTTTGTGTATGACTGTACCCAATAATCAATGAAATTAGCTCTCAAGTCAATGAAATTAGCTCTCCAAACAGCTTTGTATGCGGAAAAAATGAATGAACTGCAGAGTAACATCTAGTTCTCGTATACCTCACAAATATTCTGCGGTCCCCTTTGGTTCATACTCCATACACCTATGAAAAGATAAATTGCGAGAAAATGGACAGATTAATTGTACTGTTTTGTCATAAAGGTTGTGACAATATTGTTATCAGTATCCGCATGTAGTTCACATATTATTAGCCTAAATTAAAGCCGTTTTTATCATCAATTCTTATCCTTGAAACGTTAGTACGCTTTAGTTACGTAGGTCACCGAAAAAACATGGGTCAGTGGTTCGTCATCCCTGGAATAAGTGATCATTCCCAGTCGCGACAATGTCGTCGTCTGAAGATATTTATTTAGATCCAAAATCACTCACGCGCAACCTCCGACGCAAAAATTGGGCATTCCAATGGAATTTCTGCCGTAAGGGGCAAATGCCATGCTCGATTGCAATTTTTTTTACCAGTTAATAGCTATATTATCGTGCCAACCAATCGATCACAACCTGATGAATGTTACATAGATTATCGACGAATATTGATTTATGATTGTAGTATATATACAGTACAATTTAGTTGAGAAATTAATTCTTTTGTAGCTCGCAGTTGTGCGACCACATCCAAGGGGAAACATGAATCTAATAGTGAACGATATAGCTTTAATCACAACCAAAAAAGAGATTAAGTTTACTGATAGAGTGCAACCTGCATGTCTTCCGAAGTTTAAAGTGATAAAGCCAGCAGGTGAGTCATTCAATCTTTAACTACCCAGGAAAATTTTAGCCGATATCAAATGCTTTGAAGTTATTTTCATGTAAGGTTTTTATATTTCATAAAGTAACTCCAGTTTGACAAAGTTTCAATATCGGCACGATTGATATTTCAATGTTGAAATTTTGAAATTGCATTTATTTGGCTATAACATAAACTGTTGAGTAATATTGCTGGAACTATGTGATTCTCAATTTGAATGAAGTCGTTTCGTGCTTAGAAAAATTGGTTTATCATAGCGTAATATGTGTCAAATAAACTTTATTTTTTTGTACCATAATCGTAAGCACGTAGTTTTGTCGACAATTCAATGGTCATTTATATAGCCAGGGTTATCATTTACCTACAGCCAAAAATAAGCACGGGTGATAAAAGGGTATTTTTGGGTGTACTTAACAACGGCAGAAACGCAGTTTAAAAATGTGAAATAAATCATCCAAGAGTCTATTCCACTCTCCCAATTTTTTATCCACTTAAGTTTTCTTTTATCAGAAGTCGCTTCGAACAAGAAATCTGTGGAAAAGCACGAAGTCACAGCCACACGCAACCTCTAAAGCGGTGGTTCCGAAGCGTAGGCCCGTGGCTCACGTAGAGGGCCACAGAGCAGTTGAAGTGGGCCACCATGCCAGACGCAAAACGGTTTTTTCATAAAGCGTTTTCATTTCGTTGAGCATGAATTGTTTGAACACAATGGGATTAGGAATCTGCCAATCAAAGTACCATTATTGAATGATAAATGAGGAATGACAAACAAGGGGGCCATAAATGCTAAACGCCTCTAGAAGGGGGCCACATTGCTCTGAAGTCTTCATACTTTGGTTTCCCGCAAAGATTTTTGCGAAATTCTTATGTTTTGTGGTAGAATTGTGGGCACCAATTGCTGTTTTCCCCCTGACCTTTAAGTTGATATCGTCATCACAATAGCAGCTGTGAGCACAGCTCGACTTTGCGCTCGTGCTTACTCATTGTCTAAAATCTAAATTATAGTTTATCCCTAAAAACAGTATTCTTAAAAACTAACACCAACTGTTGTAACTGTGTCACAGTTTTGCCTGGAAATACCGCTAACAGAAACAGTTCTGCGCTGCTGAGATTGAGCGAGTCCGAGGCATGAGGTTACGGTGGAACGTAGGTAATCGATATGTCACAATAATAACACAATGAATCGCGAATACGCGTTGTGTATAATGATAAACATCGTCCCATCATATAAGAGGCAAAAAAAGCACGCAACTCAAAAATAAGCACTTTTCTTAGAAATAAACACGATATGGTAACCCTGTATATAGGACAAATGGACGTGGTACTTTCTATTCAAGTATTGAGTGAGTGTTTGTGACTGATTGTAAACTGCCCCAGAAAGTTTGCGATATATGTATATCCATAAAAAATGGCACTTTATTCAAGGCATAAGGAGACTCTATTTTTTATTCGCAATGAATAATATGCCTCTAATACGAGTTGTTTGACGAGGTAAACTTTCGTAATCCATTTGAGCTTCGTTCATTTGTGCGATATTATATTCTGCTCTAATTTCATATTGGATTGTAAAAAAATCAATGATTTTAGGCACGCAATGTTGGGCTGTCGGATGGGGGAATACGAAAGGCACCGGTGATGAAGGTGTACTAAAGCAAATACGACTTCCAATCGTAAGTCTGAAGGAATGCGCTAAGGAGTTGGGGTTGGAAGAACATAACAATCATGATAGTATTTCACTGTGCGCAGGGGGAGACATGGGCCGGGATACTTGTCAAGGAGACAGGTAACACTTTATATAAATATGAACTAAGATTCAGAAATCTGTATACGTATATGGATTTCAGTATCTCCCAAATTTCAGTGCTCTTGTGAATATTTTAATAAAGATACATACATCATCTAATAGTATTGGTGCTGCACAAATATGTTATTTCTAAGAAATTTCAAATCGTTACATTTTAATTTGCGTAAAAATACCAAACATCACTTTGCAGTGAAATTTGCCCCGAGCAAGCCAAACTCGGCATGTCAAAGTAGAGCTTAATAATTTAAATATTAGGTATGGTTAGACGTTATGTTCAAGATTTATATTTATAATCACAAAGCTGAAGTAAAGAAAGTCCACGCGTGAGACTACAGTTTCCATAATTTCGCCTAATTTTTGGTCAAAACAATCTGAATTAAAACAACTTTATATGTATATTTGACAGTAAAAATTTGAACAGCGTTTTACAAAAACTATAATAATGACTTCACTATGATTAGAACCGTTTACTGAAACTGAAATCTATAGTTAAATGCAGTGGGCCGTGTGCAGAAAAATGTTTCTAGCCATTCAAATAATCCCATGTTACGCATGCTCGTATGCCATCTGAACAGATTACTATCTTGTTTGTTTTTTCAATATATTTATTGATAAGATCCGTTTTGTGTTTCAGCGGAGGTCCTCTCTATTGCTTTGACGATGGAAAAGCAACAGTATACGGCGCTACAAGCTGGGGTTACGGATGTGGAAAAGGGACTGCTGGTGTATATGCTCCTACTTCTTTCAATTTGCGTTGGCTTTGCTGCTTCATGGCCAATATTCCAAGTTGTCGAGGTGTCAGTTGTGATCCGGATCCACAGTTTACATAACATGTCTGTTTTGAGATTGTTTTATTGAATAAAGTTTGCGGTTGTCATAGTTCCGTTGCTATCTTTATACAATACAACATTGCTCTCCGTGCTGATATTTGTTTCAATATTTTTATACATTAAATAAAATGACAGTGTATGAAATAGTAAAATTTACATTCAGGAATATATTTATCCCACCTCACTCAGATGGGAAGGGAATTTCTACACGAAACGCTGGGATCGGACAGGCATAAATACACCAATTACACCATTAAATACAAATCTTTACTTCATCCACCAAGTCAGAGAAGTCCTTAGGGTGGTTCCAATGTTTCATAATAATTCAATGATACTATTTCTACCGAAAGTTATGTTTACTCATTTTTATGATTATGATCCTTTTGGTCAGTATGGTTGCGGATGTGTGAGAGTGTTATGAGTCGACTACTTTGAGAAAGTACTACTTATTTTGTTATCAGATTTTCATTAAAATTTCTCTGAGGTGGGCCTGATTTTCTGATTTTGTTTTTATAAATGATTTTATTACATGTTATGCATATTAAGTTGGAGGTATATATGACAAATATATATCATATATAACCATCTAAGAGCATACAACAAATGCTATTGTTTTGGAGCAAAACGCAGGAAGTAGAAGACAAATTCGATCAGTTTTGTTCGAATTGTTTCTCAAATCATGTCCATGTTTGTCCAAGATATCATGTAAAGAATACTTGTTAAATAAAGTTAAAATTCAGTTGCATCCGTAAAATGGACTATGTACTTTTTAAGAAAAATTTACACTTTCAGACGAAGACATGCCTTCTGAGAAACCTATCATTTTTTCTAAAGATTGGAGAGCAGTCACCCAATACACACATATTGAAAATGGCTAATTCTGGGAAGAGATCAAAAAGTTAAAAACATTAGGAATATAATCTGCCCGATCTCACAAATACCACAAACCTTTTTCAACGAAGCTTGGTCTAGAAATAAACACACACAAAAAATACGCGAATGTATTGAACTCTCGAGCTGTTGTACTTTAAAACACGTAAGCAAATGATAACCAATTCAATCTGATACAAAGAAAACGTGTGGCATGCAATGTGATTAAGTAAAAAGAACAGTCGAAAACTACGCTGATTGGGAATAGCTGAATAGAGAAAATGTGGTTTAAGATACATGCAAACTGAGATCGAAATTATGCTAGTAAATTCTGTGCACTAGTCTAGGGATGCCGCTTTTTGATTTACGAATCGAATCGCATCTTTTTCGAAGCGATTGGAATCAGATTTACGCGATTCGGAAAAAGAGAGCGTTAAAGAAGGAAAAAACATTGAGTGTCTTTATTATTCAGGGAATTATTTTGCTGTCGTAGTCGGTTGAACGATTATCTTTATCAAATTTAGTTTTATGGAGGTCAATTTTTTTGTCTTCAAGCATATTGCTGTAAGCGTTTTCATTTATTGTAATTCAAATGTATCTAAAATTCTTTTTGTCCTATTACACTATCCTGCTAGCATAAATATATGTCGAGTGTCTTCTTGCTTATAAAGCTCTACCGCAATAATGAGCCTATATTGAACAGAGACGGCAATGTACTGAAACTGAGTGTGAAAACATAAAATCATAATAAGGCCAGACTTAATGCAATAAATTATAGCAATAAGTGAAATATCACAGTCACATATACAGGAATGAGACTACTGGAAGCAGTGCTGTTACTGTGTTTATGATATAACGGTACAGCAACTGTTTCCTGAACTTTTTTCCCATGTGAATTTCATCAAATCGATGCATTCGCAGATAACAGCGAGTTTTTCATCAATGTAAATATTGGTCATATCTTTGACCTACATATTTTTTATAATAATGGAAATATGTGTGGCTCATTCACTGAAAAAACTTTGCCATCCTTGTTATCTATCATTTTTGTGTGTCAATATATATATCCCATTGTCAAGTTTTTCTCTTCTATATTTGGGCTTAGGCTTTTAGTGACTTCCGGAAACCTACGCATACAATAAAAAAAAGCCTAACAGATTCAGATTCGATTCGAAAATTTTTGATTCGATTTGAAAAAAAAATGTATCCATAAATGGCAACATTAGCACGGACACTCTATAAAAACAATATCACGAAAATCACTAATCACACGTGAACAGGTCTGTTATTGACGAGGCCAATATTCTTAAAACAATATGCTCACAAAGCAAAATAATTAGGTGATTGTTTTAACAAAGTTGCAAATAGGTAGGTGGATGTCATATCATGTTAAATTACAAACTATTTATGTGCATATAGTACCAAATAAATAGTTTGAAATCCCATTTATTATTTTTAAACGCGACCACTTCCGACGATTGCCAAAGGGTTAATCAAATCAAGCGGTTCATTCGAATCAAGCCCGAACTAACTTCAACAGACTCACACCGTTCATAGACCGGACGAGAGGCCACGGTTTAGCCTAATTTATGACCATCCTGCCTCGCCCGCTTTCCTCTACTCTTGGTTAAATATGAACATCCGGGACTTATACAGTGTACAGTCGCTCGTAAAAAGCTAGCGCCAATGCATTTGTGACGTCATAGTCAATTTATTATAATTGAATACTAAATGTTCAAAGGCCCAATCTCAGTATTGTAATCGAGAAAAGAGTAAAGTTTGCAACAATTTTATTGAACATGAGCTCGAAACCGTATGGAAAACCTGTAAATCCCGGGGCTAAATATGGTAAGTAAGCAAATAATACATTGAAGAAACCACTTAGTGACAATTCAGTTGTAATCATGATGACTTTTTTCACATTCTAACTTCTAATTGCATATCATCACTAGACTCGCAGTGATCCCCATGACTTCTAGATTTTCAACTCTGAAGCTCAATCAATACTGTTTTCTAAAATTTACTTCTCTTATGTCTATAACTCCATAAGTATAATTGTCAGAGGTAGGCTGAGATTTGGAATTGGAGGTAGAGCGTCTTTATATGAACTACCAAAGTTCTGGGAGCTACACAAAACTGTATGGGCAAATATAGTACATGACGTCACGATAACAAGTAAAAAGATCACATGGTACGCGATTGAATGGCAGGTGTCAGATTGCTGCAGCATAGAGAGAATGCTTTATCAAAACGACGATACAGGGGAATATTTTTGTTGCACATACTGATGCACAATTCCTCTAATATTCAAATATATTCGTGCATTTTAACCTAAAATGTAATATTTCGTGACCCTGACATTCACAACTAAATGGTTGTTTTCACTATATGTTTCACTATATAATGAGTTAAATAAACCGCTAAAAGTATATAATATATATACAGTATATAAGGGTCTTGTTGAAAATGAATATTTGGATCAGGTCGTATCACGTGGGTCGACATGTTTCTAACAAACTGCTTACAACTCAGTTATAAGATCAGTTTTCGATGTGATCTCGAGCCAAATCACTTGCTGCGTACTCTGATTATCTTGTATTTCAAGCATCGCCATTAATATTCATAATACAAAATATTTCTGTTCGGCAAAGTGGATACATGTTTTGTGATATTAAGTTTGTAATATTAGTAAGGTGCATGATGTAGATTGTAGGCCCATGTTATAGAAAGAATGTAAATTTGCCAATGCCAAAATTTGGCTCCAACTCTGTTAAAACTTTATAAATTCGTTTCATTTGCAATTCTCACATATGGTGTTTGTCTTCAATTTACAAGTGTTGATAGCCTCCTACGGCAGCACAAACAACAACTATTCTCTCTTACATGCAGGACAGAATGCAGCCCGAGATAAACAAATTGGGATACTCCTTTTTGTTCTGGATGGACTCATTTTGACTTCTGCTATTTTCCTATTCGCTGGAAAACAATCATGCCCTGATGGAAGTAAGTCCATTATTGGTCTGCTATTTTTCGTCTAGTGAACTTTTGTTGATTTCTATTGGCGCAGATCAAAATCTACATATAATATTAAATTGACTATATGTTTAACTATAGGCTTTATTCAGTATTGTATTTTCACGATGCGTAGTAAAGGCTTAATTCTTAGTCTTGTGCTGATGTTATTCAATCTCACCGAACAAAGTCATCGAAATGAAATCAGATTCATTCATACCTCATTTATCATACTCAATTTATCCAACAAATATCTATGCTCTAGAATAGATTCATGTTACGTCAATTTTTAAAAGAAGTCACATCCAATATATATCGAAGTATAATAATGCATACTTTTGCAGTTGACAACAACTATTCGGCAGATTATAGCTTCAATATATCCGAAACTGGAAATGGTAATATTTATGTACATATTTAAATTATTCATCAGTGACAGGACGTCGCGACTTCGGAGTCTTTTTCAGAGTCTAATTCTATTTGAGTCGCTCGATGACTGATCTTAATTTCTAGATTAAAATGCATTGAATAATTTAAAATTGTCAATCCATTTTTCGTTTTTACAACATGCTTGCTGTAATACACGATATGCAATTAAAGTTTAAATTGTATAACGAGACGGTTTTTCATGAAAAATATTATTTCAGGAATAGCCTGATTAAAACAACGGCATTAATATGTTCAGTGATCGTGAACCGTTATCTCCACACCGCGGGTATTTTAATGAAAAATATATACTCAATGTTTAGCTGTGGAAATTTACACATTTTTTCAAGTATAATTTGAATGCATTCAAAACGAAAGAGCCGAAAAGGGTTTTTGTATTTTTAATACCTGCCTCTCTGTTCACATATGTAATCGAAAATATTCATTTTAGTTAATCTCCAGCAATATGATCACGATAGTCCAGCGTTTAATCGATTTCAACCATCTTCGTACGGTAGTTCAAGCTATGAATCGTCCCCGTTTGCTTCAAGTTTCGGATCATCATCCTATGGATCCAGCTACAATTCTAATTATGGCGGCACATCGCCGTCATCGTGGGCGCCGTATGGATCAAGTTCAACCATTACGGGATCCGGATATAATTGGCCATCTTATAGTCCAACAGTATGGAATTCCGGCTCCACATCTGGATCAACCCATGATACTGGCTCATCATCTTACGATTCCTTGTCATCTTTTGGATATAGTCCCGGACCCAATTATGGTTTTGGAACTTCTTCGTCAACGGTAACATCTGGTTCCGATTCATTGTACGGATCGTCGTATGGTGAATCGAGTTTCACGTCTTGGACAGGATCATCACCCTCTGATTTAGGGTCTACATACGGATCGAACTATGGTTCGGGATTTCCTAGTTCATCTTCGGGATCGTCTGCGGGTTCAGGGTCGACCTACGGATGGAACTATGGTTTTGGATCCCCCAGCTCATCTTCCGGATCATCTGATGATTCAGGGTCTACCTGGAACTATGGTTTTGGATCTCCAAGCTCATCTTCCGGGTCATCTGATGGTTCAGGGTCAACCTATGAGTGGAACTATGGTTTTGGATCCTCTAGCTCACCTTCCGGGTCATCTGATGGTTCAAGTTCGACTTATGAGTGGAACTATGGTTTTGGATCTCCTAGCTCACCTTCCGGGTCATCTGATGGTTCAGGTTCGACTTATGAGTGGAACTATGGTTCCGGATCGCCAAGCTCATCTGTTAGTTCCGGTTCCTCTAGTACATCCTCCGGGCCATCCGTTGGTTCAGGGTCGACTTTTGGGTGGAACTATGGTTCTGGATCTTCTGCTGGGTCATCGGTCGGTTCATCTTCCGGTGCCGGATCATCAAGTGGAGAGAGTATTGACACTGGATCTTCTTCATCTATTTCGGAAACAACATCTGACGCTGATTCCAGCAATACTCAAAATCTTACTGGATGGGAGGCACTCATCGCATCCGGCTATGGCACAACTTGGACTTTTGGGACCGGCGTTGGCACTGTTACTTCGCTGGCAGATAAGGGAATTACTGTCGGAATTGGAACCGCATCATCTTCAGCATCGTCGAACGGGAGTAGTGGAGGCCCCCATCTAGCCGCCGGAGAAACCATCAGCTACTGGGTGTACAAACCTTACAAGCCAAAGCCAAAGCCAACTTCACCTTCAAGTGGTTCAACAATTGATCAGGGAGCAACAAGTGGAGTCAGTTCAAGCTTTAGTGTGGCTCCATCTCCAAGCGGGACAGGGTCAACAAATCAAATTGCTGGAATAAATGCTGGGGCAAGTATGTATGATTTTGTCAGCAACAAAAAAGGGAAAATTGCGATAAAGGCGTAAAAATACTAAGTTCTCCGTATGAATTCCATCAAAAATAATTATGAACGGAATCATCGTTAGCCCAATTTTTTATCAGATTATAGAGTATCAGAAAGTAATGAAACTTTGTTGCATCCTAAACAAGGTGAAATTTTTTTTACAGTGTGAACAGTAAATAATTTCAACGTACATTTTTCTATAAATAAAATAAGATTCACACCCAACCATTGATTGAAAAATATTCTAACATAACTTTATCTATTTAAAAGAGAATAAACGCGGTTTTATTGAACTCATTTATCTTTGTTGAATAAATTTATGAGATCTGATAAATGTTCAGAAGTGTATTTTTAATCATGAATAAATCGCGCTGGTGTTTCAACCTAGATGGATTTGGTTCCACAACTGGATTTGGGTCGACTTCTGGGGGTTTTGGTGACACTTCTGGTGGATCACTTCCAATAGGAGGTGGCTCAACTGCGATATCTCAAGGAGAATATCCATGTGAGTTTTGTGAATATTCATATACCAATGGCTCAGAATCAAATCGTAAAGAGCATGTCGTGCAGAGAATTAAACTGAAAAGTACATATAATTATTAGACAGGAATCATAAAAATGCAATATTTTGAATCATGATTAAATAAATTTCTCAAGTCTGCCGATTCCGTGAATATGGAAATTGTACAATAAACTGCGTACGACAAAACTTGGTGAACATCGTAATTTCATATACGTAACATACAAAATACGTATCGATCCACTTTTAATTTTTGAATATTTTTGAAAAGAGAATATACGCTTTATAATGAGGGAGGGTATAATGATGAACAACAATTCTAATTCTCCTTTTTATCGCACATGTAGGTTACGTCCAGCAATCGGCCGTTAGCGAATTATTTGTGATTCCAGTAATGTTTAATAATATTTCAATTGCATATTTGCAGTCAAGGATCTTGTCGACATCATACCTGAAGATACAATTGTCAACACCGACTTTAAATGCGGCATTCCAAAAGTCAAACCAAATTTAAAAACAGGACGAATCGTGGGTGCGTTGTGATCAGTTTAATGTCTGTTTCTTCTTTGTCATTCTTTTTAGATGAGAGGCTTTCTAGACAGACGTTACGAGCTATCACTACTAACCATTTCTGCCTTGTCACTTCTGTGTATATGTCAAAATAAATTTAATTCTTTGTTGGATAGGTGGAACAGAAGCAGTGAAACATAGTTGGCCATGGACAGTAAATGTGATGGCGCGGGATGCAATATTTTCAGGCGAAGAATTTTTCAATAGCGTGAGATAAATATTATCGAATATCAATAAATATATGCTGGCCCTATCTAGCTCTGTATTATACAATCTGAAATCTTTTAGGTTGCTTTTGAACTAGCTCAGAGGTTTACACGAACTGACGTTAAATATATTTTGTTATTGTCAAGCAGCACGAGCCTAATTCAAAATTCCCGAATCGACCCGAAAAAAGTGCCCGAGTTACTTTTATATTTTGTATTGCATTTCAATTTTTCAAAATCCGAAACGTGGACGCTCATTTCTCGGAGAATTTTTGTAAAAAAGAAGAGTGAACTCTTTATTCGCGCATTTTTAGGTATGTGGTGCCACAATTGTTTCACCAAAACATGTAATATCAGCATTACATTGCTTCGCCTCAAACTCAGGCCCGGGTGTCAAGGAAAAGGTTAAAGTGGATGTAAATAGATACTGGCGATTGTTTATAGGAAAACATGATCAAATGCACGTCAAAGGAGAACAATATGAGGTTTGTACATAACATTAGTATTGAATCACGTTTGATGGCTCTATCTGTTCCAACCACTTTCCATTCCAACTGAGTCCCATAGCTCTATGTGGGCATTTCGCTGCTAGATCACTGTCATATCAATTTTTTCTATATCATTTAGTATGCTTGGTTATGATAATTATATTACCTAATTCGTTTTTACTGCTAAATTTAGAAGGCAAAAGTGAAGTAAGCTAACTGTTCTGTTAATTATCCCCACTGTATAAAGGTTTTGAATGAATCATATGTTTGCAGATCGCAAAACTACGTTGGCATCATAAAGGGGTAACATTTCCATACGTTATTTACGATTTAGTAATACTAACAACAAAAAAAGAAATCAAGTTTTCTGATAAAGTACAACCAGCATGCCTTCCGAAATACCAAGCGGAACGAAAGCACGGTAGGCAAAAACGTGTAAGACTAGTATATATTAGCTTTTAGCTGCCTTGAATACGTATATAATTATATTTTAATGATACAGGGTCGTGGTGTTGGGCTGTGGGATGGGGTTTCACTCAAGGCACAGGTTCGGATAATGAATTAAAACAAGTCAGACTTAAAATTGGAAATCCGGAAGCGTGTGAGAAGAATTTGGGATACAGCAAAGAATTGCTAAAAAAGGAAATAGCTGTTTGCGCTGGAACAGAAAAGGGACAAGATACTTGTCAAGGCGATAGGTAAGATATATAGGCTACTGAGCATTTCTATTTCATTTAAAAAGTATGATAACAGATTGTATAGTAAGGGTTAACGGAAGAGAGAAGCACAGTGCTGGTTTGCGTTGTAGTCGATCGTTATGAATCTTTGCAAAAATAAAATGTCGATATATTTTGATATAAATATATATTCCCGTGGACATAATTTTTTCTTATTAGTGGCGGACCTCTCACTTGCGAAGATAACGGTAAAGTAACGTTGTACGGAGCTACAAGTTGGGGAGGTGATTGTGGATCAGGCAACTACGCAGTTTATGCGTCAGTCTCTTTTGCACTTGAGTGGATTTGTTGCTTCATGGCGAATATTCCGGGTTGTCGAGGTGTCAGCTGTAATCCCAAACCAGAGTAATTCATGTATATATTTCAGTAACCTTTTTTTTTTAAATAAAACGATGTTAACTGACTGTGAAATTGGTTTCTGTACTATTCAAATTATTTAGGATCTTAACTATGCAAAATTAAAAAAAGAAGGCGAATTCAGAAATCAAGAAATGTATATATGCACAGAAACCTACTAACGGAAAATGCATTTAGTTGGAAATACGCTTCCGATGCCGATTTGTTGTTAAATATTCTAAGGAAATTCTAAATCATTACTGAATATCTGGCAATTACTTATTGTAGCTTACTTGTATATTTAGTTGCTACAGAACATGGATTTCGTGCTAAGCAGAGTAGTATAATGTTTATATCCAGGCTGCGAATTCGGGTAAATCTGCCATTGACTCCACATTGAATTTTTTTTGGCTCCGACTCCGGGCTAAAATTATGAATGAAAATTATAAAACAAATTGACTGCATAAATAGGCTTATAAACACTGCCAGGTAAATTTGAGCGTCTCGTCTGTATTCCTGCATAAGTGGTATACTGTGGGCTGAGGCTAATATACAAATATTCACTTAAATTCTTGAGGCTTCTCCAGTTTATAAATTTTTTAAATTGAAGATGGCGTTTGAATTAGTATAACAATTAGAGTGAGGTTTGAGGCTACAGATGAGAACAGAACCAATAAAATTGTCAGGTCATTCAACAAAGCGATGTTTTTGTCCCATAAAGCTCAGCATATAACAACTATCGGTTAACGTAGATCTCGAATGTTAGTGTTGCAATTCGAAGATTCTACTGTTTCGCTGCCTATTCCTACTACCTCGCCGTATGCAATTAACTGGGTAGAAAACAATGAAGCACTTTATAAAATGTAGCAGGTGCCCGCGTATCACTAACCGTTTTGTACGATTGAAGAATGACTTTATTTGAGCACGATAGAGTTTCCTAGCAGTTACATATGATTCTCTCCAAGACATATTTTGAGATGGTGACCTAAACAAAAAATTGTCAAATCAAATGTGATATAACATTGTCATTTCAGCGGTATATAAAATAAATAATTCCGAGCCTGTGCCATGAATGAAATAGAACTCAAAAAACACCAATCAGAATGCATCTTACATTACAACTTCGCATCGTACAATACAACTTCTTCAACTCTGGGAGTTATCGGATCATTCAGGACCAAATCCGGCTTGACATACGAACATGCAAAGGAGCTATATACCGCTGCAATTGAAATCAGTCCGATGATTGGGAAACAGCGCTTTGACTTCCTTTCCTTTTTGAAATTCTCAAATTTCATTTCAATTCACCTATTGTATTATTTCGAACCAATACTTGATCGTCAAGAAGAAGACTCGGCCCGTCTTTTCGCACCGGCATTAAATTAGCCGAAATAATTTGTTGCCAGTCACGAACTCCACTCCCTTGGTCTGCGATCCTTCAACTTGGTCGTAATTCCTGTATTTTGCTAATTTGAGACCACAATTAATTTGTCTCTGTAATCTACACTCTACAGCCACAATTAGGATTTCGCATGTAGGCTTCGGGTACAGGAGATCGATTGCGATGTCATGCTGACCGGTTTGCGGTTCGATTACTTGCATCGATTGATTCTTAACCTCTGTATCTATCAACGACTTAACAACCATGACAAGGTTCACCCACAGTTTCTGCATCTTTGTTAATTTTCGCCTACTGCGTAGTAAATTCTTTATTTTAATTACCCTCTGATGACACTCGTGTTCAAGTTTCAATACCTCATTTATTAAATTATGTGATATGACCGTCGCAAGTGCCGCAGGATTCAGGGTTGCCACTTTTGTCTGACTAAAAACATATAGATTGACCTCGAAAATCATCTAGAAACATCCAGATTGAAAAATAAAACATCTAGAAAATACATCTAGTTATGAATTCATCGAATTTAATGAAAAGTAACCATAATACAGTAATATTAGATATCGAAGAAGCTAACATCATAACCTAGAATTCAATTCCCACCTGCAGAACTTACAAAAAGCCTTGTACTTTTCATCTGAAGGAGCCAACTATTCTATAAGCCAATCTAGTGTAATTGGCAATTTGAAAATGTGGCAGACGATGCCTTTCATGCCTTCACGTTCGGGGCAATCATCACCAAACAGAGCAATAATCAAATCAAATCACAAAAACAAAAGGGTAAACAACACACAGAAAAATCCCATCTCTTTCTCGTCGCCAAACGTGGTGGTCATTTTGTCTACGAGTAATCAAACGAAGTGTCCGAGCGTGCGAAAATTCTGTACTTTATCTATACCGTCATTATATGTCACACAGACTTCCCAAGACTTAACACTACTTGATTACAAAACATTGTTATACCAGTGGTACAAAATGCAACGAGACTGCAAATTTCCCGCTACACATTGACAAGCCCTTCGTACAGTACATCACTACTTCCTCACGAGTTACTATTCAGTAAGCAGCGCGTAAAAATTGAATACAATTATACAGGGTTACCATATCGTGCTTATTTCTAAGATTTGTGCTTATTTTGTAGCCCGTGTCTTGTGAAGTAACGATGTGCTTATTTCTAAGAAAATTGCTTCTTTTTGAGTTGCGTGCTTATTTTTTATTGAAAACATGGATGACGTACAAAGCTTCCGTCAAAAAGGAGGGGCAAACTGTTTCTGTTAACGGTGGGGTTTGCTGTATTTCCAGGCAAACTGTAACACAGTTACAATAGTTGCTGCTAATTTTTAGGGATACTGTTTTTAGGGATGACAAACCACAATTTAGACAATGAGTAAGCGTAAGCATGAGTTCCGTTTCGAATATGAAAAGGAATTTGCTAATCACTACTACTATTGCGACAGCGAGAAAGGGTAAAACAATAATTAGTGCCTACAGTACTTCCACAAAACCACGAGTTGTCCAAGTGTTCGCTCGTGATTTAATGTCTAAAATTTCAATCTTTGATCCGTGTAAATAACGTGATTCATCAGCCACCCGTTCAGTTTTTAACTTTCTTGAGAAAATATGTGCGGCCTGCCAAGATTTGTAACACTTTATTTTGGCCCGCGAGCGACAAAAAGTTACCGACCCCTGCTTTAGAGGTTGCATGTGGCAGTGATTTCTTGTCTTTCCATGGATTTTCACTATTTCGGGGCTGCATGTAACCGTGTTCGAAGCGACTTTTAATAATAAATATTTGGAGTGCAAAAGAGATTCGTGTATGATTTTTTCCTCTTTTTTATTATGCATTTATGTCGTTGTTAAGCTTCGCCTCCCTCCACCCACCAACGACAAAACCTTTAAAAAAATCTTTGACACCTGTGGCTTCAAACTTCAATTTGAATTGATTCAAAGCAATTCAGGAACCGGCTTGATTCTATAACAAAATGGTAATTTAGATAACACGTGGCAATTGCGCGAACGAGTCTCAACATCGACCAAAAACGTTTGTTTTCCAATAGTTTCTTTCAATTTTTTTAGACTACTTAAAATGTTAGGAAGTTTTACAAATATGATATTTTATAAACGTTTCTTTTAATCACCTAAGTAATGTCACTATAATAACAACATTATTCCTATTTTAAAACATAGGTCTGCGATTCTTCCCTCGTTAGCATTTGCTTTCTTTAAAATCATAGCGCAAGCGGTAGTAATGCATGTTTCACTGGCGTTCATCATTTGGATGAATTTTGAAGGGTAATTTAGGAAGAAACGATCACTATACATCCGGTATTGTTTGTGAACATAAATTTATGTAATAAGTAAATATAACTGAGTGTACCTATATGTAAAAAACATAAATTTTCTTTGATATTGATTTGATATTAGGTAGTTGATGCATTCATTCAATGTTTTTTTTTATTATCTTGCGACTCATTTTTCAGGTTAAATATTGGTATTTAAGGAAAATTAACGATGTTATACTAATTCGAATCAGATGGGGAAATATTCGAATCGGAACATTCTGATTCGAAATTTGATTCGAAAACAAAATATTCGAAACTTGATGTAAGTATTGATGTACCTGGTGCCAAGTTACAAACGACTTCGACATCTTTTTGTGAATTCATTTTGTTTGATGCGTTGATTAACTGCAGAAGGATTAATATGAGATCAGTTAACCAACAAAACATTTTGATATTTTTTAACAAGAACGAGAAGAATAGGTCTTCTTCTGGACAAAGTTGATCTACTCATTTCAATTTTTTGCCTGTCCGCGAGTACATTTTATTTAATTTCAACGGTCCGCCAGAAAGGTTGGGAACCACTGTTTTAAATGATATTTAACAAAAGTTTTCATTTCATTTATACAGAACATTAGTGTGAAGGTGAAGGCTGTCCCTGTTTATTGCAAATAAGTTTCTCAATTCGAGGAGCAAACAGCACATTGTCTTTTGAGATTTCCCAGTTTGGCTGCAAAGCTGTGGGTTTCTCATTGTTTAGTCACAACACGCAAGATCAGGGAAAGAGTTCAATCGACACGCATTTTCTTCTGATAGTAAACGCCATTAACAATTAGCAACACATGAAAACTCAACTGCGATTCAAGTACCCTTGAAAATCTTTTCAAGGGTTGAGAACCCCGGATCTAGATTCTAACTTCGTGAACGTTTATTGTGTAAACGTCGTGGACAGTTTTTTAATAATCTGATAGAGAACAACATATTTTGTTAGTGCTTATTAGCACGATTGGTTGACAACGGAGACAATTGTGATTTTTTTTCACTGTACATCATATCTAATAAATTAGCAAGGCAAAACACCCGAAAAACATTTGCCAAAAGTTCTCCTTGGATAAATAAGATGAAGTGCCATATTGTGACGTCACAGATACACCGTGAAATAAATTGTGGTAGGTTAAAATTCTTTTGCGCACAATTAAGAAGAACTTGTTGGTAGAATGCATTTGACATGGGTCCTAAACCAATCACCAAAGGAGAAACCTCCTCTAATAGAAAAGGTAAGATCGAAAGAATGTGTTCTGGTATGATACAACTGGTCAAGTAGCTAGAAAATTCTGGTTTGGAGCCAGAAAACTATTGACATAGCGTTAAATTGGTAGTGGATGGCCGTGTTAGAATATGCTAGCACACACCAAAAAGCACAGATCATCATTCTAGATAAATGCTTCAAAACTTATGAATGCACAGTTGTAAATATTCTGCTGTTCACTTCCCAGGTCAAGCTCCAGCAGCCGATAAGAAGATTGGTTTCGTGTTGTTTGCATTGGATGTTTTTATTTTAATTGGAGCCATCTTCCTTTTTGTAATGAAGCCTGCATGCTCGCAAATGGGTAAATACAATATACAACTGGAATTGAAAATAAACGGCATGTTCACAATATTTTCTGGCATGGACCACTTGCTTGGCAGTTGTTTCACATTCGTTTCCGAGGAATGACGTACTGTAGAAAGATAGATCGATAGTTATATTCATAGATTAAAATCGGCAATTATGTATTCATGGCTTTGCTTTTGTCTGAAATTCTTTGGTTTCGTTAGTACATTGAAAAATGTAACTACAATGTAATGCTAAAAAATATTTATATCTTGACAGATGGCATGTATGATTATGATTACGCAAATGACTACAATCTCTCCGAATTGAACCGTGAGATACTTTTTAAAGTTACACACATAATATAATATTATATATATATTTTGACGTGATAATGGAGACTGCTCTATACTTCAAATTAAATAAACCAGATGTTATACAGTACGCAAGACAAATGCCTAAATGAGATCCGTGACGCACATTATTTGCCACATCAACGACTTCAATTTGCGATAAATATTAATCATTGTATAGATTCTATAGAAAAGTATGGACGCCTTATTTGTGCATTACACATTTGGGTATACTTGAATAAGTGCTTTCATTTCAATGTTTCACTATTATTATATCGAGATAGCATCTTAGAGAAAGATGAATTTTTTATATTGTTAACAAAACGCTTGGGCAGATTGCAATCAACTGTCTATTCGTATATGTTTATGGTATATCTAACTAAATTTGCTCTAGTGTTTTCTTATAGATGACGTCCAGTTTCATGGCCACGATACACCGATTTTCAATCAATTTCAATCATCGTCGTATGGAAGTTCCTATTATGGCTCCTCGTCAACATCCGGGTCGAATTATGGTTCGACCTATGATTCTGGATCAAATCCGTATGGTTCTACATACGGCACCGGATCTTCTTCTCAGAATTATTATGACTATGGAGCAGGGACATCTTCTTATGGCTCAACATATGACTCATCCTACGTCTCGTCATCCTTAGGTTCTTCTTATGGTTCGGCATATGGCTATGACTCAACATACGGTTCACCTTATGGATCCACATCTGGAATTGGATCATCGCCGTACGGTTCGCCTTATGGATCCACATCAGGTATTGGATCTTCTCCTTACGGTTCGCCTTATGGATCCACACCTAGCACTGGATCATCGCCGTACGGTTCGCCCTATGGATACACATCTAGCACTGGATCATCGCCGTACGGTTCACCCTATGGATACACATCTAGCACTGGGTCATCGCCGTACGGTTCGCCTTATGGGTCTACATATGGCACTGTACCATCGCCGTACGGTTCGCCCTATGGGTCAACATATGACACTGGATCTTCACCGTACGGTTCATCTTATGGATCTACATATGGGACTGACTTATCATCGTATGGTTATCCTTATGGATCAACATCACCTTATGGTTTGGCATCACCTTATGGTTCAACATCACCTTATGGATCTTCGCCGTATGGATCCTCTTATAGTACCGGCTCTTACTATGGCACAGGATCTTCGTATGGTACTGGATATGATTCAAGTTCAATCTACGGAACTGGGACATCTGCATACGGAACTGGATACGGGTCTCCATATGGGACAAGTCCTTCAAATGTATACGGGACGGGATACGGTTATGGGACGACTCCAGGCATTGGTCCAAGCCTTGGTGTATCGACAGGATCTGGAGGAATAGGTGAAATAAATGCCGGATTAGATAAAACACTAATAATAAACATACTACCTACTACCGGTTAACATTGCTATCGTGGCAATTATGATTTGAGTGAGCTAGCCCCATATTTCATACATATAAAAATATAGCTAACTTTAAAGAAGACAATATGACGCTACTGCACATACACAACAATAAAACACACGAACAGTAATCTTTAATTGAATTTCATCCAGGTGGAAGTGACGGCGTTTCTACCGCAGGCGAAGATTATGCATGTGAGTTTCAGTTAGTACATCCCACTTCAAAACAAAATTTTTTTATTGGAATATTCAGATTTATGAAAATATTCAGATTTTATGGAATACTACTCGACTTTGTATATTGTTCCCGCTTACTATTTCTAAAGTTGGCAAAATTCATTGGAAAACTATCAATTCTTCATAAAAAAATAAGCAAATTCTTGATCTGAAATAATTATTTCAGATTTGCATCATATTTGCATACAGTATTATTTCAGATGGAGATATTATCAAGCTTATTCCAGAAGATAAACTTGCCAATACAAACTTCGAATGCGGAGTGTCAGAAGTCAAACCAAACTTAAAAACTGGAAGAATTGTAGGTATGCATTTAAAATATATGTATTGTTTTTAGTCAAGTCAAAGGAATAGTAAATAGTTTATTCTTGGCAACTGTAAAGTGAAGAGTAAAGTGTGTTTATACAAAGCTTTATTAAATATAGTAGAAATATACTACACACTACGGTAAAAAAAACCTATATTCATTTTGTAGGCCAGGAGTATGACTTATATGTCAAAGCCAATTAAAATAGCACAATTTTAATGAATGTGAGCTGAGGTACCATTGCATAGAAAACTACAAATAATGAAAATGTTGTATGATATCGATTCCATTATTTGATGAATAAAATGATGAGAAATCAAATGAGATGAAACTATCAAATTCATTCTGGAAAAATGATTAGGTCTATCTATCTACCCAATGTTTTTAACATTCGTTTTAGGTGGATCGGTCGCAGTACAGGACAGCTGGCCGTGGGTAGTTTCTGTAGCACAGTATACATCGAGAGGTGGTTCTACACACGTAAGAAAACTAGAAAAACGTGATGATAAATTTATGTAAAAGAATTCACTCCGTGTATGGAAGAATTAATTTGAGATCGATTCATTCAATTATACCAAGATTTTTTTTAATTGATGCATTCCTAACAAAGATTGCGTACATAAAAAGTATACAGTATACAATACAACTTCATAAATATTCAGAAATGCGGAGGTACGATTGTTTCACCCAGACACGTCATATCGGCTATACATTGCTTCGAACCAAAAATAAAAGCAGAAGATAAGATTAAATTGAAGAAAGATTATACAAAAGAAACCAGATTATATATTGGCAAATATGACTTAGATACGCCAGGAGAAATGTACATGGTTAGCTAAATTCTTTTTAACAAATTTTCTGACGAGAGCGAGTTTGTTTTTTTCCATGATATATATAGGATTGATTCCCGATTTGTCACGCAAATTGAACGTGCTTGATCTATGCAATGTATGCATAATATTTCAAAGTAAGTAACTAAATACTTGATATATTATTACTATGCACTCACATACATAAATATACTTTGCTTATAGATTGATAAGTACAATAGTAAATGACCTCATATTTTTTTAGTTTAGGAATATTTGTGACCGACCTTTTTTATTCTATTCATATTTGCCTGTTATTTTAACGATATAAAAATTGTATTATCATTTATTTTATGCCAGGTTGCAAAAATACGAGCACATCCCAAAGGAGTTATGTTCCCAATAACAATATACGACTTGGTGCTTATAACAACAGCAAAAGAAATAACATTTTCACAAAAAGCTCAGCCAGCGTGTCTTCCACCATTGAATAAAGAATTGAGTAGCGGTAGGTGACACTTGTCTTGAATATTACACAACAATTTTTGCCTTATATAAAAGTGCCCACCAGCAGACAAACTTGCGAAGTAATAGAATAATATACTATGTCTGATATCCACACATGCCCAATATTAGGCTTTAAATGCGTTAAAACCAGTTCCATCTTTTGTGATTCATCATTGCCGTTATTTATTCAAAACTTTGTACTGGTTTAGACCAGGGAGTGCAACATACGGCTCGCGGAACATCTGTACGTGGACCATGAGAATGTATTCTCCTATTTGTAACGGCACCATCGGCGTTTTCGACGTTACGTTACGTGACTACGTTACATTGGTATTAAGATTCGTCCTACAAGGGGTCAATTACGTGATATTTATTTGTTCTTGCCGAGTGGTTATTAAAAAGTTTAATGTCTACCAGTAAAAAGCAAGGTTGATTATGAATGGCGGAATGAATCAATTACGGGTTGAAAATATTCATCGAAAAGTGTTTCTAATCTAGAAATATTCAGTAACGCAGTGGCTCGCCGAATTGACGATCTCTCGGAAAATATCGAAGTAGAACAAATTCACAAGCAATCATTGATCCAAAGCGATCCTATAAAAAAATTTGCATATTTGTACATGAGTTAAATATATGTGGCCATTATACATTTCTGAAAAATCATGAATATAAATGAACTCTCTTTTGGGATCATGTACTGCTGTGAGCAGTTCTTTTAAAACAAAAACAGCTGATCGCTTCTAAGCTCAACCTCAAGTTGTTCAAAACTTACATGTTTTTCAATGGCCCGGTCCTCAGCGTCACCACAATTTTACCTTTTGGCACGTGGCGATAACGCACGCCCCTGAGTTAGACTGAGTGAATTATATTACGATATCAAATTATAACGCTGTGCTTAGTTGCAAATTATAAAAGAAAAAACATTTTAATCTTTTCCCTAAATGCTACATATATTCAAAAAGTCCTGTCCATAATAAATACCACTTATATTCATCAAAACATTATGCCCAAGTATGCTTGTATAACAAATAATGTGATTGTATGAAAGATCGTATAGTTCGCGTAAAAGATAATTATGCTACTTGTAAAGAGGTTCAATCGCAATATTAATATTATTCTTAAACATTTTGTTGATGTTAAATACTAGTTTTATTTTAGTTCAATTTTATGAATAACAGACACGTGGTGCTGGGCATATGGCTGGGGAGCGACTGAAAATACAGGTGGCGATTGCTGTTTGAAACAAGTCAAGCTTCAAGTGGGGAGCGAACAAGAATGTGTAAAAGAATGGAGTCCTATTTCTTCTATGGACCACAATTATAAAAAAGAAGTTATTGTTTGTGCAGGAAAAGAAAAAGGACAAGATACATGTCAGGGTGATAGGTATGAGAAAATATGAGATTGATATAGGGTCTTTTGTATATTTACTGTTGTGAACTTATATTTACCAGTATAATTGTTTCTTCTTTATAAATAATTGATCTCTGATTGAGCTCTGATATACGAGTCGCGATTTGAGTCAGTTTAAGTTGACCCTGCCAAACAGTTAAGCGGAAGGGGAATTCACTAATCCCGAAAGTTTTGACGAAACGGGGTGGCAACAATTCCACGGCATTACATTGATTTCTAGATTGATAAACCATCTGGAGGGTTTCGAATAATTCGAAACAAATTTACTCATGTCAATGCAACATTACTTGGTATATCGGGGCATAAATCGTAGTTTAATTTTTAGTCGAAACATCAATAATATGAAGTGTGAAAAATTTGTTAAACTACATTTATATTGACTATTATTTTCAGTGGAGGACCTTTCACTTGTCAGGAAAATGGAAAGACAGTGCTATACGGCGCAACGAGTTATGGGGGTGCATGTGGATCAGGAAAATTAGCCGCCTATGCTTCAGTTTCTTTCAACTTAGAATGGTTTTGCTGTTTTATGGCTGATATTCCGGGCTGTAAAGGCATTAGCTGCAATCCCAAGGGACAGTAAAATTGGACAGTATGATGTAGTATATAATATATGTTACTTGAAAGAATAAACTTTTGTTCATTTTATTTTACAAATTGTTTCTTGTTACATCGAGTTTAACAGAAGAGAAATTTATGATTCTGTCTCACCGATTTTTGACTACGCTATCAGATCAATGAGTTAGAGTCTGTTAGACGACGGATCGGCAACCTCATGTCCTGATTGTGCGAAGCCAAAGAGTATAGGCATTTTCACGACCTGATTGAGTTCTGGTGCGCTGTTACTAAATTCATTTTAATAAGAAAATATAATGACGACGGGTTTTGAAACATGTTGGGATTTCGAACAAATTACAGAAATCCGTGAAAAACGAGACAACACAATTTTTTAACCTTTTTATCCGATTATTTCTTTTTAACATTAGGCGAAATTAGATATTTCAATATATTAAAATGCGTGGTGACGCAAGTTGCCTCTATTGAAAACATTACCACATGACGCAAAAAATATGTTAAAATACTGTAGAATATGCTATCGTTTTCTTGTGTACAGTCTTTACAGATAACAGAGATAAAGTAATTAATTTCCTTGTCACTTTGTTTTGTTGAATGAATTTTTGTCAATTAATATCAAAAACTGGATGATAGAAGTCCCTGCAAGGTATGATTTATCGAAGAGCTTTGTTTAATTAATTATCAGCAGCATCCGTCTCGGACGGCCTCGATAAGACGCCGAGTTATATCGCATCTTTATTTCTGTGAAACAGTGACAAAATGCTTACATCTTCATCTGACTGCAGTTAGAAGTCTGAGAAATAAAAGGCTCGAATGTCATTACCATTCTCGAGACATCATTCCAGCTTACGGATATCTAAATTTGGAATTTTATCTTTGACAATTATCCCTTTTCACTGCTTTACAACCCTATATATACAATAAAAAATGACAACGAATCAATTTTAAGGCGATTTCGTTTGCATACATTTCCATTAATTAGTTCCATTAGTTGGTTGGCAGACAGTCTAACCTTTATATAACGGTCGAAACTAGTCTACTGATAATGACACAAGGCTGCAAGATAGCCATCGTAAACGTATTGAAGACGCAGAAAAAATGTATTTAAATTTATGATGCCCAAGAAACGGAAATAGAACGACAGTCATGTTGCATCACCGGTCACCACCACATTTCAGTAGATGTAAAAACTATATGAAGCTAACCAACTCAGCCGGTGTAATTTCCAATATATATATATGTACGGACGATGCTCCATTGATATAGTTACCGTCAAGCATACCGTTGTCACGCACGTAAAGATAAAATGACCCTACATAAGGTCTCTCCCCACTGCTTTTCACTCGTTATGTATTTCATCAACCGACTTGACTTCAATTAGCCGTTTCTACTTTGGCCAACTATCTCAACAGTTTTACTCAATTTAATTCAGAACGTATGCCCTTATAAGACATGTTTAATTTAAGATCGAGATAGGCATAATGCTAGCAGGCAACTATAATTTATAATATTTCTCAGATCGCATACCGACCGACTAACATTAATCTAACTCCACCGTTTTTCTTTTGATTGTTAAATTGTGGACGCTGGTCACTGGCTTCGAGTATCATTATTAAACATCGCATACTGTTCCTGTTCGTATAGCTCTCGTTCATCAAAATCGTCAATCGAAATTTAGCAAAATTTGTGGTACATGTAGGGTGCCTGCATACTTTGAAAAAATATAAGTAATCACCTTTTGGAGGACATTTTCTGAAATAATTTTAATATGTGATTTTGATCAAGAACAACGACAAAAATCCACTAACATAGAATGTAGGTCCAACGTTGCGTATAAATAGCAATCGATTGTTAATTATCTCTATCGGTCAGCATCTGACACTTTGTGACGTCATAAATGCTTAAAACACGGAGTATCACAAACACGGGTTTCAGAAACAAAACCAAATTTGAGGACGGGTGTGTAGTTGGTATGCTTTGAAATTTTTAAGTTCAAATAAACTCTAAAGAAGATATTAATAAGTTTTAAAACTTCTTCTACGTCGAATTTTTTTATTTTCATTAGCCTATAACTTTTGCACTTATACGGCCTCATACATTTGACTAATTCTGTTTTAAATCCTTCTCTTTTTCAAGCTTTCCTTTGTATCAAAAGAGAAACCGAATTTCCCGGTTTTATCCTAAATAGTTACTTGCTTTATATTCATCAAACAGTTACTTATCACAAGTTATCAGTATGTGTTTAAAATATGCGGATATGATTAGGAGGATGGTGTAAACTGAAAATATTTCAAGATGTACATTTTAAATTGGTTTCGTTATGGGATTTCAGGAAATGTAGAACTGATAGAACTCGTGCATTCGTGGAAAACCCTAATTTTGACTATAGGTGGCTCCGAAGCGAGAAAGCACAGCTGGCTCTGGACAGTTAACATGATCAAAGAAAGTCATATGCAACCAAATGTGTTCACTAAGGTGAAACACTTTTATACATATCAATTCGAGTATAATTGGTACATTTATCTATGCAGTAGTCGTTCATTATTTAGATCAAGTGAACAGGAAAATTGTGACATAATTTTTGAGAATGTGTGAAATAGTTTCATCCTACTGAATTTAAAACAACTTTTGGCGCACTCACAGTTTTGTGGAGGAACTATTGTATCACCTCGACATGTAGTAACTGCTTTTCATTGTTTTCCTGATGCTAATTACTTCAGTGATGTACGAGTTATGGTTGGGAGACATGACGAAGAATCCACCCCAGGTACGCCATATGAGGTCAGTGTTTCTAATGATTATGTAAAGCAAATATAATAATCCTTCAAAGGCTTTCAGAACAAAACATTACTAATGTATCAATCCATTTTATTAATGAAGCAATGGGGACGACGTATAGTAATTTGTGCATTCGATGTACCAATCACTATTTCTCCAGATTGTGGTTTAACTGATGTAAATATCTCGGCAGAGGAATAAGATATGGGTATCTTCAAATTCAAACTATTGGCCAATGCTGCAGATGATAATTTAAGATCAAACCATAGCTTGAATGTTATCGATTTAGTGAATATTTCGATAAAATGTAATTTTAATCACAGGTTTCGAAGATTTCACAGATTAGAGCTCGCCCAGAAGGTTACGTGCCTGCAGAACTTGTTTTCGATCTGGCAATCCTGACATTAAAAAAAGAAATTCAGTTCAGCAGAATAGCTTGCCTAAGCCAAATTCTGTCTTAGAGTCTGGTGCGTATTATTCCAACGATGTTTATATAGAAAACAGGTCAATCACTGCAATAGGAGCTTTGGGTGGTTGAAAATTGCAGTAACTGCAAAATGCGTTTGTTATCATTCATAAAAGCCATTTTTATTTCAGGTAGACGGTGCTGGGCTGTTGGATGGGGAGTTACACATGGTATACTGGATCAGAAGAAAAACTAAAACAAGTAAAACTCCAGGTCGCAAGTGCAAAAGAGTGTCAAAAAATTCACACGGCTATAGCACTGCGACCGAAGACATGGTATGGTCTTTGCAAGAGGAATATACTGTTTGCGCGGGTAACGTTGTTGGACAGGATACTTGCCAGGGAAACAGGTATGATTACCCCGAAAATTTGTATGTTTATATATCAGATGATAGATGTTACCTTTAGTATAGGCAAGAATCGAGGACATCACATATACATCGTTTGTCTGAACACAACAGTCATAGTTTTATGTATTTTCAGCGGCGGGCCATTCCTTTGTGACGATAATGGCCAATGGACTTTGTATGGAGCGACAAGCTGGGGATTAGGATGTGCCAGAGGAATGTACGGCGCCTACGCTTCAATAGCATATTCAACCGAGTGGATATGCTGTTATATGGCGGATATACATAGTTGTTTAGAAGTTGACTGTGATCCATGAATTCTGCAGTAAATGCGGTGCTGTTTTAATAAATATTTCTATGCATTCTTATTTTTTCATACAAATAAAATTGTGTAAATAGTACAAATATTAGAAAAAATAAAAGAAATGAAACGCAAGTTATAGTGTAATAGATATTATTGGAAGTTCCGAGTTTCGTATATCTATACTACTGATTAAATTAAAAGAGTGTCATGGTATTATGTATGTGCCGGTGAACGTGGAGAAACCCTTTCGTTATCATAAAATTATCGTTGCGATTTCACAAACCCGACTTTACATTAGCCGGACGGATTTTAACATATTTTAGAAGCCTGTAAACAGGAATTGATGAGATGTCACAAAGGAGTAACAGCGACGCCGCCATCATTTTTGCTAACAAGATTAGAAATGACTATAACAACGGAATATAAAGAAAAGAATCCATTCGCATCTGTTAAGAGTTCATGACCAACAATGTAGTTCAGCAATAACGAAATGTATGCATGTTCGTGAACATTGCGCCTAGACTAGATAAATTCAAATTTATAACTAATATTTAAACACATGAGTATGTTCGTCGATCGCTCCACGGAGATGTGACTGACCAATTATGATTTTTAATTTGTCTTGGATTATAGGTGGATATAAATATTTAAGCGTGTTTTGGTATTCAAACTTTCGCATATTTCACTTATAATGGTAAGAAGAACAAAACAGTGCCATTATAATACAGCACAAAATAATCTAGATGCATTAGCTTCAGTGAAATTTGTCATTTGAGAAACCGTATTTTAACTGTATCTGCAGCCTAATACACGTTCAAATGGCATACTAATTTTGATAGTAATAAAAATAAAATAGAAAATATGTGTAGTTTTGCTCTATATGTGATGAATGTGGTCAAAATAATATAATATTTACATTGTTCCAGAATTCACCATTCTACACCCTGGAGAAGTTATCATTCTTTAACCGTTGACAAATAAGGCGAAACTCTTCGAATATTCAATATTACTCTTGAATAAACTTGTCGAAGTTACCTATTGTACAGTGTGGTCCAAAAGTGTTTAATATATAACTTACTTTTGTGTTATCTTGTATATAATTGAAAGCTATAGAACCTTCCCTCTTTCTGTCACAAGTTACGAAAATCCATGGCGATTCCACACACATAGATGAGATGGAATGGCACGAATCCCTTGCACAAAAGTCAGACGACAAGATAATTTATCATGGTTTACTTTTTAATTTTGTGTAGTACATAAATAGAATACAAAAGTAAATTTCCAAAACGTCGTTTGCTAAAAATATTTTGACTCTCTTTTCATTCTAACCGTCACAATAGCTAAATATTTTTCACTACCATTTTTGTCTGAACACGAGGCTGTTATCAGATATACGACCATGATCACGTCAACGGTGCACACTCAGTTTTCAAAGCCGATTTATGCATTTGCAACCACTTTTGAATAGCTGAGCGATCTCACAAAATGCTTTACGTCTCCATGGTAGAAACTTGGCATATCTGCTGTAACTGCATTATGACGTCACATACTTTTTCTTAAATTGTAAAATGTTGATTAATTACCAAAGACAGGTCATAGTAGGAAGACTTTCTGCTACAAATCTGAGACTCGGGAATTAAAGTCATGGGTCCCAAGACGGCCGTTAGATCCTACAAAGGTGAGATAAATAAAGTTATATGTATATAGATATGATATTCGACTACCTTCTTCTACGCTCCAACTCGACATTCCAAGGAGAGTGTAAATATTAAAATGCCGAATAAAAATTTGTAATATATTATTTACTTTTGGATTAACTCTAAATCGTGAAATGATATACTGTACTGCTTCTTCAAACTCACGATAGAAACTTAGTTTTTGAAATTTGATTATTTAAGTAAGCCTTCGAAAAGTGATTATATCCGCCCATAGATCAATTTACAATGCAATTTAAATTCGAAATATACATGTTTTAGCATCACATCTTTTAATATGTCAGCTCTTCATTTATTCAATTTGTTTCTTATTTCTGATAATAAAATTCACTCAGCTTGTTAGTTTTGTTTAAACCAAGGTTCGTCAAAATCTGGTGGAACAGCTAATAGGAAAATTGCTTTTGTAGCGTTTGCGTTAGATGGAATAATTCTTCTCGTAGCTGTTTATCTTTTTGCTACGATACCATCGTGTGGGGAAAGAGGTAGGTTCAACATAAATTTAATTAAACTTATAAGTCCTATTTGTTGCAACAGCGTTGAAAACTAAGCTTGTTCCTCTTTTATAAAACTACCAGCTTATTGTATAGCTTCAAATTCAACTATGAGAAATACACTATGGTAACTAAAAGTAACAAAAACCAAATCCGTTATTTGCAATATGCATTTCCCATAAATGCATCTCAGCTATATATATCATCAGTCTAGTTCTGATTGACCGAAATAACGATAACGGAAGCAACACGTTGTTTTTTTAACATCCGAACTTACGATCATGGCATTGATTACATTTGAAAGAACCCAATTTCTGCATTTGAGGAATTTTTCTAAACTGTAAACTACATTACAAACATTAAAATAAAAACAGGAATCAAAAGACCTACATTTATTTTTACAGGTAATCAGGATGACAATTTTGGATATGGCGATGCCGTTGCAGATTATAACTATTCCGAAGCTGGAAAAAGTGATTAACATATTTTATCTGATTGATCTTTCATTTATTTAAAGTTCAAACGCAATCGTTAGCACCTTATAATAATCTAATTCCCTCTGAAAATTTCAGTTTTTATTTTCAGTTGATATCCAATTCAATGGAAACGATTCAATTATATTCAATCAATTCGAACCATCTTCGTATGACTCAAGCTATGCTTCAAATTATGACATGTCGTCTTATGGTTACTATGGCTCAGATATCGATTCATATTATGGCTATGGAAGTAGTAACGCATATGATTCTACATACGGATCAAATTATGGAAACGGAGACATGTCCGGTTATGGCTCAACATATGGTACAGGACCTGTAATAGCTAATATCCTTAACTCTTCATATGCTTCCAGTTACGGACCAGGATATACCACTGGATCAATGTATGGAACTGATTCTACATATGGACAGACGTATGGTTCCGGATATGATCCTACTTATGCATACGGCTATGGTTATCCTTATGAATCAAGCTATGCGGGATCCGCATCGCAGTATGGCTATTACCCAACTAATGGATATGACTATTCGAACTCGGGTGGTTATGGTACCGGTTCTCCGTATGATTATAATAACGCATACGGCTATGACTCGTCTCATTCTGGTAGTTATGGCACAAGCTCTACATACGACTCGACTTACGGGTCCTGGTACGGAACCGATTATGGAACTGGTTATGGTTCCACTTATGGTTCAATGTATGGATCCGGCTATGGCTCTTCATATTCTGGTAGTTATGGCGCAGGTTCTACATATGATTCGAGTTATGGGTCCAGCTATGGAACCGGATACGATTCAAATTATGGCACAGGTTCTACATATGGTTCGAGTTATGTGCCCAGCTATGGAACGGGATACGATTCAACTTATGGCACAGGTTCTACATATGGTTCGAGTTATGTGCCCAGCTATGGAACGGGATACGATTCAACTTATGGCACAGGTTCTACATATGGTTCGAGTTATGTGCCCAGCTATGGAACGGGATACGATTCAACTTATGGCACAGGTTCTACATATGGTTCGAGTTATGGGCCCAGCTATGGAACGGGATACGATTCAACTTATGGCACAGGTTCTACATATGGTTCGAGTTATGGGCCCAGCTATGGAACGGGATACGATTCAACTTATGGCACAGGTTCTACTTATGATTCGAGTTATGGATACGGATACGATCCAACTAATGGATACAATTATGGCACAGGCTCTACATATGATTCAAATTATGGAACTGGATATGATTCCACTTTCGGACATGACACTACATTCGATTCGAGTCATGGTTCAAGCCCTGTAGCGGGGCACGGATCCAGTTACGACTCTTCAGGAGCTTCAGGATATGGATCAATACCAGATATTGGTTCAAGCTACGAAGTCGCGCAGTCGCCCGGCGAAACAGGCGAGGCAAGCGCAATCAGTGGAATAAATGTGGGTACAGGTGAGCCTCTATCGCTTTTTTCTACCCTATCGCTCTTACATGATTCGTAAAAATAAGTCAACTAGGTTTATGTAGTTGCAAACGAAGTACATTTCCAGGTCTCATTTTACCCAATAAACTGAACTTGATTGAATGCTTCGTGCCCATTTATGCGGTATTGCGACTTCATATATTTGTAATGAGTTTGAGTATGTGGTGCAAGTATTCTTCATTGCATAAGCCCTACAATTTTCCTCATACTAAAAACGATAAATTTGACGACTTGGCGTACCTGCAGTTTTGTTAATCGCAGACTTCTCTGAATTTATTTTTCATTATTAGAGTCTCATGTTGGAGGAAGTGCAGATGGAGAATTTTCTCCTGATGGAGGGACAACTGAACAAGGCAGTTCGTCGGCTTGTGAGTTTTATTTGCCAAGAAAAAAGACTGCATACGTATAAATATATAGTGATGACAATGTAAATATTTGATTTTGTAGGAGTCGTCTATATACGTTTCCATTCAGTGCACCCTTATTCGTATATTGAACACTATGTTATATCCAGATAAAATAATCAAGCAAACAAATCTGGGCATTTTTTTAATACTATCATCGAATTAAAAAATATTTACTTTTTCTTAGTAGTTAAAATGTAATTGCGACCGAATCACTTGCAATGAGACCAGACGTTTCACTTATTCATAAAAATGCCGCTTTTTAATTTAAAGTAACGACTTTCAAATGTATTATTACTAGTTTTGTAAACGAAATGCAATTTACATTTCAAGCCGGAGATCTTGTACAACTAATGCCCGAAGACAAATTTAGCAACACAAATTTCAAATGCGGAGTTCCAAAAATTAAACCAAATCTCGGAAAAGGAAGAGTTGTAGGCAAGTAAAATTTGTAATAAATTGTAAAAGTTGTAAAATATGATTTAGAGTCAAAAAGATGCAGTGCAAATGAGCATCAAATAGTTCATTCTCCACGTGAATTTGTGAAAATTATATATTTTTAATCCCACTTTGCGATTCTTACGTTCAGAATATTCATGATCGGAAAGTAGTAGTGAATCATCTACCTCTCATAAATTAACAAAATTTTGTGATCTTAAGAATTTTCTGAATATCTGGCGTATTTAACAATAACAAAGCCATAGCAACCTCGGAATCTTTTTATTGAATTTTGATCCAAAAGTACTGTGTATTTGCCATAAATGATAAGCCCCACGCACGACCTCTACCACGTCTGATTAGCGGAAAAATACATGGCCTTTTCAATTCAGGAGGCTCGGAAGCTGTCAAGCACAGCTGGCCGTGGATAGCACATGTAATGAACAAGTTTCCTCGGGTTTACGGCTATTTGAAGGTAACTCTGGGTTTCTAATTTTACTTCAAACACGTAGACTGGAGGGAAAACTGTCAATAAAACAGAATAATAAAACTTTCAATATTTAACTTACCATGTTTTTCCTGTTTCAGTCCGAATATTGTTTTCATATGTACTAGAGAGTAATAGTATAAGACGGAATTTCAATATTTTTCATTTCTATATGCAAACGTTAACGTTCATGCGACTCTATGACCATAAATCATCGTTATGTGTACGAAAGTACACATATATTGCGATATGAGTAGACGAATAAAGTGTTTACGGAAACCACGAAAGTTACTTCAGCCTACTACAAAATTTCTCATATATATTGGGTAATAAATTTAGAGACACTTAATTGTTTTATTTCTACAAAACATGTCATCATTAAATGATTTGATCTTGAACCTAAAAATTGTAGCACTGTGGATCAACAATCGTATCCCCTCGACACGTGATTTCAGCTTATCATTGCTTCACTGAAGAGAGAAATTGGAAAGATGAAATGTTTGTATTCGTAGGAAAACATGATGAATCAATTCCAGGAACGAAGTATGCAGTAAGTTCACTGTTCAATATTACTACTTATTAATACTGTTTTTCACTGGTCAGCTAACAACAGGTATTCACTGACTGACCCAGTGTAAAGTGACAAACATATTTGTGTCTCGTTTGGTAAATGTGAACAAAATAAAAATTCCCTCGTCAAGACACTCATTTTATATTTGAGCGTGTTCTTAGACAAAGTGACTGGACAAAACTAGTACATTGAGGAACTTGTCACGAGTGTATAGTTCTCATTGTTCTTCATTTCAATTATATAACTGCTATTACAGATAGCAAATGTTCGAATTCATCCTAAAGGAGAAGTAGACCCTGATCTTTATTACGATCTCGTCATTGTTACTACTAAAGAAGAAGTGAAATTCAGTGACATAGTTCAGCCGGCATGTCTTCCAAAACCACGTGTAGTTAAATCCAGTGGTAAGTGTTAATTAAATGTATTTTATGGTTGTAACGCAGTATCTCGCATTGCAGATATATCTATCGTCTTTGATGTACGGTTCCGATTCCCCTAATTTGGCACGTTAATGGGCAGCTTCGCATATTGTTAAGGACAGAATCGGTATGATGATTCCAGCATAGACTAGAGTAAAAAGAAAATATATCCAATACACGCTATTATGGTATAGATCAGGGCTACTCAACTATTTTTATCGAAGGTCCGCAAACAAAACTTCAAAATTATTTGGGTCCGGTCTTTCCAGAACTGATATTTCGGCATCCTTAAACGAGCACTTCCTAGACCGACTAAAGATTAATAGCAAATCAAAATTGTTTATTATGGTGTTATATTTCTTTTCGCATATATATCAAAACTATGAAAGTCATTTTATGATAGGAAATTGAAAAAGTGGGGCTATTGATCCAAAATAAATAATTAGGTGCGGTCCAAATCCAATACTCGAAAGGTCCGGATTCGGACCGCAGTCCGCCACTTGAGTAGCCCCGGTATAGATAGTATTTATAAATGCTCTCAATCAAATGATATAATTGCTAAAGTTAGAAATTTTCAAACTTATTTGCTGTTTTCATGCTATCTAATGCTGGTATTCAACAGACTTCATTTTTTTTATAACATTACAATACATTACATAACACTTTTTCCTAACATTTTATATTTGCATTTTGAGGAACCTGGTGCTGGGCGTACGGTTGGGGATTTGTTGAGGGGACTGGAGCTGAAGATCAATTAAAACAAGTAAAACTTCAAATTGGAAGTGAAGAAGAATGCAGAACGGCTTGGGGGTATCCTCCCCAAGTTAACTTGTTGGACAAAGAAGCTGTGGTTTGCGCAGGAAATGAGAAAGGACAAGATACTTGTCAAGGTGACAGGTATGTGTATTATTAATCTCCGAATATAACTCTAGCGATATGCAATGAATTCAAGTAAAATTAAAAATGATACGGCAAAAACAAAATATTCATGATTATTGCTGTAACAAGTTTTACAGTAAAAAGTATTTGAGTAAATTTAATTTTCATTTAATTGATCGGTATACTGTCACTAACATGAAGTAAGCGATATTTTCGTCATTTCGTTTTTTTTCGATTTCGGTATTGGTCGAGGTAGTGAATTAAAATCGTCAGTAATTAGGTACAATGATTTTGAGAGCTATATTGAACTTATTACTTATCGATTTTAATCAGTAAGTATGTTAATAGGTATTTTTCTGTCTGTCTGTTAGATGCACACGATATCTCACGAAAGCGAGATTGAATCTGCTCCAGATTTTGCAAGTGCATTCATCATATCTCGGACCAGAAGCCTATTGATTTTGGGCGAATTATGTCTCGTATAATTAGCGAGTTATTAAAAAATTAGTGATGGGACACAAGGTTTTGGGGATCCCCTAACTTTCGATCGATAAGTCTCCCGTCTCTGACCGATATTCTCGTTTATTTACCTTATTTTATAATTACCAGGTTAAGTATTTTGAGCGAGCCATGTGGATGGAGCAAGTCTATATATAGAAGTATGAATAACTTGATTAGATGAATAGTATAAATCACCTTTGACTATTTTTCTAATATTGCACAACCCCTACATTTTAGGCAAAAAAACGTAGCTCAATTATTTGGAATATATTCTTATTTTCAGTGGAGGTCCTTTAACCTGCGATGAAGATGGTAAAGCCTTTTTATATGGGGTAGTTAGTTATGGACAAACCTGTGGTTCTGGCATATATGGAGTTTATGCTGCCGTGTCTTTTTCTATGGAATGGATTTGTTGTTATATGCCGGATATTCCCAGTTGTGAGGGTGTTAATTGCAATCCTAATGGATGAAATCGGCGATTGTGTAAAATATATGCAATATATACAATTAATATGAGACCGTTAAGCGTGTCTTGACTTTAAACCGAATCATGTGTCATGTATTAAGTTTTATTATCAAAAGTAAGTGTGTGGGTAAATGCACAGAATCGTACGTAAAAATATTTAAAGTTTTGGCGACTTAATAACTTAATATTTCCAGTGGTATTAGCCAGGTACTCAGCTCTAAAGCTTGTGACAAATTTATCAACGTGATGTTATGGAAACTACACGAAGTTTAAAACAAATATTCTTGATTTTTTGGTTAAGGACCAAGCATTGTATCCTCAGAGTGGCTCATTTGTTTCATACCACATGAACGCAATTAGTTTATATAAAAAAAAACATCTTTTTTAACATCGCGGACATTTGAACTTCTTAACATTTCCATATACGGCGTAACAATCAGGAATGAAAATCATCGAAACATTTCTGATAGTTTTGCCAATGGCACGAATAACACAAGTATTTTAGTATCGATCAATGTTTATTTTGTATATATACTTCTGTCTAGAAAAGTCATTACGATTTTGTTGAAGTTTTCTCAAGTTCCGACTTACCGTCGACCTAAATTTGTATAGCGCCCTCTTCACGGATGTGGGAAAAATAAAATACAAATTTTGTACTCTAACCCCCCTGAATATTGACAACATCATTTATCAGAAATTCACAATTTTTATCATACTTCGTCTCTTCTACATCGTAAAGTTATATAATATATTTCGTCTACCTGTTTTATACATGCTTTCTGATGACATAAAATGTAAATCTTCGGAGAATGTAATTCTAACTATTTACATTAGAGTTATATTAGATGCCGTACTTAATTGATTATACACGGAAGATTGCGAAATCCTGTATTCCAAAGCATTGCAGTTTTTGTTTATTGAAGTCACGTACAATTTTGCTAACACGACGCGCATTGTCATTTAGTTATATAAAGGAAACGCCTCCTTATAACTAAATAAAAGCAGTATACAACACCCACAAATTTTGACAGTTTCATAAGTTCTATTATGACCAAGCATACTTTATCACACGCCTGCAAAGACTTGTTAACGTAAGTTTCACATTTCGAAGTCTTTAGCGTTTGGGTAAAATAGCTGTTAAATGTTATTAAATTTAACGGTATTATAGTTTTGTGAGCCGTGAAAATTACCAGACAATATAAAAATACTAATGTGATTCTTACGCGTCCGGGTATGAGCTTAGATCGAGTTTACAAAAATTTCCAAACGCGAAGAGCTGAAAAAACAATCGTTTTAACAATCGTCTGTTCTCGGCAGTTTGAAACTCCTATTTCTGGATGAAAATTTGAACATACCGTAAAAAATAAGATAGTTTCGAATATGTAAGGCAAGAAAGAAAACTGAGATCAATCTCAATTTTGAAGATGTGAGGACGATTTCCTAAATATTAATTGTTCTTAAATATTAATATTTGCCAACGGATAGTTGAGTTCGAATACAATATCAAACATGGCACAACAAACATATAGAGTACAATTTTGCTATCCACTGAAATAAAATTGATTATTTGTATGTGGTATATCTGAATTAGCGGACGTAAATTCATTCAACATACTTGTCCAAGCAAATATAATAAATATATCGTGTAATATATTAGCACTGGTATGGGAAATATGAAATTTTTGATTAATTATATGAAGGTATTATGGGTATGATTCCCTGTAGATATTTAAAATACTGATATTTCTACTGATATGTTTAAACTGTGATCCGAGTGAATGTTGCGAATACTCATGGGAGGATTTAATGGACGACTGTAAATGGGAAACGAAAACAGAAATATATGCGCGTGCGAAGTTCTCCTATAGGCAGAGGTCATATCTTTTCAAGCCCTCGATTAATTGATGACCTAGATTTTTGTATATAAGGTTTTATAAACCAGCCACAATCGAAAAGCGCGTGCAAATATGTAATATTATATGCTGCTGCTGATTGTCACTGATTTGTATTTACAAATATATTTAACACATTATTCAATATGAGAGAAAGGTACAATGTTTGCAACTTTTGTAGACCCGGTTAACCTCACCTCTTTATTGATTTGAGTGAACCAGATAAATTGCAAGCAACTAAATATTTAATAAACAATACGCGAGGATGAGAATTCGGTCACGTATGGAAGTTAAACATATGTTCAGAGAATATTTGTACTATAAATAAACCCTTATTGTATATAATATTCCGAGGTGAGGGAATTTCCAACGTTTGCGATGTAAACAAATAACAACCAATCATTTTGTGGTTCCGAATCTGAATCACGCTCAAATTCTTTGAATCTCAACTTCAATTCTCGAATTGCTTTCTATATTGCATGAGTCATAAAATAAATGAGGCTGCTCTATAGAAGCTGGCTCGGAGCGAATATCTGAAACATTCAAACTCGAAACTAAAGATGGGAAGTTGCAGCGTATTATGAGTTATTGGCACAAGTTACAAAATTTAAGATCAATACAAAAATCAAAGCACAAATATATGGAAACAGACATGACGGGTTAGTATTTTTACTCGGTTTAACTATGATTGCTTAGTTGAGTAGTCTAGTTTAGGAGAGCAATACTTTTGTCCTGACTACATAATCAACTGCAATTTAGCTAGCAAGCCATGAGCCAATACGTGTCAAAAAACAAACATTTCATTGTCGCAAAAAAGCCCGATTGTTGACAATAATGAAGAAATTTGGCGTGTGAGGCTATGACCTCTAGTTTTGTTCTATATTATTTAGACATAAATTCTAATTTTTACAAGTAATAGGTAACTTATTTTATAAGTACATCCATAACGGTATTGACACAAGACAGCTGGCACTTGCAAACCGAAATTGACTTGTATAGTTTCGTGTGATGATTATAAAAATTTGTACAATAGATGTCACAGTTCATTTAATTAAGCGATAACATTCACATTCTTAGAACTTTCTGGATGACTTACTTGAGTTTGATGTTCATTACACATTTTCCAACAAATCGCAAAAACTTCATTCTGTGCAAGTGCATTCATAAAAATAAAATTGGTATAATTCATATGATCGAAAACTCAATTGAAATGCTTCAATAAAACCCTTTACCTCAGCACACCCGAAAGGACTTCGGTTTTTGTGGCGTCCCTATCAATCCTACGGAATTAATAAATTGTGTCATTGAATAACATTTGCCAGGTTTTGTAAGAGGGTTTTCATTACTTTTAGTTTTTGAAGGAGTGTAAATTGAAATGGTGACTTGATGAAATGGTAATCCTGTATTTGTGTCTTCGTATATATATATGTTATTGACTTTGTTAAATCAGTGTGGCGTTATGTCAGAATCTAGGAAACGCCAGAGAGGTTTGTTGTTACGCGCTTCTCAGGTGTACACGAAAACGAGACCGTAGTATCATATTTTGGATTAAAGGTGGATTACGTTAAAGCAGTTGTTTTATTTTTGATGTAGTATGGTATTGTTGCAGGATCAGTCACTAAGTAATAGTAAAAAGAAGCATAACATTCATATCGCATGTCGCACGAGAAAGTTGTATTGCTGAAAAATGATACAGGAAATTCAAAATATTATTCATCAAAAAAGTGGAATCTCTAAATATATGAAAATACAAATAAAGTTTTGGAATTTGTATTGACGGGAGGACAGAGGGGAAAAAGTGCTGTTTGAAAAAGTTCAAATAAAACCGTGTCATTCAAAATGTGAATCAACTAACAATAGATTGTTGCGGGAGAAAAAAGGGACGGTAGCGCAACCCACAACCCCACATAAAAAGAAATTTCCGGACAAGGTTCATATTAACCTATAGGAAGTATTCTTTGTCCTTATCCATCAGTCTGCATGAACCCTAGCGTTGATGAACTTTTCGTACAAAACACTGAAATTAATTAAATATATAGGTCGGAAGATAAATAGTTATATATGTGTCATATTACCGCCTCGAGAAAAAAGTAATTAAGCTCTTTATTTTTTATGGAAAACCAAGTTTTGTAATCAAGTTTTGAATAAAAGACTTCTCGAGTGTAGTAATATGCGTGGTCATTGGATGAGTTTGGAAGCTTTATAAATTTTCCACATTGAAATTCGGCACAGCACTATTAGGATGGAGAGCAGAGCTGGACGGATTGAAATCTACGCGAATTCATTAGTTTCAGCTTTACTTTTTTCTTAAAATCTGTTTTGCAACGTTGATGAAAATGCAAATTTTCGAGTAACGTATTTGTAATTTGCTTATGTGTCATCTGAAGTCACGCCACTTATGAAACTTCAGAATATACAAATAGACGATATAGACAAAGGGCGCCCAAACAGAAAGATCTGTGACTAATATTTGGTTTGCTTTAAAACAACAATACGATTTAAATGTTCCTCTTTGGACATGGAATATGGCAATTTTATATTCGAATTATAACTAGTCCATGACAGTACGTTCATTTACTTACATTGCCGTTGATAAACTATATCAAGTTAATTTTCCACGCTGAGGTGTGTGGATTGCTAAGACAAAATAAACTACTTGGTATGTTTTCACATCTTTTGTTAGAGCATCCTATTGTATTTCGCAAGAATTAAGCCCCTTATTTTTATGTTGGAAAAAGTTTGCCTACTGATGGGCTTTTTTTCCACTGCTTTGCGAAATTTGCACCTTGATAAATGCTAAATCGCCCCCTCTCCTCCGTCAACTTGAAGTTTGAAAAACTGAAGTTGGTATATCAAACTAGAAAACAATTGAATTATAACACATTTACTGCTAAGTATTAGTAAAAATTCTGATGTTTTAAACCTCCGGTACAATTCGTTTGAATACGAATCGGACAGTAAGTAATGTGCGCAAACCGCAAAATTTGTTTAGCGTGAACATTTATAGGATTCGGGTTCAATATAAAATTTGCCAGGTATTATCTCTTTTAGTGGAAATATGCATTCAATTATATCACCAGCGTAAGCCATGCCCATAGATGGGACGCCTCGTGGCCACTCCAAGCTTGTTATTCAGATTCAAGCAAGGTTACAAGAACTCAAGAAGAAGAGCGTAAAACATTCCCAAAACATCTATTCCAGATGATTTTGAACCACTTTATTCAGAAGCACTTTTTCAGTGAATAATACCAGTTATTGAGAAATTGGAAGAGATAAATTACCAAAATAGAAAACGTTGGTACATTTACGGTGGTAATATAAGTACTGTGTAAGAGAGACAATTGTGAAAGTTAGCTAACAAAAACATCAGATTTTAGAATATTTCGAAAACGGGAACAAATTGCGTCATGAGATGTGTTCTAGGCGAGATTCAAAAAATAATTTTTTTGTTCTGCTTTATTCTGGTGCTTACAACTCTTTCCCAGAAAAACTAGATCAGCATAAAGTGTAGACAATAGATTCATTAGATACGTCACGTTCTTGATGTTCTCTTAGGGGTACTTGATGTGATTATCTGTCTATAACATCAAACTTCAACAACTATAAAAGGTACCTTATTTGATGACTACGCTATTTGATTGCATTGCAACATGTTCTTTGTTCGCCAACATCTTTAATACTCCAGTCATTTAAAACAGTGTTTATCATTTTGGAAAGTGTGTCATATGGTGTTTCAAAATTGATTGCATTAAATTGCGCACTTGTTCATCGATTATAAAATCAAAGCTGAACCTTCCCTGATGTACAATTCAGAGTGGTGCCGCTTCCATATAAGTATTTTTGTGATAAAAAATGTTTTTTGTTCCTAACTGTGTGAGCAAGAACATTCGAATAACATAAGCTTGAATCATGCGAAAATGAAGGTAGTTTCTATGGTTGGATCAGATGAAATAGGGTTGAGATGGCGACACGAAGTCATTGGTTATACGGTTGTGCTTACTGTAGTTATTAGCTGTACCAGAGACTATCACTGATTGATATTATGCGGGGAAGGGGAATCGACAAGCACAATTTATGGATAAATATATATATATATACACCAATAAAACTAATATACTCTCAGTCATTTCCAAAGATCAGATTGAAGTTTTTTGAATAGCGCAGGCTGTGGATACCGAACTACTGAAATTTTTTTAGAGGAATGTTTGACACTAACGTACACATATGGAACAAATTGACTCCTGTAATATCACAGGGTACAAACATCCCATGTGACTTTATTTGGGACAAAAATAATATCAGTTTTTATCTTATGTATGGATAACCTTTCCACATTATTATTTAGTATATTACTAATCAAAATCAGTGATGTATGTGTAATGAGGTTATGCTCAGTATAACATCAGAGAAAATTACTTTGGAAAAGACGATGTAGTAAATATACCAAATAATACAGTCTATAACCAACTTCAGTAACGCCACAATCACCGATTCTGCGTCGGAAAAGGTTTGTCTAGTGTATTTTAACAAAAGACGAAAATATGTCGAAAATTGAATTTGAAAACCACAATTGTTAGAGATAACTCACTGTATCAGTCTCACTCAACGCTTGATAAGTTATAAAACAAGCTAATAATGAAAGAATATTGAAAAGTAGAAGGAAGTTAAACTAGGAATATGTTTGTAAAATATCAATTATTTTTTAATTTTGAATATGTAGTTATTTTAATGAGTGTAGTTTTTGTTGATAGTATTGTTCAATACTAACTTTTCATACAAAGCATCACATACTTATTGAATGAGATTATTAGTCCCATATTCCATAGGTTTACTATATATATTATTTAACTAACCAGACTACAGAAGAATAAATTATCTAAGTATCACTACAGCATAGTATTTCTTCTTGAGGTTGGTGAATGCATTTTATATGAATTGTTTTTACCAACCTTGTTACCACAGTTGTATTGAGTGCTAACATGGAGAAATTAATGAGAAAGAACATCTGGGTACATATTGACCTCGAGTAGTAAGTATACAGTGTTAAAAGCGTTGAAATTATAGAACGTGTGAATTGTAAAATTATTATAACCATCTCTCGCATCGACGAATCTAATAAAGATCAAAATTTAAATTAAGAATGGAAGTTTGGAAAGTGAACTCTTTTTGTATTAAATGATACAAGAGAATAAACCTGATTCGCGTTACTTTAGTAACTTTTTCAAATGAGTTTATAGTGCACTTTTCCACTTCAGTTTTATGCGGAAATGACACAATCACAGAACTGAAAACAATGGTCGCATATCCGGCAGATAAACTTTTGACTTTTCTATAAGCGTATAACAGTCGTGGTAACGAAAATATTAGTCTGTTTTCTTTCATTTTATTGCTAATCAAATTTCCAATGCCGTATTAATAATTATATATCGCATTTAGGAAGTTACAGACAGGCGTCAAATAGAACTCAAGTACTCTCTTTTTATCACTGTTTAATTTGATATGTTTGGTAATTATCGAGATTAATCCGAATCCAATCCGAATAAACTCGAGGTTGAACAATGTTATTGAAAAACCACGTTAACCTACTTGGTAGACGAATACGAAATATAAGATAAATATGCCATTGAAAGAAATTACGCAAATGGATCGGCACCGACCACGAAGGTTAGGTCGCGCTTGTTTTTTTTAATAGACAGTAACGGAATTCCTGCTGTTTAAATATCATTTAATTATTCATCCAAGTTTTCGTTACACAACCTCAGGAGCCACTAAATATAGAACACTGTAAGATGATATTCAGTATTGACGGACAATACGCTTCAAAAATTGCTCAATAAATTTGTTCTGTTTTACGCAACTCAACTTTTGCGCAAATTCGTTAGGATCATTCACGCTACAATTTTCGAAAAATGGTATGTGTTAGAATATTTGTTCAAGGGGTGGAGGATTTTTTCTTAAGCGAATTATTGTTGCCGCGGACTAAACCCCACTAAACAAACTCAATTCACATTGCTCCCATTATAAATTGATGTACACATGAAGAGCAAACAAAGAAAATATTTATACGCCTTAGTATTTTTAAAGACTGAAGAGAGTGATGCATTGGCATGACGCAATGGTGTAACTGTAAGGCGTTTACTTCCGGAAATATTCATAGTTCCAGAATGTTAAACATATAATCGATACTATTTGTGCTTTAGCCTTGCTGAACACGTGTCGGTTAACGGTCGGAGCATCTTTAACATAAACTGATATATATATTTAATTTTATATTGTTGAATTTCATTGATTGAAAAAATATGTTATTCATTAATACACATATATTTGAGATCTCGCAGATCAGAACTTTATTCATAAGACAATAGTAAAGGTACACAACATCTAGTAGGTGATGTGTGAGTAAGATCCAAGAGTTAAAAACGTGAGCTTTATCAAATGAATATCAATAGCACTTAGATTTCGGATTCGTTCTTTGTCAGAAAAACCGTAATCGTAATATTAATTTGTTCTGAAAGTTGTATCTTTTATATCATTTATGCAAAGCAAATACCTGAAATTTACTATTTTGAGAAATACTTAAATTGTGTGTAAGAAATAGCTTTGAGTCATACCCAACTGATTAATGAAGAGAATTCTGTAATCATAAGACACATCTTGTTTTCAAGGTGTTGGACTGCATTTTATGCTTGTGCTGAACACTAGAAATGGTGGAGAAACGTTTATTTTATGAAAATTATGTTGGGTTTAAAATTCAGTAAGCTTTTTTCTATCCTATTTTTGGACGGGAGAATAGCATCATATCTAATGAAATTATGTAATAAAAAGTAGGGTTAAAGCAGAGATTGTAATAAAGGCACACAGAATGTGGAGATACAAATTATTGGCGTTATACATTGCCATACTTTTCGGAAAAGCACAGCAAACGACGAAGAAAATAACAACATCCAATTCACTAAAAATGACAGAATTAACGAGCACAGAAGAAATAGATAAATCTACGATAACAATACACACAACTAATTCAGTTGCTTCGCAACAATTAAGTACAATGGTGTCAACGGTAGGAACGATTACACCCGGCACTACAAGGGAGAAAGTCACATCTCAAGCAACGTCTGAGCCAGTAACTGGAGAAGGCACAACACAATCAGTCTCTTCCAATAAAATAACTGATTCAGTCATGACACAAAAAATTACTGAGCTACCTGTTACTAATCGAAAAACTGAACAAGTGACGACAGGACAACGAATAACCATGCCAGTCCCTACAAAAGAAACAACTGAACGGCTGATTAAACAAAAGGCAACAGAATATGTTATTACACAGGAACAAGCTACGACTCAAAAAATACTTAAACAAATCTCTTCAAAATACACAACTAATGAACCAACAAAAATCGAAATTACAGATTCAGTCGATCTGGGAGAAACGACTCAACATAATACAACAAAAGTACCAATTAACCCAATGAGTTCAGATATAACTATTGAATCTTTCGCCACACAAAAAATCCTTGAAACAATCAAAGTACAGAATGCGACAAAAATAACCAAATATTCCACTGCAGAGGCATCTAACAAATCTTCGTCGGCGACAGATAAAGGAGGTGAGACATCTATTACACAAAAAGCAGCAGACATTTTTACAACTCTAGACACGACTGAACATTTTTTTACAGCAGGCGAAACTACTGCCATTACTTTGACATCTGGACCCATGTCGTCTTATGAAACGACCGAACCTTTGATGACACAAGTAGCCGAAGTTTTCACCTCAAACGAATCTCCTTGGACGACAGAGAAAGTTGAAGGAGCACCCACTACACAAAAAACGACAGATCATGTTACAAATCTAGAAACAACTGAACAAGTAGCTGCAGATGGAAGAACACATGCAGTTACTTCAGAACAATCGACTGAATTAGCGATTGTGGAAAAAACATCTGAATCAATGCCTTCTCTTGAAACAACCGAACCCTCTGCGACACAAGTAGCAACTGAACAAGTCACAACACAATATGTTGCGGAGCCTGGAACAGCACTGAGCTCTGCAGCTACATCCTCATCCACGACAGACACAGCTGAAACTTCTCAAGAGACGATTGATTTATTGACGACTCAAGAAGAGATCAAATCAGCGACTCCACAACAAATAACTGGAGCGTCGACAACACGGAATACAACTGAAACATTCGTCACAAAAAACACAACAGAATTTATCACGACACAGAGTACTGATATAATGACACAGCCTGTAGAAACAGATATACATCAAACAACAACTGATGAATTAAATACTACCGTGGAGCTGAAATTCGTCAGTACACAGGCATCGATCGAATTAGCCTCGGCGAAAGAAAAGAGGAATACAACTGAGATAGTGACAGTGCAAGAAACATCTCAACCAACTCCTACTCCAACGACAACAGCAAGTTTTTCAAGTTATGAAATAGCAGAAACAATCTTATTACAAAATACGACAGAATCTAGATCAACAAAACTAACTTCTGCTGGTTACGAATATGACACGATGCATGAAAAGGAAACTGGCATAATAAAACATACAACTGGGGAAGTGACGAGGACGGGGGTAACTGAATCTGCCACTAAATCCGTCGCTACACAAAATACGACAGAACAAAGCTCCATGCAGAAAACCATTTCTACTGCACGAGTGACTATACAGACTACTGAAAGCAACAGTCCTCAACAAACAGCTGCGCAAATGATAACAGGGGCATCCGTGCCCATGACTTTACAGGAAACAACCGAATCAGGGACCACGGAGAGTACAACTGAAATAGATGACGTGCAAAAAACGACAGAATTCGGTACAACTCGAGAAATGGCAGAGGAAGACTCATCACAGGAACTCACATTCACTACTCGGAAATCTACAAAAGAGTATATCTCAAAGCAAGCTGATGGGCTGGTGACTTTGCGAGAAACATCCGAACCAATGGTTACCTATGAAATGACCACACCCTCTTCGACATCAGAAATAGCTGAACTAATTGTTACACAAAACACGACCGAATTGGGGAAGTTGGTAAAAACATCCGTCGCGACAACGCCTCCGGCGACACATACAACCGAATCTGCCATTTTCACACAAACGACTGGGATATTGCCGACTAAAAAGGCCACCGAATCGTTAACTCCAGAAACAACTGAACCGCTGATGATACAAAGAGTAACTGATACATACGCTTCACTGGAAACAATAGGAGTCATTGCAAAAGATGAAACAACTGAAGAAGTCGCAAAACAGCAAATGACAAAACCATCTACTACACATGAAAGTAGCACAGTAGTTACTTCATTTCAAACCACTGTACCTTTGATTGGACAAAATACATCTGAATTAACCTCTTACCATCAAACATCCAATTTATTTCCGACACAGGAAATAACTGAACAATTCTCTACCCAAAATACAACTGAAGCCAAAATAACACCGGGAACTATCGCCACTGAACTTGTGACGACGCAAACTGCGGAAAACGACATACAAACAACTGGACTATCCACATTGCAAGAGGCCACTAAATATGGCACTACGCAGGAGTTGGCTAAATTAGCATCGACAACACAGAAAGAAACTACAGTAGATTCTACACAAAAATGGACAGGTTTTTCTACAATACAAGAAACAACGGAACAAGTCACAGCACAGAAAAAGACCACCATGCTTTTTTCAGCGAAAACGACGGAACTAATAACTGTACAAGAAAAAACTGAACCGATGTCTACGTATGAAACGACCGAACCATCGGTGACAAAGAAAAGTACAAAACCGTTCACTACGAACAAAATTACCATAGCTACTTCAAAACAAACAAATGCACCAGTTACTACAAAAGATGCATCAGAACTAATGTCTACCAATGAAACGAAAAAACCTTCATCTTCTAAAGAAATACCTAGCTCAGTCGCTACCCAAACAACTGATGAAAAAGAAACGACACCAAAAACTACTATTTTTACTGAACGAGTAGTAACACAGTTGGCGGAAACTGGCTCAACTCGACAAACAACTGGGGTACTTGCGGTATCGGACACACACGAGTATATCACAACACAGGATACTACTGAATTAGTGACAATGCAAGAAACATCTGAACCAAATTCCGCTGCTGTCGAACCTGAGGCAATGAGTAATACGGAAACTACCAAAATACAACAAACAACTGAGGCATTGACGATAACAGAGCCAACGGAATCTGCCACTGAATCCTACGCCACACAAAATATGACAGAACTAATCACTCTTAAACCCATTATCACTGCAGGAGTTACTATACAGCTTATGGAATCCGACATTTCTCAAAAAACAACAGCGCGACTGACAACAGGGGCAGCCGTATTAGTGACTTCGAAGGATACAACTGAATTAGATACCACAGAGAGTATAACTAAAACAGTTGCCATGCCAGAAACGTCCAAATTCGTTACAAATCAAACAATAGCTGTACAAGACGCAACACAAGAACATACTAAACCATTCATTACACAAAAATCTACAGCAGAGTTTACTACAGAGCAAGCGACTGTACTAGTTACATCTCAATCAACGTCTACACATGAAACAACCAAGATGTTTTTGACGCCAAAAGTAACTGAACAATTCTTTACACAACATACTACTGATGCAAGAGTAACAATGCAAACTATCGCTACTGGGCGTATGGCGACTGAGACTGTAGAAAATGACATAAAAACAACTGAACTATTGACAACACCAAAAGCAATTGAATCTTCAGGCTTCTTCACAACGCAAGAAACTACTGATCATGTCGCTACACAAACAAGTTCGTCTGAACCAATTTCTAACTATGAAACGAAAGAACTTTCGTCGACACATGGAAGTACGAAGCCATTCACTACACAGACAAAAACTACAACAGATACTTCAAGACAAACGATGGTAACAGTTACTACGCAAGATGCATTAGAACAAACGTCTACCCATGAAACGGTAAAACCTTCTTCCACGAGAGAAATCGCTACCAAGTCCGAAGCGGAAACGACACAAAAAAATACAGTCGCAACAAGAGAGAAGACCGAACCATTCTCTACACTGAAAAAGTCCACGGTAGGTATTACAGATAAAACATATGTAATAATAAGTACACCAGAAACATCCAAAAAATCTAAACCAATGCACACACAGGGAACGGCACAGCCAACAGCGACACAGAGCATGACTGAACAAGGGACGATACTTATACCTACCGCAACTGCACATGATAAGACACAGACATTTGAAACTGATATTTCTCGACAAGCTACTGAGCTATTGACGACCATAGACACATCCGAATCTGTTACTATGGAGGAAACGACCGAACCAGTGACTCTGGAGAAAATACCTGAGACCATTGCTGTGGGCAAAACGACAAAATCAGCTTCTACTCCAAACCCAACCGAATCAACAACGTCACAATTTACATCTGATCAAACTACTACACTGCTAAGTAGCTTTTTGCCTACAACATTACCCGAACAAGAAACAACGAATACAATTTTGACACATCGAGCATCTACAAAAGCATCTTCAACTACATCTTCCGATTTTGGTATTACAACTTCGCATACATTGAAAAATACAAGTGTATCAACTCGAGCAATTCCGTCAACAACTTTTACCAACAAGCCATCTACTGATACAACTACTACCCAACAAAGTAGCATTTTGCCTACAACATTAACTGAACAAGAAACAACGGATACAATTTCGATACATCGAGCATCTACGACAGCGTCTTTAACTACATCTTCCGATTCTGATATTACAACTTCGCATACATTGAATGATACTAGTATATTAACTGAAAAAATTCCGTCAACGACTCATGACATCGAGCTATCCGCTGATCAAACTACTACACAGCTAAGTAGCATTTTGCCTACAGTATTACCTGAACAAGAAACAAGGGATACAATTTCAACACATCCAGCATCTACGAGAGCTTCATCAACAACATCTTCTGATTCGGGTATTACAACTTCGTATACATTCACAGATACTAATGTATCAACCGAAGCAATTCCGTCAACAACTTTTAACAACAAGCCATCTACTGACCGCACTACCACCCAACAAAGTAGTACTTTTCCTACAACATTAACTGAACAAGAAACAACGGATACAATTTTAACACATCGAGAATCTACGACAGCGTCTTTAACCACATCTTCCAATTATGGTATTACAACTTCGTATACATTGAAAGATACTACTGTATTAACTGAGGCAATTCCGTCAACAACTTTTAACAACAAGCGATCTATGTTTCAAACTACTACCCAACAAAGTAGCATTTCGCCTTCAACATTAACTGAACAAGAAACAACAGATACAATTTCGACACATCGACCATCCACGACAGCGTCTTCAACTACATTTTCCGATTCTGTTATTACAACTTCGCATACATTGGAAGATACTACTGTATCAACTGAAGAAATTCCGTCAACGACTTTTGACAACGAGACATCCGCTGATCATACTATTACACAGATAAGTAGCATTTTGCCTACAACATTACCTGAACAGGAAACAACAGATACAATTTCGATACATCGAGCATCTACGACAGCGTCTTCAACTACATCTTCCGATTATGGTGTTACAACATCGCATACATTGACAGATACTACTGTATCAACCGAAGCAATTCCGTCAACAACCTTTAACAACAAGCCATCTACTGATCAAACTACCACCCAACAAAGTAGTATTTTGCCTACAACATTAACTGAACAAGAAACAACAGATACAATTTTGACACATCGAGCCTCTACGACAGCGTCTTTAACTACATCTTCCGATTATGGTATTACAACTTCGCATACATTGACAGATACTACTGTATCAACTGAAGCAATTCCGTCAACAACTTTTAACAACGAGCGATCTATGTTTCAAACTACTACCAAACAAAGTAGCAATTCGCCTTCAACATTAATCGAACAAGAAACAACAGATACAATTTTGACACATCGACCATCTACGACAGCGTCTTCAACTACATCTTCCGATTTGGTTATTACAACTTCGCATTTACTGGAAGATACTACTGTATCAACTGAAGCAATTTCACCAACGACTTTTGACAACGAGCCATCCGCTGATCAAACTACTACTCAGCTAAGTAGCATTTTGCCTACTACATTACCTGAACAGGAAACAGCAGATACAATTTCGACACATCGAGCATTTACGACAGCGTCTTCAACTACATCTTCCGATTCAGGTATTACAACTTGGCATACATTGAAAAATACTACTTTATCAACTGAAGAAATTCCATCAACAACTTTTAACAACAATCAAACTACTACCCAGCAAAGTAGCATTTCGCCTTTAACATTAACCGAACAAGAAACAACAAATACAATTTCGACACATCAAGCATCTACGACAGCGTCTTCAACTACATCTTCCGATTCTGTTATTACAACTTCGCATTCATTGGAAGATACTACTGTATCAACTGAAGTAATTTCGTCAACGACTTTTGACAACGAGCCATCCGCTGATCAAACTACTACACAGCTAAGTAGCATTTTGCCTTCAACATTACCCGAACAAGAAACAACAGATACAATTTCGACACATCGAGCATCTACGAAAGCGTCTTCAATTACACTTTTCGATTTTGGTATCACTACTTCGCATACATTGAAAAACACTACTGTATCAACTGAAGCTATTTCGACAACAACTTTTAGCAACGAGCCATCTACCAATCAAACTACTAAACAGCAAAGTAGCATTCTGCCTACAACAGTAACTGAACAAGAAGCAACAGATACGATTTCGATACATCGAGCATCTACGACAGCGTCTTTAACTACATCTTCCGATTCTGATATTACAACTTCGCATACATTGAATGATACTAGTATATCAACTGAAGAAATTCCGTCAACGACTCTTGACAACGAGCTATCCGCTGATCAAACTACTACACAGCTAAGTAGCATTTTTCCTACAATATTACCTGAACAGGAAACAACAGATACAATTTCTACACATCGAGCATCTACGACAGCGTCTTCAACTACTTCTACCGATTATGGTGTTACAACGTCGCATACATTGACAGATACTACTGTATCAACCGAAGCAATTCCGTCAACAACCTTTAACAACAAGCCATCTACTGTTCAAACTACCACCCAACAACGTAGTAATTTGCCTACAACATTAACTGAACAAGAAACAACAGATACAATTTTGACACATCGAGCATCTACGACAGCGTCTTTAACTACATCTTCCGATTCTGGTATTACAACTTCGCATACATTGAAAGATACTACTGTATCAACTGAAGCAATTCCGTCAACAACTTTTAACAACGAGCGATCTATGGTTCAAACTACCACCCAACAAAGTAGCAATTCGCCTTCAACAATAATTGAACAAGAAACAACAGATACAATTTCGACACATCGACCATCTACAACAGCGTCTTCAACTACATCTTCCGATTTTGTAATTACAACTTCGCATTTATTGGAAGATACTACTGTATCAACTGAAGCAATTCCACCAACGACTTTTGACAACGAGCCATCCGCTGATCAAACTACTACTCAGCTAAGTAGCATTGTGCCTACTACATTACCTGAACAGGAAACAGCAGATACAATTTCGACACATCGAGCATCTACGACAGCGTCTTCAACTACATCTTCTGATTCAGGTATTACAACTTTGCATGCATTGAAAAATACTACTTTATCAACTGAAGAAATTCCATCAACAACTTTTAACAACGATCATACTACTACCCAACAAAGTAGCATTTCGCCTTCAACATTACCCGAACAAGAAACAACAAATACAATTTCGACACATCAAGCATCTACGACAGCGTCTTCAACTACATCTTCCGATTCTTTTATTACAACTTTGCATACATTGGAAGATACTACTGTATCAACTGAAGTAATTTCGTCAACGACTTTTGACAACGAGCCATCCGCTGATCAAACTACTACACAGCTAAGTAGCATTTTGCCTTCAACATTACCCGAACAAGAAACAACAGATACAATTTCGACACATCAAGCATCTACGACAGCGTCTTCAACTACATCTTCCGATTCTTTTATTACAACTTTGCATACATTGGAAGATACTACTGTATCAACTGAAGTAATTTCGTCAACGACTTTTGACAACGAGCCATCCGCTGATCAAACTACTACACAGCTAAGTAGCATTTTGCCTTCAACATTAACCGAACAAGAAACAACAGATACAATTTCGACACATCGAGCATCTACGAAAGCGTCTTCAACTACACTTTCCGATTTTGGTATCACTACTTCGCATTCATTGAAAAACACTACTGTATCAACTGAAGCTATTCCGTCAACAACTTTTAGCAACGAGCCATCTACCGATCAAACTACTAAACAGCAAAGTAGCATTCTGCCTACAACAGTAACTGAACAAGAAACAACCGATACAATTTTGACACATCGAGCATCTACGACGGCGTCTTTAACTACATCTTCCGATTATGGTGTTACAACGTCGTATATATTGAAAGATACTACTTTATCAACTGAAGCTATTCCGTCATCGACTTTTGATAACGAGCCATCCCCTGATCAAACTACTACACAGCTAAGTAGCATTTTGCCTACAAGATTAACTGAACAAGAAACAACAAATACGATTTCGATACACCGATCATCTACGACAGCGTCTTTAACTACATCCTCGGATTCTGGTATTACAACTTCGCATACATTGATAGATACTAATGTATCAACTGAAGCAATTCCGTCAACAACTTTTAGCAAAGAGCCATCTACCGATCAACCTACTACACAGCAAAGCAGCGTTCTGTTTACAACAGTAACTGAACAAGAAACAACAGATACGATTTCGACCAATCGAGCAGCTACGACAGCGTCTTTAACTACATCTTCCAATTCGGGTATTACAACTTCGCATACATTGACAGATACTACTGTATCAACCGAAGAAATTCCGTCAACAACCTTTACCAACAAGCCATCTACTGATCAAACTACCACCCAACAAAGTAGTATTTTGCCTACAACATTAACTGAACAAGAAACAACGGATACAATTTTGACACATCGAGCATCTACGACAGCGTCTTTAACTATATATTCCGATTCTGGTATTACAACTTCGCATACATTGGAAGATACTACTGTATCAACTGAAGCAATTCCGTCAACAACTTTTAACAACGAGCGATCTATGGTTCAAACTACTACCCAACAAAGTGGCATTTTGCCTTCAAAATTACCCGAACAAGAAACAACAGATACAATTTCGACACATCGAGCATCTACGAAACCGTCTTCAACAACACTTTCCGATTTTGGTATCACTACTTCGCATACATTGAAAAACACTACTGTATCAACTGAAGCTATTCCGTCAATACCTTTTAGCAACGAGCCATCTACCGATCAAACTACTAAACAGCAAAGTAGCATTCTGCCTACAACAGTAACTGAACAAGAAACAACCGATACAATTTTAACACATCGAGCATCTACGACGGCGTCTTTAACTACATCTTCCGATTCTGGTATCACAACATCGCATACATTGAAAAGCACTACTGTATCAACTGAAGCAATTCCGTCAACAAATTTTAGCAACGAGCCATCTACCGATCAACCTACTACACAGCAAAGTAGCAGTCTGTCTACAACAGTGACTGAACAAGAAACAACAGATACGATTTCGACTCATCGAGCATCTACGACAGCGTCTTTAACTACATCTTCCAATTTTGGTATTACAACTTTGCATACATTGAAATATACTACTGTATTAACCGAAGTAGTTCCGTCAACAACTTCTAGCAACGAGCCATCTATCGATCGAACTACAACCCAACAAAGTAGCATTTTGCCTACAACATTACCTGAACAAGAAACAACGTATACAATTTTGACACATCGAGCATGTACGACAGCGTCTCCAACTACATCTTCAGATTCTGGTTTTACAACTTCGCATACATTAAAAGATACTACTGTATCTACTGAAGCAATTTCGTCAACAACTTTTAATAACGAGCCATCTACCGATCAAACTACTACAGAGCAAAGTAGCATTCTACCTACAACAGTGACTAAACAAGAAACAACAGATACGATTTCGACTCATCGAGCAGCTACGACAGCGTCTTTAACTACATCCTCGGATTCTGGTATTACAAATTTGCATACATCGAAAAATACTACCGTATCAACTGAAGCAATTCCGTCAACAACTTTTAGCAAAGAAGCATCTAATTATCAAACTACTACAGGGCAAAGTAGCATTCTGCCTAATACAATAACTGAACGAGAAACAACAGATACAATTTCGACACACCAAGCATCTACGACAGCTTCTACAACCCTATCTCCCGATTTTGCTATAACAACTTCGCATACATTGGAAATTACTACTGTATCAACTGGAGCAATTCTGTCATCAACTTTTGGCAATGAGTCATTCACAAGTGGCCCCATTGATGGCAAGTAGCAAATATTTTTTTTTGGCGATTGCATTTTGAGTGACAAAAATGACGATGATAAAATTGCACACACATCAAATTTCTCCACTAATATACAAATAAAATTAATTTATTCAAATATGTAAAAGTATTTATGATAGGGTTGAGATTTGTAGAATTAGGTATATTGTCAATACTTTTAAGATTAAGTTATATTCTAAATTGATACTTGAAAAGAAATTTGTTACTGCCTAATGAATTTATTACTATTGATTACACTGATTAATAATAACGATATTCCGTGTTTCATTCCTTTTTTCAGCAAACATTTTAGCATGTATTCATTCGCTAAAACTCTCCTATATAGTGTAATTTAAACGATCAAATTCGCATTTTTTATTATTTTACTATGACTTGTATATGTTGGATTTATCCGAAGATGTTTATAAGACATACACGTTCAAGAAAATGAGTTTACGCTTGTTTTAATTATCTTGGCAAGAATTTCTATTTCAAGATTATTCTTTTGCATTTAATTGGAAGATCTTGCTATTTTGTTCAATAGTATTACGTAAAGTTAAACTATAAACTCTATAATGAAATGTATGTATAATATGCTTTTTTCTTTCAGTAAATCAGTGCTTGGCGAATACAAACTACTGTTCCGGTGTTGCGAATTCTTACTGTAGGTTTCGTGACGGTATTGGATCCGATTGTCCCTGTATACCTGGCTTTTCTAAAAATGACGACGGGACTTGTGTTGGAGGTAATATTTTCATACTATCAGACTAGTAGATAAACAACAATGGTATTGTCAAATGCATTTTCTGAAATACCAAGACTACATCAGAACATATTTCGCTCTCAGCTCAGTTGCTGTTGTTGATATGTTCTGTGGCGCTTATACCATCATTAGTCTTTTCCGCCATTAGCCATGCGAATTAAAATTCTATACTACTACATCGTACAATATTTACCAATATTTTGAAATTTATGGTGTAATTCAGTGAACAATGGCGACGCCATAATATGACGTCATCAATAGTTTTTTCACCGCAGACGATTTGCGCTAATTATTTTTTGGGGAAGTCTGTTGTGAATTTTTACAGTGAAATTGCTGTATAGTATATTTAAAAACTCGGTCTTCAGCTTTGTCACCCCAAAGAAATGGCAATTGGCAAGTATTTTTAAGGTCTTTGAGGTCATTTTATGGCGGATTGTCAAATGCATATACATATCATATGCCAAAACAGCGAAATTGTCGAGGTGCGCCACTTAAACGAAGGTCTATTACAGTACTTTATTCTGAGCTTGTCGACGAATACGCATGATTTCCGGCAATTAGTTGACCAGATTGTTTTCGACTAGAAGAAACAATGGGTGAATGTTGTCATCATTGCTTTATGAAGCCGCACTAGACGCTAGTCAAAATCAAGTTAAGAGTGTCGAATTTTAATTCAATTTCATAGCACCAGACGCCAGAAAGAGACGTGGTCTAGTGAAAAATGTACGATGGTGGTGCTTTATGTTCGTTTATTGCATATTTTTAATTTTGTTATCAGTCAAAGCATTTGGTTGTGACATGAGACTGGTGCAGGATTTCAGCTCAGACTTGAAGGACCCAAGTACAGATGCTTATCAGGAACTTCAAATACAATCTACAGAGCTGGTATGTGATGTTGAACATGTTACCGACCAAAATTAATAATTTTTTCATTGTTATATCGATTCAAAAATCATATTCAACAGAATTAAAACATTTTTATCTATAAAAACTGTAAATAATTGTTTATCGTATTGTGCACTAAATAACACTTCAATGTATATTCTTCCTCAACAATTGCCAAGCGTTGCTTTTTGCATGATGACCACATGTATCTTGCCAAACATCATAGTTACGTAGTTTCCTGTTTCATCTGTTCCGAAATTAGTAACGTTATACCTTCAACAGAAAGTTACTATAAAAACAATGTTTTTTGTTAAAGTGAAGAGCTTCTCTAGTAACTAATTAGTTATTTTTAGGCGTTTACAACGAAATGATTGTAAATATATATCAAAAATTGTACAATACTAAAATATATATATTATCATATCCAGCTGACAGATATATATCAAAACACAACAGGATTTATCGGCGTTATAGTGGTAGGATTTAGTGAAGGCAGCGTAATCGTTGCCTATACTGTGCAACTTGATTCCACATCCGCCGCAACAACACAGTCACTGCAAAACGATTTCACTACCTATGTGGTGAGTGTATTTCTTTAATTTTTACTCAATATCATGTGGTATTGCTATGCAAACGATCCAATCTATATTTCTTTTAAACATATTTGGATATTGAGTTTAGTTGAGTTCACTTGTAGAAACATATGGAAGATACGGGACTAAATTTAACACGAATCTGCAGCTTTGATTTAGTGAACGATGTAATAATATTATTCCAGAACGCCTCAAGTAGTGGATATTGCTCACCGGATAACAACAATTGCACCGTGGGAGGCCTACAAGTAGACGTCAATAGTTCAGTCAATTCTATTGGAAGTATACTGCATATTATATCTTTACATTGAAAAAGATAAACACTTAAGTCGTCATTTTTATTGATCATTCTGGTGATACTGTAAACTCAAAATCTGCATTTTAAATTGTCGTCATAATTATTCTAGATTCAGAAAATCAATGATACAATAGATATATCCAATTTATATTTTATTCTCATAGTTGTATCAATGCGTAAAGGCTGTGACACATTAACCGTAGAATTATATGACATTTCGCTTTTTATAGCGCACTGTCAATAATAAATATAAATAAATAGTGATTTTGTCGGTTTTTTCAGCTAACAACGATGCGTTGTGTCAAGATCCGAATGTTGTAGGATATTGTCAAAGGGATTCCACTTATTGCAACGCTTCATCTGGTGTTGCTGAATGCGACTGTTTACCAAATTACGTACGATTTCCAGGAGTGAACACAGTATGCGCAGGTGTATACTTGGTATTAAAAAACCCGAGTTTAGCATCAAAACGCAGTCCACTTTCAAATGATTTTGATAAGAATTGCAAGTTAACTTTAGTTTAATAAATCTTAATTTTCTGTACCAAAGGTATTTTCGCAGGGAATACCATGGCAATTGTAATACTCAAAGACTTTATTAGCCATTTCGGTTGCAAAAAGTCGACAAAAGTTGAGTATGTTAACAAAAATGGTGAGCGGAAAGCGATAGTACAAAACAAGACATGAAATAAATTTTTATTCGCGGACTATTTTTTATTTGGACTATTTTTGCCAGAAATTTTTTTCGCGTTTTGATATGGCATTTCCTATGTAGACTTATTTTTTTGTTTGTATATAGGTAGACAGAAATTTCATCCCTTGTGAAAAAATACGTGAAATGTGATAGTTAACTTATTCATTTGTCTCCTTTAGCTGTGATATGCTCTAGTAATACGAACTGTAACGCACCATTTGGAACTTGCAATATGAGCCCTCCCACCGAACCTCAAATAGGAAGTTGTTATTGCATGACGGGATTCAGTGGAAGCAAATGCTCAGATCGTAAGTAGAATTTGAAGAAATATTACTGAGAAAATCAGAACCTATAGCTATTGCGGTCTGGATTGCAGAACCGTAGTTTTGGTTTGATCGATCCGTTTTGATGTTGGTGCGCATATCAATGTACCGACTTTACATTGATCCACAATGCGCTTGAGCTCATCAAAGTGCTACAAAGTGAAGAATCAATTAAAAAAAAATATGCCAAATAATTTGTTAAGATATACTACAAAAGGGAATGTCAGAGTAAGAATAATTTTGAAACATTTGATTCAAAGGTAGACGGACGACCATGTTTATTATTTAAGATTGTAATGCTATTTTGTAACATGTTTGATACAATTTCTCAAAACTAAAACGACTTGATACCTTAATACTTGTTCATTTTGAACATATGGGGGTATTGTTAGGACTGTTGTTCTATGATATTCTTAATTAATGTTAAAATCCTGTGTCCATTGCCACACAGGTAAAGCGATGATAAAAGAGAGGCGCTAAGATACCATCCAGGAATTTACGTATAGTCGACTCAGCGTCATACTACCATAAACATACAGATTTTTTAATTTCTCATGAAAATTTCAAAAAAATTTAGTTCTTAGCATTTTGTATCGTTTTCCTTCATGTGTATATATCATTTTCAGCTTGGCTTTTCATTTTTCTAATTGTGATGAGTTTTCTTGTACTCGTTACACTCATTGTGGTTGGAATTTATTTCGTAAGAAAGAACAAGATACAAAGGGATATGAAATTGTGGGATAACGAACCCCAGATCGAAAGAACATCAGATGTTTGGAGATCTCGCGTAGTGGTGGAGGTAACTTGACCTGTTCATCACATTTACAATCCAATAATATTTTATCGTTGAATATCTCTTTGTAATGCCTTAATCGGTAAGCTGTTAAGTCGGTACCAAAAAAAAGAGTACGTTTACCCAAATTAAAAACGACTTTCGATTTGATATAAGACGAAAAATTAAAATTTAGATTTAACTATCCACGCCATATTATCGAATGTAAGAAATTTACATAAAAGAAAAAGTGTGGCATAGTCAAATACCACATTCTCTAATAACTGGTGTAGATATGATGATGAATATATTAGGCGCAAGAAATGCCAGCTGAATAAACAACAATGAACTTTCCTAAGAGACGAAGATCTTCATCATGACATTAAACACTGAGAGACAAATAGAAGGAAATCTGAGTGATCAATTTTTATGGCGACCACACATAATATTAATAAATTGTCTTTCGCTAAATAAACACATACAAGTGGAGTCTAAATATCGAATCTAAGTGCGACTCCTTATTAATAGTGTATTCCTAAGTAATCTCTCTACATTAAACAACATTTTCAAGTCCCACTTTGCTTTTCTTGTTTTGCATATGAGAAAACCCTGAAAATGTTATGTAAAGTAATATATTTTAGGATATGTACTTTGACCGTCCACATCTTAGAGCTGTCAGTCCAACAATTGAACAAATTGAAATGACTCAATCTTCAAGTAGAGGTGGTGGAGTCGAATATGAAATTCAATTAGAAGGACATGATATTACCGTGAGTTCTTAACAAGCCATCAAAGATAATCGATTGTTTTCTACGATTGCTAAATGTCAAATGAAACTAGTCTAGTCAAAATTGTATTAAATCTTGTGGACATTGCGACGTGTATTGTTTATTTACAATCCAGTCTTCAGTTAAGCTAATATTTATTTGAAAATGTCTTTTCAAATGATAAGTCTGTCATAATAAAGCCTTCGATACTCAGTTTATCTTTCATTTCTCATCCACAATATCAGAGAAGTGGAGTCGTAACCGGGGTCAACGCGTGAGTAACTTTTGTGGGCAGTGCTTACCCTTGTGAAACCCCTGATATGCTACTGGACTTGGCAGAGAAACCCTATTATATAAAAATCATTTGAAAACACCCATAGATGTATGAAAAACAAATGTTTTGGTATTGGACTCTCCAACAACAACAATGAAAAGTTATTACAGAAGATAAAATGAAAGAAATTCGATGACCCTCTGCTCTTGGATTTTGCTCACAAACTTCTATCTATATCGTATCTCAGTGTTGCTCAATGAAATATTAATGCACTTATCCATATACTCATGCAAATTTCTGTTTTTATTTGTGATAGGTATTAAAGCAGAAAATTTCACACAAATATGTATTAACTCCACTCAATGAGAAACTTTTACCGAGCCTTACAGAACTCCCAAAACCCCGGTTGGAAAGCACTGGTTTAGGCGCTAGCCGAAGTAAAAATGCATACCAGTTGCTGATATATATATACCGTATTTATATGTTTTCTAGTTTATGGGAATGCTGAAATTCGAACCGATGGACTTTATTATACTTTCTATGAAATAATATTGCATTAGTATCTTAAAACATAATTTTCCAGGTTATTGAAGATGATGAACTATAGGAGACATGATGAGCACATACTTGCTTGGTGTTCAATGTGCACGAGAGAGTTGCACAATATATTGAAGCATTAAATCATTGGTTTTATTATTTCTTGGGCTTAAAACTATTAGAATAGCCAATTTCCAAGATTTTTTTCACTCTAATATTCGCTTTTACAGTGCTATATGTGAACAGAGTTTGTGAATTGTGTTCCATACGTATTGACCAAAATTCACGCTTTTGTCATTCGATTTCCCATCAATTAAATTACCAATTCCTATTTCAGTTTTGTCTTTGTTATTTTGTGCACAAATATCACTGTATAATATACTTCACATATATACCATTAAATTTGAGCTACTGTATTTGCGATGAAAATTCACCAAAAATGTTATGTATACGTGCTTTCATATCCTTTATTTTTATGCAAATACGTCTTTAACAGGCATATGTTTCAGTAAACGTTTTGTTTAAAAACATTACATGACAGAAATGCTAATTGATAAAAATTGTCAACTTTATTCCTTTAATCTCTTCGTTCCAGGTTGTATTTTTAGTCTTTACTTATACATGTACATGTTAGATCATTAGTTTTCTGATTGGTAACGCGTACTGCGTCTTTAACTACAATACGATATTATTGTTCACTGTTAGCGTGTCTTTGAACACGACTGGATTTTCATATAAAATATATATTTATATTTACTTTTACTTATAAAGCTGTATCAGTGTTTTCTATTGGATGAAACAACTATTTATTATAAAATGACATTTCATCTTTGTAAAATTTCGGTATGACATACCTTCCGGATGGACAACGTTAATTTACAGTTCACATATATAATGAATATGAACAGAGATGGAGTAATTCGTGCACTGATTGACAACATTTCGACTACGCAATTAAGTCACATTATAATATGTGATAACCTTTATTCATCCTACTATTTTGTTTGCAAGTTTAAACTTTATGGTTATTGTATATTGTCTGCTCAACTTTCAAATATCAGTATCAAATAAATTTTCTTGCTTGCGCATAGCATCGGTATGTCTAGTCCGAGATAGTGCTTCACTGTTTTCGCTTCCATAAACGTATTGTGATGAAGTTGTATAAAAGTGAGGTTTAATTAAACGTTAGATTGATCATGTTTTGTAGTAATTCACTTACTTATTCAGAAGTGACAAAAACTTCAGAGTAATGTTACAAGCAAGAATGGGAATGTCAGAAGCTGAGAAAATTATGCGAAATTATGTCTACTCTAGGTTCTAGTAAATACTGGTCAACCAGCGTTGTAAAGCATTCCATTTAAATACGTCTAGATAAAAAAACAACAATTGGGATGGGGGACATTTCACATGACTGATCTGGGATTTATATGCTTTTATAGAAGTTTGTAACTACCTTCATATTAGCCATGTTTCAGAATAACGCTTATGTATAACAGAAACGTTGATATAAGTATGACTGCATTTCATTTATTCAGTCACTATTTTCCTCGACGTTGATATGGAGATAAATTAAAATTGAAACAATCAATAAGATTTTTGACTTCAATGCTGAATACCAAAAACAATGTAGACTAATTAAGGCTTGTAATAGAATAGATTATTTCCACCATATCCGTTTTCGCAATAAAACCATTTAGTACTTTCGCATCTAAATAATACCATTTTACATAAATATCTTACGTTGGTTAGGGTCGAGTTAGTTAGAAATTGAGAATCGTTTGCAAGCAAACTCGTCTTGGTGGAAGAGAGCGGGTAATCCACTACTAACAGATTTAATATTTTATGCTACATCATAAAATATCTTTTCGTTGCCCTAAATTAAGCGGTATAATTTCTAGAGCACATGGTATGTGCATGATGACGCAGTTGAATTAACGTTTAATCGATCGTCACCAATTAAATCTACGATCGAGTAGTTTATATAGTTTTTCATTGAATGGTGCAAAAAATAAGCGAAGTTTTTCCATATATTCCGGGTTCGCGATACCCCATGCTCCTTTTCTAGTCCTTCCCTTTCCAGTCATACAAGAAGTACGTGCTGTTCCTGCGACTAAAACGCCGTTTCTTTCCACTACTAAAGGTTTGGCAAAGCAAGAAAACCCTGACGGTCCTTTTTGAATATTTTCTGGTAAAACAAACTCTGGAATGTGAAGAAAGTCTTGAACCTAAAGCAACCAAAAAACAATTAAAAATGAGAGAATTATATAAACAAGAGTCATGGCAAATTTTTCTAATTGCATTAATTTAGTTATTCAGTTTATTTCATTTCTGTGCGTAGAGCATTGTAATAATATAAACAGCTTGTATTTATCAATGAAAAAAAAATAATAATAAAATGCTGCTTTAAAGCATCTATCGTTGAAATTAGGTTATAATCTCTAATTCCTGGAGCAACTGCATTAATTTGACCTTGGATCATAGGTATTGGTCAAATTGTTTATCTATCTATACTCACCTCTTTTATGACTTTAGCAGGATTAGATATAAGTTCCTCACCGTCTACGATGTATATATCGCTCATATTGAACACCTTATACCATCTGTGAAAAATATTGAAATTAAGTACAGTAGCGCAGTGTCAAACGGCGTTTTGCATCTTCATCGATGTGTCACGATTGGCGAGGCGAAATAAACTAGAACTTCATTCTATATTGTATTGTATCAGTACTTCCCTTCGTGAAGTTACCTACTTCGTGTGGTTACCTTCGTGAACTTCTAGCATGACATAACAAATTCTCTATTGCATCGTCACGTTTATCATCCTTATTGGGACTGAGAAAAAAACTGCTTTAAGTTTTGCATATTCATCGATGCGTCACGATTGGCAAAACCAAATAAACTAGTATTTCATTCTTTAAGTTTTTCATCTTTATTGGGACTGAAAATAAAACCCCCAAAAGAGAGAAAGCAAAGCTTAAATATATGGAAAAAAGGTACAATATCTAACCGCAGTGCCGAAAGCCGACGCGACCAATACGGAGTAGTTGCACCGAGTTTGCGAAAGTAAAACGTCATGCTTGGCGGAATAAAAACGGCGTTCCCATTAATCTAAACTAAAAGTAATAGCTTAGTAACATCAACAATATTTAACCACTGAAAATTGCAAAGAAATTGGTCCTGTAGTTGAGGAGAAACGAGATGAAAAACAATACCACCAACAACTAAAAAAAGAATATCTACTACCTTAGTAAATGATAGTAATACAATCCAGTTGTTAGTATATGGTTAGTACTGTTTTTTTGCAATCAACTGCTCTATATACACCATTTCCGATTCGCTTTCATTCATTTCTGCCGTCAACTTGACGGAGTGTATAAGAAGATCATCAACCATTTGTTCAAACGTTGTTGTTGCTTTAAGAGTATGCATCAATATCTGTTATAAAATGTATTACTGAAATCATAAAGACTTTTTATTTACATTTACATGTTGTTGGGCAAAAGCTGAAAAGCAAGTTCCGAAAAATTCAAATTTAAATAGCAGTCATATTAAATTAAATGAACTTTTTCAATACCAAAACAAGAGTTTTATCACAAATGCCACATTTTTTCACGCCAAGCGATATTCTTCCAAATGTTTCACAACAATGACTATAGTGTTTACAACAGTAAATATTATAACAATAAGACAGTAATCCCCCCCGCGAGGTGCGCGATTCAAAAGCTTAAAAAAGAAACACAATATATATGAGTCGATAGATCGTTACCTCCTGGACATAATCTGAATATGTTCTTTTTGTAGGATCGCACAAAACAAGTAAAAGTTTGGCATTAGGAACAAGTTCCCGAAGACGTTCTGGTACCGTGAGTCCCCAGTTGAAGTATGCCGGTGTTTTTTCAAATGATATTTCATAAGGTAAATCTTTTGCCAACATTGGTCTAAACAAAAATATTTTAAAGATTAAATAAATTAATTGATATGTTTGAAACTATTACCTTTAGGGCCTTTGCCTCAAAATGTTTTTGTTTATAGTTTATAATATGATGCGTCCCGTCTGATTTTAATTTAACGGTGTCCTTAGACCAGCAAATTAATGTCCAAACAAGGTTCTCGACTGCATGGTGGTAATTATGTATATGGATTTTTGGATAATTTTACATGACACTTTAGACAGTGTTTGAAAAAGAATATGAATTAGAGTGCTTGGCATGAATTGACAAATCTATAAAAGAGTGTCATCAACATGTGTTTGCTGATTGAAAATTCAAATTATTTTTCCAGAAAGTTCTTATATATATATATATATCCTCACTGCTAAAAATGGGGCAATAACTCAAAATTTAATTAAAATATCATTAAAAATGTTTTGAACTTTTTCATTGCAAAAACAGTAACAATGAAAAGAAAAAAGCACGTTTACTTTACATATGACGTTAAAAATTTTATTTAATATTTGACCGCCTGGCATTACATATATTTGAGAAATAAAATTTATTTGAAAGTTGTTCTGAATTGTCTTTCTCCCAATATATACTTATCACATTAAACATTTGTTTCAGGTTAAAACAGTCACCATAAAAATGAATTACAATGAAAAGTTTTTTACGTGTATGCTTTTAGGCCCGATTTATATAAATACGGTCGGCCAAAGAAGTGAGGTTCTTTGGGTGCAACTTTGATCATCGGATGCATATCAAGTAAAGCCCTAAGAGCCCCTGTTCCACACTTCTCCACCCCGATTCCAATGACATCTGGTGCACGCTGAACTGCTGGCTGAAGATATGAAATTTTATTTTAATGTGGAGCAGAATAAAATAAATTTCTTAGACTCGGCTCGTGCTGGGAATTATAAAGAACGTGATTGGCCTCGCACCGCGATGATTTGTAGGTGCAGGTTCGAATCTAGTGGAGAATAATACCATCGGTCCACGCTGTTGGTCATCCACAACTATTGATTCAAATAAATGATGACTTTACCTGGGTAATTTGTTTTTTTGGATAGAAAACTTCGGACAGTTATTAATATTTTTATGATAATAAAAAAAACGAAGTCAAACGTGTTCATTTACGCCATTCAAAAAATAAATGTACTAAAACTTGATTTAATGGCAGACATCAGCAAGCTTAACTAAAGAGGTATACCTAAATATATAGACACGAAGCCCACAACCAAGTAGTAAGTAGCCTACCAGTATTGGTATCAAACCTTTCACAGTAGCGGTGGTCTTACCGACTTCGACTGATTCGAAAGTTTTTGAAATGATTAAGTAATAGCCCTTTAGCGACAAATGTGAAAGTGAAAATTTCAAAGCACTCAGCTGTATTAAAAAACAACATAATAACAAAACAGTCCATAGGTGTATTTCGTGTCCAATAATGCCAGGCCATATCGACATGACTGGACCAGTTTCAATGTATTATATCCAAGTTTCACAATTGATTGTAACATATTTATGCATTGCTAATTGGATACGCAGTAGACCTATGGATCTTTTGGTTATTAATATTTTGTTCTTGTTTTTGTTGTTATTGATATTTTTCTTCTTATCGTTATCAAAAATAGCTTAAATACTTGCCAATTGCTTTAAAATTTTCAGTAATTGAAGATTCATTTTTTTGCTAGAAGGCTATTACTTTTATTTATCTCGAATATTCATATGAGCTCTATGGAATTCATTTTGTGTGTGCTATGACGTCACCAAAATGTACGCACCTTGTGGCGGTTTCGCGTGCGAATATCAGCGGATCTCATGATCAGCGAACGCAGGTGGATCTCGTGTTTAGCGAAAGTTGGAAGTTTTTTATGGAGAACGGTAGACTGTGTGGCCTCGTAATACAGAAGTGATCGGATCAGTTGGTATTTCAATTCACGTTGAAACTGAATTAAGAACAATGGCTCATTGTCAAAAGACCTGGAAAAGCTTTTGAAGAGGACTGGCTAGGTCTAGTATAGTTTAGTACCACAAGTACTTCCAGTAGCATAGCGTAGCATAACGAATTTTGCATATGTTATTCCTAACCCCCACCTGAATATGCCATCCAAACATTACGTCACTACGACGTCACCATCACGATATAGGCTTGCAAAAATATAATTACGATCGCCCGAAATGGCATCTGCGCCGCCGATAACGAGTCGCTAACGTCGACGATCTCTCTCCAATCGTGATCGTTGTGACGAGAAAACGAGAGAAATAGCTTGCTCGATTTCGGGTGATTGTCTGCGCGTTTTGGACGACTATCCGCATACTTTGGTGGGCCTTATTACGCCAATGTGACGACGAAATGACGTAATTTTTCGGTGACGTAGTCAGGTGGGGGTTAGGATTGACCTATGCTGTTGTTGACAAAATTGTTGAGCCAGGCCAACTAGAAGTGCATGTGGTACCAAACGGTGTGGCGCATCGTGCTAAGCGTTAGGAATACGCTCGCCACCGCATCTCTGATTACCCTTCGTGGGATCGCAGGTTCGAATCTCATGCGGGGATGATCATGTGCGAGAGGATTGCTGGACTCCTCGCCGCCGTAAGGTGGTTAATGTAACCGCTGGTCAGTTACGGCTTCCTCCACCATCAAGTCCATGCTTCCGAAAACAAATAACTGGCTAACTAATTCCATACCCGACCCGGACTGGTAACCGGACGGGAGCCCGTGGTTCGCCATATGATTAAACCGTATTATCGGCTTTCCTCTCCATTGGGATAAATATGTAAATCCTATCCTATCCTATACCAGACCCATACAGGTACTGGTAAGACTCGGATCAGTTGGTATTTCAATTAACGTTGAAACTCAATGAGGAAAATTGGATCGTTGTCACACGACATGGAAAAGCTATGACAGTCCCCGTGCCGTCACGGTATCCCGATACAGGTATTGGTAAGTTACCGTCTATGATTTTCGGTGTATTGATGATAAAATATTTAGTGTCCACATATTTGAGCACAGCTTCCTTGCTTATTATTATTAGCTGTTGATGTCATTGTATGGGTACAAAAATCTATACTATTAAGCGGATGATAGTGGCTTAGCGACAATAGTTTGCCGAAAACTGGATCATTGGGATGTTTGACAAAAGATTTGGGCAGTAGGTATAGGTAAAGCGCTACCGCGATCATCAACAACCGAAGTAGAATATTGCCTCGAACTTTGTTGAAATTATGTTGTTATTATAAATGATGGATGGAAATAAATAACTAAAATGTTTTGCGTGATGAACCTTTTTCACAAACGTAAATCATTTTTCAAATGAATTACAACAAAACTTTTCTGGTTGCGTTCCTGTTTTTTTTTTCAAATCTGCGTTTGCAATGGCCAATGCCTATAATTTGGAATCAAATTGTCCAATACGACGATTTTGGAACAAAAAAATAAAAACTATACCAAATTGAATAGTTGAATCGAATTTATTTTCAAAATATATTGTGGTGGCAAATCTCACCTTTTGAAAAACTTTTGATAACGTTCTCTTTGCTGCTTCATATTCAACTAATAGTTTATCGCGATCTCTTTCCCTTGTTGTTTTTCGGTAATCTTGTTTGATTTCATATTCGATCCAGCCATTTTCTTGAATAGTTTGAAAGAAATCAATATATTTTCAATAAAAATTTAATAATATTTGGGATTTTTTAGTAATCGCTGAGGCGACGTTGTAAGTCTAGACTCTACTAGTCGATCACAATGTTTCATCGCATGGCAGTTTTGAATGATATATAACATAGTGACATTCTAGGATATGCACTTTGGAAATGGCGAAGGTCGTTTACAAACATGACGTCTTTTTTAAGATCGCAATTGCGTTCTGTTTGTTGATATTAGATGACGAAATCTCTTGCCGAATTATAGAAGTAACTAAGTCTGCGAGGTGCAAAAATAAGGAACTACAGTCAGCCAGACGTTACAGTAACCTGACGCAATCTTTGTATGTTGCTAATTGGCATAGATTCTTATTATCTTAATTCTAACTATCCGTTGATAAAACGGTACGTGCACCACTGCTATAGCCTAATCAACAGTCAGACGGTATGCAGTAACCTGACGCAATCTTTGTATGTTGCTAATTGGCATAGCCTCTTATTATCTTAATTCTAACTATCCGTTGATAGAACGGTACGTGCACCTCTGCTATAGCCTAATCAACAGTCAGACGGTATGCAGACTATGACGGGTCTTACTACTTACTGAATACAGCGCGAAACACTACAAAGAGCGCGAAACAGCGAAAAAGAGCGCGAAACAGCGCAAAATAGCGCGAAACAGCGCAAAACAGAGGAAAACAGCGCGAAACAGAAGGAAACCAGCGCAAAACAGAGGGAAACAACGCAAAACAGGAGACGCAGTCATTACCACCTCCTGCCACGAAAGAACCACGGCGTCTCTCGCCATGGTTTTATGGCGCTATTTCCGGTGTATTTACAAGGTTGTGTACCGGATTATAGGTCATCATGCGAAATTTTATCTACCTTTTTGGTGCTCCAGAAGTATGTGCAGCAATATGTCGCACAACCTGAATCCGCTACACACACACACACACACAAACTATTTTCAGGTTGTGCGCCATCTTGGCGCACATACTTCTGGAGGTCCCTTTTTACCTAACCCTAACCCTAAAGCCAATCATATCTATATGGAAAATGTTCTAAATTATGGTACCCAAAATGTGTCACCAGCAGGGGCAGACCTGCCATTACAGCATTACGTTGGTTTGTGTTTTTAATTTGCTGCCGTGGTACTTCAACTCAAAACAAGGTGCACCAAACTCATTGCAAAAAAATTTTCCGCTTCACACTGTTTCCCTCTGTTTTGCGCTCTTTCGCGCTGTTTTGCGCTGTTTCCCCACTGTTTTGGCTGTTTCCCTCTGTTTTGCGCTGTTTCGCGCTCTTTGCGGTGTTTCGCGCTGTATTCAGTAAGTAGTAAGACCGGACTATGACACCACAGCCCGTCTATACTATCGAGCAGCGTGCGTTGACGAGGCGCATCATAGATGGGAATCAATGAATTAGATATTAAAGAATAAAAACTTGGTATTTAAAATATTTCTTTTCTTACCTTCATATATTACTCCTCCTTCTGATTGATTCATGATATAATTCCCATATATGATAAGCAATAAAATGAATGCCACAAATACAAAGGAAGCGATCCACATTATCCTGTTGGAGTCAATTCTTTTATTGCTCAAAGCAACAGAAAATCCAATTATTTTTAATCGTTGTACAAAACTAGACGCCATGATTTTGTGTAAAACAAAATCATCCGTAAAGAACAACTTAAATCTGATCTGGGATAAATTGATTTCAGCAAACTCAAACTTTATTCTTCAGCTTTCTTGGCTTGCTGTCAAACTGCTTCAAAAACTGACACATCTCGCCATGAATGTCAGCTTTGTACCCTGCGGGCGTACATCGTTAAGACAATCCGTGCCATGGTCAAGTTTTAAATTATTACCATTGAGTGTCGCGGTGAAAACGAGCGAGCTTCCCTCCTATGTATTCTCTCTCGTATTTCCTTTGATCGGAGAAGGGATGAACCTAGTGATGTCATCAGTTATCGGTCACCCTGATACATCAAGCGTGGGTGAATTAACTAATGCAAACCAAGTCGGCCAAAAATTTGCACCATTACATACAAATACATATTGAAAAACAAGAGAGCAATGCTCAAATATATGGACACGCAGAACAATTCCCCAAAAATCATATGCGGTGACCAACGACTAACATACCGGCGGTGACTTACCAGTACCTGTATCGGGGTACCGTGACGGTACAGGGACTGTCATAGATATTTTAGGTCCTGTGACAATTGAAACATCAGTTGAAATATCTCGTGATATGAGTCAATTATGTACCGTATTATCGGATCAGGTACCGAACCACAGTCAAACATTTCACATAAAAACGTTACTAAATAACATGCGTCAACTTAACACCAGCCGAATCGGGGTACAACTTTTGGTACAGTGACTGTCATAGCCGTTTAGGGCTGATGGACAATTCGACTACACGGACAACTCACCAGGCCTAGGGTGGTGTAGCCAGTCTGCGGACAATTTCATTCAAACCGCTATAAAACAAAAACCAATATATCTAACCCGTTAATTTTTTCACCGTGGGTGCATTGGCGGCATTTATTCTACACGCTAAACCTCGTATTAACTTTCTACGACAAAGGGTTAAAGCTATACAAATCCCCAAAGTACGGCACTCGAAAGACGTATTTGCGACCAAACCAGTGTGCGACCACGGATTTCAAGCCTTGATCATCGTTTCTGCTGCGTCGAGACTATCGCATACGCAGCCATACAGCAATCAAACAGACAAAACACGGTGGTCGCAAATTGGTTGACAATTGTTGGTCTTGTGACAGCGTGAAAACATTGGGCTTCTAATTGCATTTCTGACCGTCATATATTTCAAGAACACGGTTATTTCGAACTAAACTCGTTAAATTATAAACAAAGCACCTCATCACAGCAATCAAACAGACGAAAACACGGTGGCCGCAAATTGGTTGACAAAGATATTATCGACGTATCGGAAATGCACACCCCCTATTCCCCCTCCTTCAAATGTAGAAACGCGAAACTTTCAAATATGGTTAAAAGAAACACAACTCTACCCACCTGACAAGTTTCATCTTTTTATTTCTCATATTTGTATGGATTTTCAAGCTTTTGACAGCTACGAGTTAGTTCAGTGTCACCGCGCTGTGTTACGGTACCAGAACTTCTCTATCTTTAGAAGGTCCTGTCTTGTGACAGCGTGAATTGAAATTGCAAGATGGTCCGTTGGACACAAAATGGCGTCCGATATCCGCAGAACGTTTAATGACGTCATAGCAAACAAAAACAACTCTTACAGAGCTAACAGAAATATTTGAAATAAATAAAAGTAATAGCCTTCTGGAGAAAAATTTCATCTTCAACCACTGAAATTTTCAAAGCAATTAGTCCAGTAATCAAAGAGAAAAGCGACTTTTTAAAAACGTGTCAAAGAACAAGAACAACAACAACATAATATTGAAACGATCGTTATGTCCACTACGTGTCCAATAAACGGAAAACGTTTAACCTATTTTCTGCCATAGTCTCACATTGGCGTCCGTGTGCTCAGCTGTCGAATTCCGGTACTGAAAGTGTCAATAGCGACTGTTAACTTCAGTTTTTACGTCACCATTGACATCTTGCTGATCAGCCAATGCAAGCTGAGTAAACAAGCGAGTCGATGCTCTGGGAAACGTTTATTACTTCGACATTTTTCCTCAGTGGGTTAGCGAATAATACATCACGAGTGTGAAATAAAACGAAACGATGTATTGAAAGCCAAGAAGCAGTTGCGGTCCAATTTAGCACTCGAAAGGTCCGGACTCTGATCGCGGTCCGCCAGTTGAGTAAACCCGGTGCTAGAGTACATCCGGTTGCGACTTCTTGTAAATTATTGTTCTTTTTTGCTCTACTATGTTAAAAATGTCTAAGTATACAAAAAGCTGAAAATTGTCTAAATGAATTTCCCCGAAGTACTACTTTCACTACAAGGCTTAAATGTGAAATGAAAAGAAATGCTTGGAAACATAGCAATTTAAATAAAAATATATTTTATTTGAAAAGCCAAGTCTTGACAACTTCAATCGCCCTCTAAAATTTGGAAGTATAGACTAAAGTAGACTTTTTTTTAGACTATGTACGATCCGGATGTTGTTTTATTATAAAATTTCATATCCACGCATAAATACATTCTAAATAAGTTTATCTGGAAGACGTTGGGAATGAGTTGGACTACAAGAATAATAATAATTCATGGCTGTTATAAACTTTCCGATATTATTAGAAAGAGAGATTCACAATACTTTACACTCATTTATTAGCGTAAATGCAATTGGTGATAGTTTTAAAGGATGTGAGAAATCGACTTATCAAACATGGTCAATTTGTAAAATCACCGTAAACCGCATAATTTGTACCAAGTACACAGACGGAAGCTACCCACATGCTAGATAATTTAAATATCGGCGGCATACTATGCTTGATTGTAGAAAAGAAAGAGAAACTGTAGAAATTGAACAGTCGGAACACATCTGTGAATAGCAAGATGACACAAAATAGCACTTCCCCTATATGGAATTTTACATCTACGACCTAAAACCCAAAATGTGTAAAATACCAATCTTGAACTTGAGTTCTTTAACGTTTTCTTAATTAACGTTTTTCTAACAAAACAATACTACAATCATTCTGAAAGGTAACCCCGTTACCGAAAAATTCACTACCCCATTCAAAATGCAACGAATGTAATTAATTCCCCCACTAACAGTCGCGATTGTCCCTTTCAGTACCGGAATTCGACATGTGAAACTATCGGCAGAAAATAGGTTGAACGTTTTTCGTTTTCAATATGTAATTGTACGAAGTGGTGACAATTATCGGCTGACATGGTTTGCAGATGTATCGGAGTGACCGAAAACTGATGACATCACTAGGTTCACCCCTTCTCCGATCGAATGAAACGAAACAGGAAATACGAGAGAGAATAAATAGGAGAGAAGTTAGTGTTAACGATGTACGCCCGCAGGGTACAAAGATAAAATCCATGACGCGATGTGGCAGTTTTTGAAGCAGTTTGACAGCAAGCCGAGAAACTGAATAAGTTTGCTAAAAATCAATTTATCCTAGTTCAAGTTTAAGTTGGTAATTACGGATGAATTTGTTTCATAAAAAATCATGGCGTTTAGTTTTCTACAACGATTGAAAATAATTGGATTTTCTGTTTACTTCAATAGAAGAATGTGGATCACTTCCTTTGTATTTGTGGCATTCATTTTATTGCTTATCATATATGGGAATTATATCATGAATCAACCAGAAAGAGGAGTAATATATGAAGGTAAGAAGCAAAATATTTTGAATACGTACCAAGTTTTTATTCTCTAATATCTAATTCATTGATTCCTATCTTTGATGCGACTTGACAACGCGCTCAGCTCGCTAGCACAGACATAGACTGGCTGTGGTGCAGTGGTTCCCAACCTTTCTACCCTGGAGGACCGGTAAAATTGAATTAAATGTACTCGCGGACCGGCAAAAAATTGAAATGACTTGGACAGAAAAGAATAACATATATTTGCGTAATATAATGCAATGTCGGGCACTCAATATGCTCCTAGACAAAAAAATGAAACTTTTCACACGAAGAAAAACTATCAAATAATGTGCCGACCAAAAATTGAAATGAGTGAAACATAAAAGAATACCATATATTTGCGTAATGAAATGCGTAAAACAAAATTAACGCAGGTAGGAATTTTGCTTCTGTTTCGTTTCCAATATAGGATTGCAAGCGAGACTTCAAAGATAGCTTGGCGTGCAGCCGATTTCTTTGTTTCGTTTTAAATAAAGCCAGTGATGAAAACTAAGCGATGATTATTCGTTATCAAGAGATGTCCGAAATTGTGACAGTGATTCTTTTTTAAATCTGGACTGCGAAGTAGAATCGCAATTTTAATCAAGCTTTGTATTTTTATCGGGTTCATCATATTGATACCTATGCAGTTAATTGAGGCCTCAAACAAAATGAATTTACATTACAATGACAAAGTCGCCGGTAACTTGGCATCAGGATCAAAATCCAACTGTGTCTGCTCGATATACTGGAAAAGATCTATGCGGCCCATGATTTTTTGCGCGTCACGTGACCACCTGGGGGGAGCTGACTCCGATGACCTTATGGTCGTATCGCTCCCCCCAGTCTATACCAAATTAACTTTGTGTATATTGTATATATTATTTTGTATACCATTGTTCGTTTACGGTTGACAAAACAATAAATCTCTCTCTCTCTCTCACCTGCAGGGTCGCAACAAGTTCATATCTTACTGGAATGTTATACTGTTCTTGAGTGCTTTATGGTTTAAAGTAAACAAAGAAATATGCAAAACGTTTTCTACAAATAGTCGTATTAATCAGAAAAAGCACGCAGAACAGGAAAGCACGCGTGCCGATTTTTAGGATTCTGAATCTTGCGAGATTTGATGGAGCGCATTCGCGATGAATCGGAACCGAAAAAGCCAAAAGTGTGATTACTCGAATACTCGGCACCAAGATGTCGCGAAAGACGTCGCCAAGATGTCGCAATATGCGGCGGAAGAGAATTTGCATAATAAACCAACGAAACCGCGTCTCCGGTAAAGCTATTGAGGCAGCACCAAAACAACGAAATTTCTAGCGGACCGGCAAAAAGCTTCGCGGACCAGCGATTGGGAACCACTGTCATAGTGCATGCGTCTGACTGTTGATTATGCTATTTTTGCACCTCGCAGACTTTGTTACTTCTATGATTCGGCAAGAGATTTTGTCATCTAATATCAAAAAACAGAACGCAAATGCGATCTTGAAAAGGACGTACGTGTTAGTAAACGACTTTCACCATTTCTAAAGTGCATATCCCAGAATGTCACTATGTTTATATCCAAGCGCGAACACTCAAAACTGCCATGCGATGAAACATTGTGACCGACCGACACGACTAACAACGTCGCTTTAGCTATTACTAAAAAATCCCAAATATTATTCAATTTTTATTGAAAATATATTAATTTCTTTCGAACTATTCAAGAAAAAGACTGGATTGAATATGAAATCAAAAAAGATTATCAAAAAACAACAAAGGAAAGAGATCGCGATAAACTATTAGTTGAATATGAAGCAGCAAAGAGAACGTTATCAAAAATTTTTCAAAAGGTGAGGTTTGCCACTACAATATATTTTGAAAAACAATTCAATTCAACTGTTCAATTTGATATACTTTTATTTTTTATGTTTTCCAAAATCGTCGTATTGGACAATTTGATTCCAAATTATAGACATTGGCCTTTCAAATGCAAATTTGAAAAAAATCATACAGAAACGCAACCAGAGAAGTTTTGTTGTAATTCATTTGACAAATGATTTGAGTTCATTAGGTTCATCATACAAAACTTTTCAGTTATTTATCATCATTCATCATTTATAATAATAACATAATTTCAACAAAGTTCGAGGCAATATTCTACTTCGGCTGTTGATGATCGCAGTAGAGCTCTACCTATACATACTGCCCAAATCTTTTGTCAAACATCCCAATGATCCATTTTCAGGCGAACTATTGCCGCTAAGCCACTTTATTAACGTCCGCTTAATAGTATTGCTTTTGGTACCCATAGAACGCATAGAACCCATCATCAGCAAATGATAATAAATAAACAAGAGAGCTGTGCTCAAATCCGCTGATATGAGTTCGCGGAACCGCCACAAGGTGCGAGCATTTTGATGACGTCATAGCACACACAAAATGAATTTCATAGAGCTCACAGAAATATTTGAAATAAATAAAAGTAATAAACCTTCAATCTTTGACCACTGGAAATTTCAAAGCAATTGGTTTGGCAGTTAAAGAGAAAAGATATTTACGTATTCAATTAGCAATGCATAAAAATGTCACAATCATCATTTGTGAAACTGGGATATAATATATAGAAACTGGCCCAGTCATGTAGATATGGCCTGGCAGTATTGGATACGAAATAAATAGGCATATTTTGTTTTGTTATTATGTTTTTGTTGTTGTGAAAAAATAGCATTTCTACTGAACTAATTGTTACAAAATTTTCGCTTTCACATTTGTCGCTAGAAGACCATTATTTTTAAGCATGCTGGTCTCTGCCGTTAAAACAAGTTTTAGTACTTTTAATTTTCGGACAGCGTAAATGAACTCGTTTGACTCCGTTTTTTTTTCTTGTCATTAAAAATATTAATAACTGTGCGAAGTTTTCTTTCCATAAAATAAATTACTCCTGAAAAGTCATCATTATTTTTAATCAATAGTTGTCGATGGCTAACTAATCAAACCACGTGGCCCTATGGAATTATCCTCTACTAGATTCAAACGTGTACCTACAAAAACCATCGCGGTGCGATGTCATCACGTTCTTTGTGGTTTCCAGTACGAGCAGAGCCAAATGACTTTATTTTATTCTGCTCCACATCCAAATATAATTTCATATCTTTAGCCAGCAGTTCAGCGTGCACCAGATGTCATTGGAATCGGGGTTGAGAAGTGTGGAACAGGGGCTCTTAGGTCTTTACTTCGTATGCATCCGATGATCAAAGTAGCACCCAAAGAACCCCACTTCTTTGAACGACCGTATTTATACAAACTGGGCCTGAAAGCATACACGTAAAAATTTTTTCATTGTAATTAATTTTTATGATGACTGTTCGAACCTGAAACGATTATTTTATGCGATATGTGATTATTGGGCGAAAGAAAGTTTAGAACAACTTTTAAATCAAATTAATTTCATGAATATCTGTAATGCCAGACGATTGAATATTAAATAAAAATTTTAAGGTCATATGCATAAAGCAGACTCGAATCTGAACTCTCCCATTAAACGTCGTTCTGACTTAAAACTATGATTTAGGTTGAGGAAACGTGATTTTTTTCGTCGACAATGTTATTTCAGTGGAAAAGTTTATACCACTTTCAATGTTATATCAATTAAAGTTTGAGGTATTACCCCATCTGTAGCAGTGAATATATATATATAAGAATTTCCTGGGAAAATAATTTGAATTTATGAATCAACAAACACATGTTGATGACACCATTCAATTCACGCCAAGCATTCCACTTCAAAATATTTTTCCAACACTGTCTAATGTTTCAATAATCATCTCAAAGTCGAAAGCTTGTTTGGGCATGGATTTGCTGGTCTAAGGACACCACTAAATTAAATCACAGACGTGACGTATTATATTATAAACCAAAACATATCGAGGCAAAGGCCTTATTGATATGAGTATCAAACAAACCGTCAACTAATTTAAAATATTTTTGTTTAGACCTATGTTGGCCAAAGTTTTACCTCATGAAATATCATTTGAAAAAACACCGGCCTACTTCAACTGGAGACTCACGGTACCAGAACGTCTTCGGGAACTTGTTCCTAAAGCCAAACTTTTACTTGTTTTGTGCGATCCTACCAAACGAACATATTCCGATTATTTCCAGGAGGTAAAATTCTATCGACTCATATTGTATTTTTCCGCGATGCTTTTGAATCTAGCACCTCTAGTTATACATAGGCATTTCAGTTTTCGTTTTCATAAATCCAGTCCATTTGGGGGGAATTACTGTCTTATTGTTATATTCTTTATTGTCGTTAACACTATAGTTATTGTTGCAAGACATTTAGAAGAATGTCGCTCAGCGTGAAAAAATTATAGATTTGGCATTAGTGTTTAAACTCTTGCTTTGGTATTGAAGAAGTTCATTTACTTTAATACGACTGCTATTTTAAATTAATTTTTTTCGAAACTTGCTTTTCAGATTTTCCCCCACAACATGTAAAAAAAGCATGGCCGGGTCCTTATGATTTCAGTAATACATTTTGATGTAATACATTTTATAACAGACATTAATGCATAATCTTGAAGAAAAAACAACTTTTGAACAAATGGTTGATGACCTTCTTCTCTACTCCGCCAATTTAACTGCAAAAATGAATGAAAGCGAATCGGAAATGGTGTATATTGAGCAGTTATTTGAAAAAAACAGTACTAACCATATACTAACAACTGGATTGTATTACTATCATTTACTAAGGTAGTAGACATTTTTATTTTAGTTGTTGTTGTTATTGTTTGTATTTTTCATCTTGTTTCTCCTCAACTACAGGACCTATATCTTTGCAATTTTCAGTGTTATAAATTGTTGGTAAGCTATTACTTTTAGTTTAGATTAATGGAAACGACGATTCCATTCTGTCAAGCGTGACGTTATACTTTTGCGAACTCCGTGCTATACTCCGTATTGGTCGCGTCGGCTTTCGACACTGCCGTTCTTCTGTCAGTATATTTGAGATTTGCTCTTTTTTTTTGAGGTTTTATTCTCAAGATGAAAACTTTATAGAATGCAGGACTATTTTATTTCGTTTCGACAATCGTGACGCATCGATGAATATGCAAACCATCGTAAGCAGTTTGACACTATGCTACTGAAATTATTTTCAATATTTTTATCAGATGGTATAAAGTGTTCAACAAGAGTGATATATACATCGTAGACGGCGAGGAACTCATATCTAATCCTGCTAAAGTCATAAAAGAGGTGGGTGTGCATAAACAATTTGACCAATACCTATGATCCAAGATCAAATTAATGTAATTGCTCCGGGAATTAGAGATAAAAACCCAAATTCAACGATAGATGCTTTAAAGCAGCATTTTATTATTATTATTTTTTTCATTGATAAATACAAGTTGTTTATATTATTACAATGCTCTACGCACAGAAATGAAATGAACTAAATAACTAAATCAATGTTATTAATTTTTTTTTTCCATGACCCTTGTTTATGTAATTCTCTCGTTTTTAATTGTGTTTTGATTGCTTTAGGTTCAAGACTTTCTTCACATCCCAGAGTTCGTTTTACCGGAAAATATTCCAAAAGGACCGTCTGGGTTTTCTTGCTTCGCCAAACCTTTAGTAGTGGAAAGAAACGGCGTTTTAGTCGCAGGAACAGCACGTACTTCTTGTATGACTGGAAAGGGAAGGACTAGAAAAGGAGCATGGGGTGTCGCGAACCCCGAATATATGGAAAAACTTCGCTTATTTTTTGCACCATTCAATGAAAAATTATATAAACTACTCGGTCGTAGATTTAATTGGTGACGATCGATTAAACGTTAATTCAAATGCGTCATCCTGCACATACCATATGCTCTAGAAATTATACCGCCTAATTTAGGGCAACGAAAAAATATTTCATGATGTAGCATAAGATAATAAATTTACTAGTAATGGATTGCCCGCTCGCTTCCTTGAATATGAGTGTGCTAGGAAACGCTTCTCAGTACTACTCGCACGTGCCAGATTGAACTAAATTAAAAACTAGTTTCGAGGACCGCACACCATTCAAAATTGGCACTTTTCCGCGGGCCGCTTAATTTCTCCTTGTGGCCCGCGGGCCGCAGGTTGCACACCCCTGCCCATAGAGAGCTAAACTGTCTTTTTTTAGACAGGAGTCCTCGTAGAAACTTGAAATTTTGACTATTTAAGTTTAAATGAATATTTAGCTGAATCTAGGCTACTTATATATGCATTGAAAATAATTGATTAATTTAATAAATATAACGAAAAGATTCATAGTAACCCCTAGTTATTCGAAATATTTATTTCCTCTGACTAATACGAACACAACACTGAAACTATACCTTTAAATTATTATATTTAAGGCAGCATGATTTTTGAATGACGGGGGAAAATGGGTGTCTCCAAAATGTCGTGTCCCACTTGTACCACGTGTCCCACTGTACTACGTGTCCCACTGTACCACGTGTCCCATTTGTACCACGTGTTCCACTTGTACCACGTGTCCCACTAGTACCACGTGTCCCACTTGTACCACGTTTCCTACTTGACACGTGGTACAAGTGGAACACGTGGTACAAATGGGACAAGGGGGACACGACATTTTGGAGACACAAATCCCCAAAAAAGCTGAGTTAATGTCACATGCCTGAAAAAATTGCACCTATTTCAAATGAAATAAAACTCTACTTGATTTCATAACTTTGTTTTTCCTTGGATAGTAATCTGTCAACACGCCTTCCTTTTCACACACATAGAAAACGGTCACTTGTTTCTTGAATTGGCCAGTGCGTTATCTTCCCGTATGCACATTTATCTATTTTAACAATCGAGAACTGTATTTTGTTTATCACGATTAGTATAATGCAACGGACACTTTCCGACTTCCTAATTAGGTATGTGCCTGAAACTTCAGCGGAAGTTAGGCGACCCTGGAAAATCGTCTCGCGACCCCGCTGAGAGTCGTTACCCACAGTTTCGGAACCACTGTTCTAATATAAGTACACGAAGACCAAAACAAAGCAGTACGTGTATGCAATCTGTCACAATAGACTACTGGATACCGGTACGCACGGCAGTCTACACGCCACAAGATGCACACTTTTTAATGACGAAAAAAAAAACGAATCCCTTAGAGACAACAGGATAAAAGCCTTTAAGCGAAAAATACAATTTTCCACCACTGACCACCACAACAACACAACAACTGACCACCACAACAACAAAAGAGCGATTCTAAATGAACAACAACATAAGAATAATACAATCAATATGTACCTTTCGTGTCCAATAAAAAAAAATTGCCGCTGAGTTACTTGATTCATACCTAAATTCCGAAACAGTAAAAACATGACCAACGACGCCTGACATAACGAAAACGAGTCAATGTTCATGATAGGAAAGGATAGGATTTACATATTTATCCCGGGTGAGAGGAAAGCCGATAAGACGGCTTATCCATATGGCGAACCACGGCCTCTCGTCCGGTTACCATTCCAAGTCGGGTATGGGATTAGTTTTACTGTATTGTTTGTTTTCGGAAGCATGGACTTGGTGGTGGAGGAAGCCGTAACCGACCAGCGGTTACGTGAACCACCCAACGACGGCGAGGAGTCCAGCAATCCTCTCGCACATACCCATCCCTGCATGGGATTCGAACCTGCGAACCCACGCAGAGTAGTTAGAGGTGCGGTGGCGAGCGTATTCCTAACGCTTAGCCCGTTGAGCCACACCGCCGCGCCAAGATCACGAGTACATGATTGAAAATGGTTGGTTGAATTTAAATTGTTACGTTTCAGTTAACATTTTGCTGTTTGTTACGGAGAGCCCGTTCCCGGGGTAACGTTACACACAACAAAATCTTCTTGGATATATAAGATTATATATAAATATAGGGTAAGCTGAGTTGTAGCTCAATATTTAATATTGCATTCATCCAGCTCTTAGTAAATTTGACTTTGTTCTCGCTAACTTTTTCGTATCTTTGCTTCTCTGAACCTGCCGACTTTCCGCGGGACGAACGAGTTAACCCCACAAGTGGGCTTTGTTTGTTGTAATATATAAATTATCAAATATATAATTTGCAATAACCTGTACCATGGGTTTCTTAATATCTTTTCAGAGTGAATGATAGATAGTTCTTGATAATTCTTATTGCTTTTTATTAACTTGTGACTTTTATTAACACAATTTCAACTTTTGTTTGAAAGCTTGTCGACTACTTCCAACCTAACAATAGATTGTTAGCTAAAAGCTACTGAAATCTGAAACATAAGAAATTATCGGTGAGATAGGTCAACATGTAGTGCTATTCAAGATATGTTCTCATTAGCTACTGTGGGTTCCATTACATTTGAACCCACGTACATTTGAACCCATGACAATTGCACCTGTATGCTATTGCACCTATGGAATTTTTTTGTTTTTTCGGATAGTTGAACTCATACTAACCCTAACCCATGGGTTTTAGCACCGGCGTATAGATTGAACCCGTGGATATACACATGGGTTCAAATGTACATGGGTTCAAATGTACGGTCACCGCTACTGTGGCATGTGAAAGAAATAAAAGTCAGGAATTAATTGACCATATCATTTATTTGCATATCTCACAATATAATTATTGAAAGCAATTTGAAAAATATACAGATATAGGTACACAAACTATTATTAGCCTGTACAATAACAAGCATATATAGCAGTTAGAAAACTCAGATATTGAGATTTTGAGACATGATGATGATGCCAAATACATTAAGCATTCTGAGCCATTACCAAAAATTATTGGACATCGAAGAAACCAAAACTACTCTATCACAATTTGAAGGTGATGATAAAAACCACAAAAGTATATTTACGTACTTTATCACGATTTACAAAATATCGTACCAATTTTCAATATTGAATTTATCAGAGTTTATTTTCAAATCAAAGATATGCTGGAATAATTTTTAAACTAAAAATGTAAAAATAAAAAAAGCAATTCCACAAAAGAACGAATTTTTATACGAAATGAGTATTTTTAGACAATGTGATCATTTAAGATAGCATATTAACATGCCACTGGGTATTCCAGAATATTCAAAAGAAATATATTTTAACTGCTTTTTCGAACTTGTTTTGCCAAACCAATTGTTTACTGGAGGGTGTTGTTATGATCTAACCAAAGATTGAAATTGATTATAAAATACCCATCAGATGAATGGAATATGCAGAATTTTCACACAATACTAAATTCAAGCAGCTGAACACATGGTTGCGGCAAAACCCTAACTAGCAGACTGTCTAAATATCTTTATTCATTTTTTCAAAACAATGGTGAATATAATTCTAATTAGAAAAATACATTGATTCGATTTAGTACTAGAAGAAAAAAAGCTTTGGCATAAAAGCATAATGATAAACATCTTATATATTAAAGCGAAAATTGAATCAATCCACATTTAGGTACTTTAAACCAAAGTTCCACACAAAAGGTAGTAGATTTTATATTGTGATATTTGGTGTGCCACAAGGATTACCCACAGGCAGGAAACATGAGAAAAAACGATTGACTATGTATTAAAGTGAGAATTTTCCAACAAGCTCAATTTCATTCAGTGATAAATTCATGAATGTGTTCAAACTTAACAACCTTAGAGATCTGCCTAGAAGGTCGACCAAATGATGCTATGATGTTATTGATTTGTACGACATCATTTTTCCAACTGGTAATAATACTGCTACCTATCTAGCTTCACCAATGATGCTTCTCAGATTTTATTCATTGAAATACTCTATATTTAAAATATATCAGGGCAGTTTGACCAGTCTCGTTTCTTGTACTTTGTGTCAAATATCCAATCAGGGGTATCAGTGATAGGATTGGTTCCATGTCTGAACCATCTGTAAAAGAATGCATTGAAGTGGCTACATAGTAATACAGGTAGGAATTAAAGTAATTTATATATTCCATGAAATTGGGTTGGCAATACAATAGATTACCTAAGCACATTACACACATGAACAAAACCGAAAAACGCATAAGTGGCTGTTTATATACTGGTGGCTGTGTTTATACTATTAAAACTAAACTTATACTCTAAAAAAGTGAATACTAAATGGCGACATCAATAGTTATTACAAAAAAAACGCTTATACAAATCAATACCTTGGTGTCCATTCATCCTTGTTTTTATTTCTGAGTTTTCTTGCTGATCTTTGTTTTTCTTCCAACCTCCATTTCTGATCACCAGCACCATCTAGTGGAGAACAACACACATTTCATTTAAAAAAAAAATGGATACAAACTCCTAGTAATTTGTTTAAGGAATATAGAAATATCATTCGAGGAAAACTCATTTAGACTGTTTTCTAGGCGGCTTTTATTAACTTAAAGATTACTACTATACTAAAACAAGAAAAAGAACAAGTTACAAGATGTAGCAACCTTGACGTACGCTAACCAAATAAAACCCAAGCTCTGCCACGCAACTATTAACATTTCAGATCGCTCGGCGATGGTGACACGTTGGCCACATTAGGTGGCGCTAATTCAATTTCATCACAATCACCCCACCCAAAAAGATCATATAAAACATAGAACAATATACATTGGTTCTAATAAATGTTTAAGAGAACAGTGAAACCCAGGCAAACTGATGAAAATGTTATTGATAATTGTGGGTCATGTTAATATTCTGCCTTCATTTTTCTGACTCAATGTTTTGGGCCTTGTTGAATGAAAAAGAATCCCAATGTTATACCTATGAAACATTGCGTGATATTTGGCTTATAATTACAACTATCGCTGGTTACAGTGATAAGTGTTAATACAGAGTTAGGATAATATTCTCATACTTATCTCTGGGCAGAGGGAAGTTAGGAATAGTTAACAGTTATTAATTTTAAATACAAGGATTCGCACTACTAGTATAGTGCATGTGTAGCATTCTAGAGTGTGGACAACCAAAAATTAAAAGAATTAAGATGAGGTGTTGTTGATATAATCAAAATTATTTCATTTTTGATACCGAAAGGAAGACAGGTAATTTTAAATAATACTATTATTTAATTCTTACCAATATCACCATTTTCTTGGCACCTAACATCAGGTCTTTTCCTTGTATCTGTTGGAGGTAAGATATCTTCTTCACCAGGTGAATATTCGTTCAATGTCATCGCATAACTCGTGAAACTATAATACTGAAATACCAAGATCAAAACTATTTATATCTTACTAAATATTTCATTGTGCATTGATGTATGTATGTGGTCAATTCCCTGATTTCAATCATTTTTTGTAACTTGTTTGTTGATCAGAAGATGAGTCCAATTTGAGAAGAGAAATTGAATTTAAAATGCTACAGAGCAGTGAACTGCTATGAATTGTATTGTTCATCGAATATAGTACATGAGCTTTCAATAAAATAGACACCCATCATTTCAAAAATAACAAAATCGTATGAGCTAACAAAAACAATGAATCTCAGAAGTAGGGGAAAACACTACCTGCTAAGAATGTCAGAGTAGTAACTTTTAATGGTCTTTGATGGTCTAATGTTATTTGGTGTGCATATCATCACTTGGATGGATTTTTTCATTTCATTTTAGAGTTGACCAGCTTACAAACTTTTATTGCGTAAAAACGTGGCAAATTGCTTTTTGTCAAATGACTAATCTGTTTCTGCAATTGTGACTTCGCTCCAATATACCAAGCTAAACATGTTTCGGATATAGATCACAATTTCTTCATTTTACTCATAGTTTTCTATAGAGCAGAAAATAGCGCATCAACAACCAAACAATGTCTTAATTAAGGCTTATATCAATGATTCTTAAGCATTATAAGATTTAATATCTTTACGAAGTATAACATGATTTCAAAATGATATCAAATTACCTCTTTAGAAAATGAAGGTCTCTCTTTGACTTCCCATATTTTGATGCAATCATCGTCTTTAGATTTTTCCAAAGAATCAAGTACCTCTGCTGCTGTTGTGGAAGTTCGAAAACTCTGCAAAAAAATGGTTATACAAATATATATATATATATATATATACAAAAATCCATTATGATCGAAGAAGATGTAGGACACAATCAAAATACTATCGAGATAATTTATTCCTTCTGACAGTTCATATGAAACATGCATATACAGCAAGGTTGTGGATTAGAGAAATTTAAAGCAGATTCCAAACTACGACCAGTCATTGGAGACACAAATTTAGACTTCGACTGCCAGATGGAAAAAATTTTGAGTCCAAGTCGAAAAACTAAAAATTCAATTACAACAGATTTGGTGAATACAAACTGAACACACACTGAATTGTCACAATTTTGACAGTTCTGAACGACACCTAACAGTTCAGCTCGCGCTCTAAACAGATTTAAAATATGACTCTGGTTATGATTCCAATATCAACAAAAACATGACAACTTCCAATACCACAACCCTGATATACAGTTATAAGACACATATATATCAAATTGCATTCAATATTCACGACAAAATATGCCAAAATAATCGTATTTGTTACTTCAGTGTTATAAAACGAAGGATATGTTAATGTGAATATTATTTTCTAACGCACCGAAGATCCTTTTCTTTCTTTCCCAGGATTAACTTCACGTTTATACTTCTCATGAGCCTCGGGACTCAGTGAATACATATGTGTTGTCCAATCTCCTTCTAGATATCTCAATTTCTTTTTTCTATAGTTTACAAATAGACATTATTAACAAATAAGAATGCATGCATTTCAGAAAAGCTGGTTCAAATAGACTGAAATGTACGATAGTTTATGTTTAAATTCTTCAAGGTGTATTTGAAGAAAATACTGAGCACTGTTCAATTTTAGACTCAAACCGGCAACATCCACACAGCTTGCTTATTCTCAGACTCTCATTCTCACTCTGATAAAATGATTCTGATGGGATTTTTATTTGTTTCCTTGGGGAGAGGAAGCAGGCTCAATCATATGGCAGACCCCAGCTCATCTGGTTGCCAATCCATGTCGGGTATGGAATTAGTTAGCCAGTTATTTGTTTCAGATGCTTGGACTTGATGGGTAATTGGTATTACCTTTTTCAAATACTCTCGGTATTTGAAAATATACAGATATTTCAGTATAACTTCATTTGCTCTGACACCATAATGATACAACTTTATCACTTGCATCAAGCTTTCATTCTAGCTTACTTGGAGTCTTTAGCAATATAGGACATGAGTTAACAATAAATCAATAAAAAAAAGCAAAAAAAAGTCGAAAATGAGTGAAATGTACTTGTCATCAGTTTCTGCATCGTGCTATTGAACTCAACCCGGTTATGTGATATTAAATAAATTAGAAGGATTATAAACTTACTTAGAATTGACGATATATCCTTCGACTTTGTTAATATCATGTCGAAACCAACTGTGGGATTTGAAATTCAAAACACACTTTTCATCTGTACTGTAATAACAATGAAAAATAAATTATTGATAATATAAGTGATATTTTAATACCTACCTAGGGACATGATAACCTGCAGCTACATAAAAGCCTTACCTTCCCACCTGTAACTCTGCTCTTCAGAACAAGTACTGATTGTTGGGGTAGGTCAGGGGTCACCAAACTACGGCCCGCGACGTCATTTTATCCGGCCCGCGGCGTCATTTTATCCGGTCCGCAATAACACGCAAAAATGGCTAAATTTTTTTCCAAGGAAGATTTTCACGAGCATCGTCGTCCTTGTTTATTTCGTAACATTGGCCAATCGGCAAGATGCAGAAAAGTGACGTAATAATAGGCCTTTCCGCATCCGCTCAGACACTTTTGTCACCCTGACAGATTTTCAGTCGTGGTTGTAAACAAAACTTCGTTTTTGCGACTTTGAATGCTACCAGTACGTAACGTTTTCTGCGATACACTTGTACACTCGTGGCGCTTGCTTTCGACGAAACTGTTTGTTTTTCGTGCTAAAATAAACGTCGAATGTGCATTTTGTGCTAACAGTACTGTAATCCCTCGCGTACTGCTCCAATTTCAAAAGCCACACTAACTTTTGTACTGCTTCAATGCGGATATTCATGTAGGTATGTTACAAAAAAATGGAAGTTCATCCGATTTAAATAAAAACTGCTCCAGTGGAAAGATCTGAGTAAAAATAGAAAACAATACCAAGTTTGGAATAAACGGTCAAGAAATAACGGAGATATCGGAATTTTAGTACCGCCCGACAGCCAATTTTTTCCATAATGATTGTCTTACTTTTTTGATAAGAACTGTACTAAATATGGAAAAATAACACATATCAATCACTAATCTTTCGATGTGCGTCACATCTATGGTATATTGAGATAATTTCAGGATTTTATCCTGGCAACAGTCATTGACACCGCCGAAAGATCGTCGCAAATAAACGCTGGAGTTGTGCATGATAGTTTGACAGTGGTTCATTGTGGGTAATAATTAACGATGTTCTGATTGTACGAACTTCATAAAAATTGGTAAGTATCAAGTTAGACAAGAAATACACACGTCCATATAAATTTTATTGGTGTTCATAGACAATATCAATAATTTGCACTACATATAACTGGAGCGTAATTTTTAAAAGCGTCGAATGTTGGGAAATTTATGCGCTAATGAAAAAATTCAAATACCAGATAATAGTTGTTCATTTTATCTAAATTATGTCAAAATTTCATAGAATTCCAAGCTAAAGCAGGCAGTCGTTTTTATGAGCGGTATTTCAACACGGCGTAACGGTACTTAGCAGACCTGATGCGTACAATTTTTGCCGCGGATTTTGTAACATTTCTAATTCATGACAGCAACGTTTTGATAACAGCTAAACTCAGGATAGTTGTCTAGATCCTGAGATAGAAATCTTGTTAATTTTTTTTCCTAGGATGTTCTCGATCTATATTCTGGGATATTCCCAACATTTGTGAATTTATTGTATTGCATTGACAAAAATATTCATCCGGCCCGTTTCAACACAATTTGAGTCATACCCGGCCCGCGGTCAAAAAAGTTTGGTGACCCCTGGGGTAGGTTGTGGAAAGGTAAAATATTGTTTCATGTTTAAACTTGATAATGATTACACAAGAATTTTGATCCAGATGCAAAAATCCAGAATATACCAGGTTGTATAAAACACCATGCCACTCACATAGTTGAAAAAAATTTAATGACAATGATCAAAATTAAGTCACCACAGACCTTATTGCAGTTCCATCACACAAAATTTGAATATTAAACAAATTTATGTAACAATAAAACTACAAAATTCTTTCCAGGTTATATTCAAGAGTTTATACCAAGTTTTATTTAATAATTTTTACCAAAATTCACCAAAACTTTGATTTAATTTATTCATTCCTTGATGTGGAATATACTTCAAAAATTTACAAACCTATGATTAACTATATCAACAACACCGTGTTGTTCAATCCATGGTTTACCAACAACAACATTCTGAACACTGCAATGTGGATTTGACCAAGTGAAGGTTTCATTTAACCTGGAATATATGGTATAAAAGGATAACTCATATTCTGCGATTTCTTGCCAATCCAAGAAGATTAGAATGAAATCCAAAAATTATATCCAAAGTAATGATACATAAAGTCAACTGTTCTACAAAAAAGAAGGCATGAGCTGTGCCCAAAAAACACGGAAATAAATTTCCTAATTGTTTCTGCAAAAGTGAAAAATTTATTTAACACTTAACTACTGTTTGTGTATGATTGTACCCAAAGTTATTCTAGGACGCTTTTCACAAAAGTCATGCTCTCTCCGGAATATGTTCCAAATGACCTGGATTCTGTTACTTGGGTCACCCAGTGTAATAAACATTTAAATCTTAAACAAGGGTATTCGATTACTATGATTGAATTTATTTGAGTAACCTTTGAAATATATTCATGATACTATACTTTATAGTTGTTTGATTATCAAAATTGATATAAACATGCAAAGATGCAACATCATGTACTGTGCACATATTACAATTTTATCAGTCTGATATACTATACTCTTGAAGTACTAATTTGATACAGAATTCGTGTAAGCAATTTTCTTACTCATTTAATGTTAGAGTCATTAATCCTTTGGGCTCCACTTCTACACTTTTCCCCCAGAATTTAAGTTTTGGATTAACACTTCCATGAAAATCAAATTCTGCATTTGTTCCAGTCACATGAAAGGCCGAAATTGGTGGATGATGAGATACTTGCTCAGATACCCAGGAAAATCCAATGTCTGGCCTGAAAGATGGAAAAACATGAAAAATAAATTTTAAATACCGGTATGAAGGCTTGACAAATCAGAATGGCAGTGAGCTCTCGTTAGATTAAAGTCTAAAACAAGATATAACCTATCAGTTCAATGCACAGTATTCTAGTACCCACTGCATAATATACCATCAATACTATTACAGTTAGTACTTAATTTCCCCAAAAAAAAGTTTTTTAATGCATTTTCCATACGATTGTTTTATGGAAACTATTTGAAAATACACTGTAGTATAAATACCAAAAATCATATATACCACCTGCCTATATAAAATAATATGAGACTGACCTATTGCACTCAAAAGTTTCACCAAGTAATGGATTATACGGTTTTCCGACTCGTCCCAACTGTGACGCAAGAGCTGATACAGAGAATGCTGCAACAATCTAGTAAAAGCAAAAGTACAATATTTTGAAAAATTATCTCACAGATATCGGAGATATAAAATACAAAATTCAATACTCATTAAACAACATCACCAATGAAAATTGTGTAAATTTGACAGCTCAGCTTGTCCAATGATGTGAAATTGATTCAAATATAGTCAAACTAGGCATAGATAAATCAAGAATTAGTAGAGATTAAGTACCAGAGACTAAGCTTAAGCCATTATAAAAAAGTTGCATTCTAGCTTTTAGAATGAATACTATATGAGAATATTTTGACTCAAGAAGGATTCTGTATGCAAGAAATGAGATATTATATATATATTTAAATAAATACGCTTGAAAATGAATTATCATAATTATTCCACTACAAACTATGACTAAATATTAAGTTGTTTCATGAATAATAATAATAATATCACTGCTGAATAATTATTATTATTGCAGTGAATCAGAGGTCATTCGTGTATAACAAAAATTGATAAGATACGAATGTATTTACAAGCGATATAAAATGATTTGTATTGAAAATGAGCTAAGTTATTAGCTGAGTTAAACATAAGTATAAAAATTCTGCAATAGGTTTCAATCAGGGGAAAATCATACAATGAAAAATTCCTACTTATTTAATTTGTTTATAAAAGAATAAAACTTTAGATATTGATGACCAAATTCAATATTTTCACCTCTAATCGTTTTGTTGAATCTTTTATGGTGCAAGCTTCCCTAAGTAGGTGTGTATATTCCATATATTCAGAAAAACGTTGTAGAAAACTTAGAGGTTCATTGAATATAACAGGCATTGTAATCTTGGATAATTCCTGAAAAATTAGAATTCAACAATAAAACCGATGAAATGCATAAATATTTTTTATCAAATTTGTCAAATACTCATATATTGACTTGAAAATTTAAATTTGAATCGAGAATTAAAGAACACCACCAAAATATATTAAAAACAAACTTTTTTTCTTTCTTTCACTTTTGCCACGATTTGGGCCTTATATGGAAATGACTTCAAGTCTAATGTTCAATCTAAATCTGATCCAGCGAGACGAGACACAAAATCATGATAAAATTGATCCAAAGCAAACATAACTAATTCAACGACTAAATCAGCAGAAATCCTTCATATAATGTAAACATGTTGGGTGAGGTTATTTGATTACATAGCATAGAACAAGGTACCTCTAGCAAGGTGACTCTTGCTTGTGGCCAGGTTATATAAATAACAAGAAATTTTCATATCAAGGCTGTCTATATTCCAAAATTTATATACCGGTACTATAATTATACAGAATCGGAAAATAACATGATAATCTATATTTCAAAAATTTTGTTTTGAAAAATTATATATAAAACCTGATTTTCATATATAATGTAAAGTAACTGATGCTAGCCTTTTTGTTACCTTAATATAAGAAAACATACCCTATTTATTCTTTTTTCACACTAAAATTACATATATATATAATTTTGCTAAATTGTTGTTGGCAAAATTCACTTTTTTCTGCAACTAACGAACAAATCTATTTCAAATTTTCACTACTCAAAAATCATTTGAGTCTCTAGAAGGCTATTGCTTGCATTTTTTTCAAATTTCAGTCCTTGTTGATCTAATATTTTAACAAAAATTTTGCTGTTTTATTTTAATTCATAGGATGGCTTTGGGAATATAGGAACACTATTTTCCATCATGATTGTATGTCTGCCTACGATTTTATCGAACTTAGTGCTCAGCTGAGGCTATATCCTATCTGTACATATGTGCAACTTTCGTGTCCATATTATATTAGAGTGTCACATTCTTGTTTTTCTATGTAATGATAAATCACACGAACAAGGACAAACGAAACAACAAAAAAATATGAGAGAATCAACAACTCACCTTCCCAATACACTGCTTCAAAATACTCCAGAAGCTGAAAGCATCTCTTGAAAACATTACAACTGGTAATTTCTCTCTATAGGTGAATTCAACACAATCTTGAAATACTTGTGATGTGTCGCTTACTAATGATACAGAACTCGACTGAAAATAGATAAAAAATATGAATAAGGACTACACTTAGCATAGAGATTGCTGTAGAATCAGAATGTGATAGCATGCTAAATATTAGCATAATATAGGCTAAATCAACACAGTCGCTAGTTGAGTTTTTTTAGGTCACCCTGTATATTTATTACCGTATGTGTTATCTCTGTAGTTTAGAGATCCAAATTTACTTTCCAGTCAGTAAAGAAATTTCACACACCAAATGCATAAACTAAATTAAAAAAATTACAATCTTTCATAATGGTTGTAGCTCTCCACCTACATTCTAACCTTGTACAATGTTAAAAAAGCGCCCGGATGAAAAATTGAACAAACAATTAAAAAATATATTACAGGATGACCCAAAAAACAGAACCGGGTGTATTTGGGACATATTCTAGAGAAACGAAGCTTTTGTGCAACGCATCCTATATTACTGAATTTTTGGGTACAATCACACACAAACAGAAACAAATGTTAAATATATTTTTTTCATTTTTGTAGAAGTAATTAAGAAATTTTCGAAATACATCTTTGGAGGTTTCCCTGTAATACAATGAATGCATAAAAAATGAATCCATACCCCACTTTCTACTGCTTTTTCATCTTTCCTCCTGACTTCCTTTTCAGAATGAAAATGTTTTTCTGTATGTACTGCTTTTGTACCATGAGAAGTTTTTACAGTTTCAACTGTACTTTCAATGTCATCAACTACGTGAGAATTAGTTTTTCCTCTTTTAACATGAACTTCTTTATGTTTATGTTCATAATGTGACAATTTCTGAACATGTCCATTTTTTGATGTCTGTGCTTCTACAATACTATTTGTAGATTTTTGATTGTTCAAGTTGTCATTTATTTGATTTGATGATTCTGATGTTCCTGATGCTTGCTGAGGTGAAGATTCAAATTCTCCTTCCTCCTCTATCAAAGAAAAAATTTATAGAAGTTCTAAAAGTCAAGAGTTTTTAATAATATAAATATAACAACTTTATGATTAAGGTGATCGATTTTCTCAAAGAATTATACAATAGATTAAGATTAAATACCATTGATATATTTTGGGTACCCCTGTAATGTGTGTACCAGGTTAGGGTTAGGCCATAATTTGATTCCGATTTTCCTTATTTTAGTTCTATTACGAGTTCGGGGACTGTCTATGTTAACCAAGTGAATATACCCCAGTCCCATAGCGTTCAGTCAACTTGATGTAAAGTAGGCGAACAAAATTAGTTACCTATGTGAATTAGTTATCGTTAGTACCTATGTGTAATCGAGTTCCAGCTCATGAATGGTATCAATTTTATTAACTTCATTTTACTGAAATGCTCTTTGTATTCAATGGTTGGATATAGATTCACCATCCTATTGAAATTGAAATAAACAGTTTGCCATGCAAGACCTCACCGCGCAATTACCATAATTAGTTTAAACCACTGGTGGTTTTGAAACGTAGCTTCATTGCCAAAATTACTGGTTCATTTGATAAAAATCCATTTTTTTTTATCTAAGATAAAACCCACCGTGACCTTGCTTGTAGAAATTGCTGTATTCTATATGTTAATTCCTTTTTCAAAATAGATATTGCAAAACAAAATTCCAGAATTAGGACCAATTCAGATTAATATTTCACTGAAGCGATTATTCTAATTTCTAGATAAGTAGCACCCTAATAGTAAGATATTTCTATATTTCATAAACTTTATTTTACCAAATTCAATACAAAATGGCTATATTTGCTACATATGTTCTATGTACGGAAGATTTCCCATTATCATACCACACGAAATATTTTAAACTAAACCACATTAGGTTAAAGAGAAAATGTTGTCTCGTTTTCGATCTACAAAAATATTAACGAACTCTCTAAAGCTGAAGGTTATGGATATGTAAAATTACATATTTTTACAATAAACAGACATGACCTTTCGAACATAAAAATAAAAATGGAATGTTTCACCGCAGAATTACTGGAAGCAATTCTTCAAAGTGAAGACAAACATGCAAGAGATATATTAAATTGATGACCTTTTATAAACCAGATGACATTTTTTTTAATAACAATAAATTACATAAAATGATAAATAATTTCAATGTAAGGAGTCATTTTGATGGATTGATACTGCTAATAGTTTTGAATAAAGATTGAACAAAGAACGTAGTTTACACATACACCACATGATTTGTTTAAATATAAATTAGGTGAAGCTTTTCTTCTTTTAAAATTTCCAGGTTTGTGCACCTTGTCAATAGACTTATTAAGATATTTCAATAACTCTTTCACAAATAATTTTTTTTATCAAGCCAAATCAATTAATCAAATTCTTTTGATCACCTACTGCTACCTTGGTCCTACGCCTGATAAATAATTTATAAGTTTTTTCAAAGCAACTGTATACAATTATATCAAAGCAAGCAGGTTAAATAAAAAGATTGTGAAAAAAATATGTCATTTCGCTTGTAACATTTCTCTACAACATTTTCATCATCAGAATTCATAAAAAAGATAGAAATAACATTAACCTGATTCAAATGCATCATAGAATTGATCTTCATCACTTACTATTCCACTTCCGCTTGATCCAGCAGTACTTGGTCTAAAATCAAAACAGTTATATTTGACACTGTTATATCTAAATACTTCCCAAATCCTCAGCAATATATTGTTAATAATTATGTGGAAATGTATTAGTTTCCACATATCAGCAAAGCGAAAACAGTTTAAAATATCTTCATTTCAATGATAACATTGACACATTATAAAACATAATGAACCAGAAATATTGACAGCGCAAAATAACAACATTTAAATATTGATTTATAGGAGCAGTACCTTCAGACAAAAGCGACAGACAGAACATTTCCCTATAAACAACATAAATACAAATTCTGCTAATAAGAGCCAATTTTGAAGAACAATGTGTTTACAAACATACCATCACTGTTCGTTGGCTATAAATGCCACTCCAACAAAATTCGAAGCTGTAAAAAGGGGCACTCCCACTCACCAGAGCACATTTCCACATTATAATGATTCATGACTTTGCATATTTATGAATGAACTTAGTTCATATTAGCAGTTATTTTGCCGATATTGCGGAATTTTACTGTGAATTTAATTCAAAATAGATATTATTTTGCTGATATTGTGGTATTTTACTGTGATATTTTTATATGCATGCTATTTTTGTATTTGCCTGTGTTAATTGATTTGTTTGCGTTATTTGATATGGACCATGATGGTCTCTGGTCTCGTGTAATAAACGAATTGAATTGAATAGTCTCATACTCTAATTAGCTTATGGCACTTTGGTGGCCAACTATAAGTTTGCTCGGAGATCAATCTAAGTTATTTTTGAGTGCACATGGTCTTGCTTTGAGCAATATACTATGAAGAAGAATATTGGCTAATCAAACCCAACTATTATTAACTCCACACAATTATTTTTGACTGATTCAACTTTGGAAAATATAAGAATAATATTTACATACTGTATATGGTTGTTTCTGCCAAATCAAAAAACTACTGGCAGTTCTTTATTAACATAGATGATATACTACTTTAAATAAAGATTCGAAGTAACTTGCTTTATTTTAGAATTTATAATATCCTACCTGTCACAGCCATTAACATCAACCATCTTTCCATCACCAGATGCCGACATTCTTGTAAACGATGAACGAGAATGACTGGACAATGTACGTTCCAATTTGTGATGTTCTGTGGCCAAAGCTTCAAAAGCTTGTTGCCAAACTCTTGTTTTTTCTTTTTCTTGCCCTAATTGTATTTTACGAACCTGTGAGTAAGAAATTTTTTTTTTCAACTCTAGATAGGTAAAATAGAAAGTCTTTCAAAAATATTGTTCTAGTTAAATATGAGATATGGAAAAAAAGAAAATAAAAAACTCAAGTTATACACAAGTTTGTACATAGTCGACTCCGAAACAAAGTCTTAATAACATTAACACAGGCAGTACGTAGGACTCATTCATAGACTGGTTCACAAACTATCCACCAAAAGTAAGCGGCCTTGCTGCAAAATCAAGACTTACAGAGATAAATATTTCTGATATTTGAAACATTTCAACGAATAATATTCAAGTCAACTGGAGCATAACCCAGGATAAAATCTTTCTCAGCAAACCATATAGACAAATTGTGTTAATATAATCCTGAGCCGTCGAGTGAGCGAATTTCTGGGTTTGTGGCAATTCTACTAATTAGGAATGATGATCATTTCACAGAATATTATAGCTCTCAACACAACAACACAATATCACTGAGCTATTACTATACAAACTCCAAACAACTGGTTTTATGATAAATTAAGCAAATCATGACACAAAATAAAGATATAGGCCTATACATAATATACGTGGTATCTTTGCAAGTAGAATAAAAATAGAATACATCATAACTGCATCAGACTGATTTAATAATCTTAGATATTTACATGCAACTTAAAAGAAAATATTATTAAATTTTAAAAAACTTTATCTATTAGAATTTATTGACAGAGTTTGAGGTTCAAAATAAATAAAACGATTACTGTCAACTTCAAGATTATAATTTGGCCAGTGATTATGGACTTCCTTAAAACCAAATCAAAACTCTTTCATGCATTCTAACTGAACTGCTAATATGGTTCCCAATTGTATTGGTTTGTACCAGTTTTGACATTATCAGACTGTCGCTTATTGCAAATTAACAATTAATATAAACTGTATTGCTATGTGAAGAATTATTCAAAATAGTCTAAAAATTATCATTGTGCTATGTATTGCAATTACAAGACTATCAAAATTAAAAAATGGAAGTCAAAAATGTCTCTATAGATAAATTAAATCAGTCTTTTTGAGTTTCAATTATTCTTGTTACCCGAAATTTGAATAATAATAAGAAATGCTGCCTCACCTATCAGAAACAAATGAAAATATTCATATTTAGATATATTATGACATTGAATTTTTGAATTTAAAATTATGTTATCTTCAGATGCTATTTTGAGAAATTAGCATGAGATGATCAGACCAAAAAGAGACTCTCAACCTAAACTACATGTAAATTTTTTTTTTGAAATTAGGTAATTTTAAAAGCTGCACTCAATAAAACTTTCAATAAATGAACCCAAATAAAACAGAAACAAAAGTTCAAACCGGCTGCAATATAATACTGATAGTATACATTCATACAAAGAGCCTTTCTTTTGTATGTGTGCGTGGACTACGCACACACTGTCCTGGAGATCATTCAATCATTAATTATAATGTTGACATATTCAATATAACGTATGTCGTAAGATTAGACTGGAAGCGACAAAGAAACTGTCACAGCTGTTTTACCGCCATTCCTCTGTTTTTTAAATATAAATAATCATTACAGGGGAATACACAGGCAAAAATTAGCCTTCTGGAAACAAGGTTATATATTTCGAAACACTGGTTTGAGGACCTGTATTTCATGATATAATAATGATCATTTCATGAAAATAATTTTGGCTTTGTTAACTTGCTTTTGGTATCTACATTGACAAACTAAAAAAGTTGATTGTAGACTAGTAAATGCTTTTATCAGGAATGTCCAAACGAACCGAATATAATAAGTCATTTGAAATTTTTAAAATTTTATTATCTTATGATAAATGAAAAATTAGTTGACTTCTAACATTATAAAATGTAGAATACTAGGTAATCAAAACAATGTCTATCTGAATTATTCTGCAATACTATATTTGATTTCTAAGAATTTATAATAGTCTTGGAGAATTTCTCTATTGTGGAACAGAACCGCTTCAGAATATATTCGATATTTCATATACGAAAAGATTATTTTAGAATGTATTCTGAATACTAAATTATTCAGTTTTGGTCATCTCTGGCTTTTATACAGTTATAGTATATTTGATTCCTTACTACTTATATTTCTTCCTTGTCCCTAATGTATAATTTTTTTGTCTATATAGCTTGATTTGGAAAAACATGCTTGTCTTCCAAGCCCAGTGAATAAATGTACCAAACAAAATCAATGCAAATTCAAATATGCAAATTGTTTCAAATATATTTGAAATGAAATACACAGTAATGAAGATAAAAGATCAGTTTGCTGGTATTGATGACTAATCAAAACTGACCATGAAAAAGCAAGATTGATTAGTTTTTGATTGAATGCTGAACCAGCGTGTTGTATCTCTTACCATGATCTGTCACACCAATGACACCATCATAAATAATTATTCCACAAAAAGGAAGGGTGCAGTTAATCATTACGGGCATTACACAAGTAAATTAAGCTTTCGTATTTCTGTCTATGATAAGAATAACATACAAATACAATTGAGTAATTTTTATATATTATCATTCACAAGTCATATTTCAAACCCAACTAGAGCCTGTTTCATATTAGATTTTTCGATCTTTCAGGACATACATCAAAAATCAATCCCATAGACACTTATGTTTGGAAATACCCCTTGAAGATTATAATAATTTAATATATAGATAGTTCAGATATATAAAATGAGGGTTTTACTTATAGGTAATATTGGTTCACACAGCATGCTTTTCAACAAACTTGTTAACAAACAGATGACCTGTTTCATTGTCTCAATGACCTGTTTTCCTATCTTCAACTTTTCAAATGTAGATCACATATTTAATATATTAAATGAAATCAATTTCGATTGTATTTGAATATTCGAGTTGTATGAAACAGTTTTAATAAGCATCAGGAAGTTAAGTATCAGTCCAGTAGTTGGTAAAAAATAAAAGAAACTTCACATTTCATGCTCATGTCATTTCACTCTATAATCCATGATAAATGCCATTAGAACAACATAACTGTCAAGAGGTTTATAATGAGAAACATTAACACGATATGCCCCTAGGGATTTTTTACTAGCATAACCTTGAGGTAAGCAGAGTAAGAAACAGTTACGGCTCGAATGTTACCAATGTTGCCTTCATATTGTGCTAATTAACACGGTAATATTCAGGCATTGTGAGCAACGTTTGAATTCAAAACTCTGACATTACTGATATGAAAAGTCAACTATCCAGCAAGCAAAAATTTCGAAGCTCATATTCAAGAAACACCTAAAAAGACCTTGCTACTATGAATCATATCCTCTCCATCTATCATATTATGTTATGTGACTTCCTATATTGAAACATGCCATGACACAGCAGATAGACAGGTAAAGTAAACTGAAAAGTAAAGTAATCTTATTAAACATACATGACTTTAGTATACAAAGTTATTGAGTATGATCAGTAGGATAAATATATTATGGTAAATTACTTTATGGGTTCTGTTATTAATACCAGAATATGTCTTCGTTTATAATGAATTATGATAAATTAAATTACTGCACGATATATCGTCACTTTATCAAATAATTACAAAATTCGATTTCACTTTTCTCAGACGGTAAATTGAAAAGTTCTTGAAAAGCTACTTTGTATAAAGCTTTGAACAAAAATATAAAATCCAGAGTGAAGGGAAGATTGAGAACCAGCAATGATAGCTCATATTTTAAATTTCAAACAGAACTGCAATAAGCTGTTTGGTGCTCTGGAATATTGAAAAATCTTATATTCATATAGCCTACCTAGCTTCAGGACCATAATATACTATTTCAGTAAAACCATAACTCATGCGTAAATTCTCGCATTTGCAATGGATTTTGCAGTACAGGGATTATGAGTAATAGATTAAAGTTCAAGAGTGATCAATTTCTAACTTTTCAGTCTTAAGCTATCAATTTGATGATTGCATTCTAGGCCGATTCCATGTTTACAGCCATAAATTCTAACACATACAATGCTATAAACAGAACATTAGTAAACTATCTAACTATAAATAAACTAAAATTCTCTTGTTGATTAAAATCATGTTATTCATGATACCTAATTGCATATATAAGTAACAAATTATACAATCAATTCATAACGAAAAATTAAATTATAAAAATTTTGGCAATTACATAAAGAAGAAAATGACATCAATGTTGAACCGATACCAGTACATTTTACAGATAACTTAGCGCATCTAACTAATACTTGTAATAATAAACTAAACTCATCAACCATGAAATGAACTGAATAATTATATGTTATTATCTCAAAAAATCAACCATAAATGATTTGAATCCACACCCTGTAAATCCTACAATCATTCTATTCTATTACCCTGCTGAAATATTGGAAGGAGAAAATCCTTCAGTCAGTATTATTTTTCACCTGCATGAATTACTATTCTATAATAAAAAATTACATGTTACAACCATGAATTTCAACTTCTGTCACACAAGTATACTATACAAAGGAAGTGAACTATGATGCATAATCTTTTGACATGGTTTTAGTTGACCTACTTTCAATTGATCAGTAATACCTTAAGCAGAGGTTGGCCTCTATTATTAGAATGGTGCATTAAATTATTCACTCATTAATATATTCATGTTTGTTGCTGACACATCTACCTTCTTTATGTCAACACAAAAAGCAAGAACATCGGATGATCAGTCGGTACACCCACATTGTTTGTTCGTTACGCAATTGATTTTTTTTTACAGTCTGGGGTAATGATTACCTGCGATTTCACTTTTACTGATTTTATAATTAATTCAAACTGGGTTTGGAATAAAAGGAATAGGATGCATCAAGTTTTCTGAATATCCATGTATTAAAAACAATCACAACTAAATATTATAATTCCCATTAACAGTCTTTACATGATTCCCATGTAATGTTCTTCAACAGGTTTTTCCTACAACTACAAAAACACCTAATAATGTAAA